TTGTGAGTATTATTTTATTTGTTATTTTACTCCTGTATCACATCACAATTGAGAGCACTATTGCTGCTTTTTATCCCTCTCTCTTGGAGTTTTGGACCACCAGACGGTGCTGACGGACGTACTACCACCACATATCCCATAAGCGGGGATTATACCGCTGTACGCTATCCACACCGGAGCTGGCCATAGCTCTCCTGAATGTGAGTTCTCTACTTTTGTTACTTATCGCACCTTGGATTTTACATACTGCACCATTGGTTGCCTCTATCTCTCTTGTATTTTCACATACTGAACGGTCAACACCAGACGCACCTACGTCCACAAGGAAACCTTATCCAGTATCCCTGACGATCTACTAGTATCCTAGATATACGCTACCGGACTTTTGGCGCAGCCCTTAGATATCTTTTTCTCAAAAAGAGAGATGTGTTGTAATTTTCTCTTGTCCCATATTAATGTAGCTGAGGTTTACCAGAGCATCATTCCATACAATGGAACAGTCTATTGTACAGTGTCCTTTGGATTCCAGAATGCCACCCCCTTTTTATTATCCTTGTCTGCATGATGCCCCACCAAGCCCCTGTTCTGTTGTTTACTTTTGAATGTAGTCAGGTGCCCGTGGACTCCTATCCCCTTCCCGACCAAAGACGGAAATTTTTTGTTAAGCTTGTCCATGCATTAAGGGCCCTTGACGGAAAATTGTAATAGCGGGGTTAACACTCCTCCGGTCTGCCTCGGTATTTGAGGCAGACTGGGAGCACCATATCGCGCTGTCCCTGCAGCTGTGATCACTCTCACAAGCTGACAGAGCGAGCATATGTGCTGCAGGGACTTCTGATCCGCCTCCCTGTGTTTCCGCGTTCTGTGTGAAGTGCAGGGAGACGAATCAGCAGTGATCTTCTCCCTGCAAAAAAATAAATAAAGTTAAAGTTAAATCACCTCCCTCCCATTTTCCCCTGCTTTAATAAAGTTAACCCCTTTCCATGCCAAATGATCACTGACTACATTGGCAGGGGTTACATTTATTTTATTAAGTAGTTTAAATATTTGAAAATGATATATTTAGCTAGTGGAAGTTAGTGGGGAATTGGGGAATATGGTGTTAGGCTAGCTAGGGGTTAACATTAAATTCTTTTAAAAAAAGCTTTAAAAAGTAAATCCCACCCCCTTTACCCAGTCCGAATAAAAATTAACCCCTTCCCTGCCCACAGTGATCAAAATATAGTATTATACTGTGATCTAATTTTTTTTAACCCCTGAGGATTAACTTTTATTTATTTTTTAACCCTTGGGGGTTCAATTTATTTCATTAATTAATTTAAATATTTTAAAATTATATATTTTGCTAGCTGGGGTGGATGGGAGTTATGGGAAATTGGGAAATTTACTGTTAGTGCTGCTTACTGCTAGTTAGGGGTTAACGATAAAAAAGTTTATAAAAAATTGTAAAAGTGTAAAAAAAGTTAAGAAAGTTTTAAAAAGTTAAAACAATTTCATGAGTAATTAGAAAAGTTTAAAAACGAGTTTTAAAAAAGTAAAAAAGTTTTAAAAAGTTAATAAATACATTAAACAAATGCTCATTACCACTACACCTGGAACAAACTAGAAAAAAAAATGATCCCACGCTAAGGTTCAAAATATGCCTTTTGAATTTCCCTGAAGTGTATTCTTTAATAAATAGTATGTGTTTGTGGGGAAGTATGAATAACCAACCAGCTAAACTACTCCAAAATGGAACATGGACACAGCGTAAAACTTCAAAGTTAGAAAAAAAACTCAATGGCTGCGTCTCAAATGTGCTCCTTCAACATCCACATATACCTGGCACAGGTACATACAGGGGTATTGCTGTACTCAGATGACATAGCTGAGCAAAATATGAAGTATTATACAGTCGTAGCACACATAAGGTTTGCAAAATATACTGTGCAAACTCACTTTGTCAAAAAGGCAGAAAAAATGCTTATTACCACTACACTTGGTACAAGCTAGTGGAAAAATTATCCCACGCTAAGGTTCAAAATATGCCTTTTGAAATACGCTGGAATGTCTTCTTTAAGAAATGGTATGCCTTTATGGGGTAGTTGGATTATATAGCCTGCTAAAATACCCTAAAATGGGACACGGACGCATCAAAACTCTCCATGAAAATACACACTTAAAATCCTGAACTTGTCACATCTCTTTTACAGCACTGTAACTTCACAAAATAGTGTCTAGGTCATACATTGGGCATATTGTTTTACTCAGAAGATGTAACTGAGCATAATTTCGGGGGTTTTATGACAGTGGTTCTAACTATAGAAACTGAAATAGCCTTGTCTCTTATATAGCATTGTAGCTTCACAGAATAGTGCCAAATGCATACAATAGGGGTATCGTTATACTCAACAGATGTAGCTAAACAAAAAATTGGTTCTGTAGAGGAATAGCACACACCAGCTTTACAAAATACACATTACAAAAACCTTGTTATATGTGTATATGCCAAAATAGAGAAAAAACACAAGTTTACTCCAATATTTAGCAGAGATTGGCAATGAAACAGCTACGTAGAAAGTGTCAAATTAACATTAGGTAAATAGCCTGTGATGTCTACTTTATATAAATATATACTTTTGTGTGGCAATTTTGTTTTCTGTGGTGGCTACTAAACCTACAAGACAAATATACCAACTTCTAAAATAATTTCACATTAATATTTTATTTTAGTCCTTGTATTTTGTGACCTGTAACTTTAAAAATAAGCTAAAATCCTACACATATTATGTTTTCTATAAATCAAGACACATAAATTAATTTATTTTGAATTACTTTTTCTAAGCTGGAGACATTATGCACACGCTATTATTGCCAAAACTGTGAAAAAAATATATTTTGTTTGTTTTTTCCCCCCATTTTTTTCCATTTCTTTTATAATTAATGAGAATTTATCTATGTATATGTGACATAAAAGTAAAGCCCTGTTTGCCCTCTAAAAAAATGGTATATAATATGTGTTGGTGCAATAAACGAGAGAGATGCAAATTGCGTTTCAACACAAACAGCAAAAAATGCAAAAATGGCTTGTGTCCTGAAGGGTAAGACAAGCTTTTGAAGCTGTGTCCTTAAGGGGCTATACAACCTCTGACCATCTGTACATTACATATTATCACATTGATCTGTGCAAGAGTGAATGAGAAATTTGTGGTCATCAGATACACAAAGGGTATCAGAAAATGGTTAGTGAGAAATAACCTGTGGAAAAAAAAATGAAAATAGGAAAACAACAGGAAAAAGATGTACTACTTGGGTCCTGTGTCTGAATATAAAACAAGGCAACACCTACAAGAGTCACACAGGATGAGGAAAAGGACAGTTACGCATTAACGGACCTTAAGGTGGCCGGACGTAAGGTTAAAAGCACAGACAAATAGCAAGGTCAATAAATATCCAGAGGTCAAAGATAAAACAAGAACACAAATTCGATTAGACAAACCAAGGAAAGATATACAGAACTCAGAGTACTCGGGACATGCAAGGATCAAAAACCAAGTTACAAACAGGACATAAAGTGCTCTTGGATAACCAGAAGGGAACCACAACAGGGCACTGAACATGAAGGTCAAGTATTTATAAGCCTGAAACATTTCCTTGATAGTCAACCCCCCCAAAACATGAGTGGGAGTTGGCAATGACTCAACAACATCATGAAGTGGAGTGGCTTACTGATATCATAAGAAATGCTGTCAAAGTTATCTGAGGGAGTGAAACTTATTTGGTGTCTACTTAAGGAGGTAGGGTGAGTGACGTAGCGCAAGGGTATTTATCCTTACATTCTATGAATGGGGGCAGCCTGTATCGGAGGTGGGAACTACTTCCTTATCTACTCAGGTGGTGAGGTCTCAGCTTTGGGTATCACAACCTTACTATAATGGGGAATGAGGCATTGTGAACCCAATTTGTATGCTTTATGTTGAACTTGTAGATGAAATATGCTCTGGATCTCACTGCTGAGCTGTTTCCGCTGACAGTTTGAAACTGACAGGAGTCAGGATCCACTATGATCCAAAATACGGCACAGGGTGAATGAATATAGTAGAGAACGGTCTGCTATAAATAGGAAGGGTGAGACAGGGGGTTTTAACGAGTCTTAGAATAGTCAGCTATTAAAGTTGAATTATGTGAGACTACTTGGAAAATTTGTCCACCACATTGTGACAGAAAGAGATGGGAGATAGACATTAGGCATGAGAATGGAAGTAAAAGCTAGAAACGGGTAAATGAGGCCATGGGTTTTTAGAGGCTAAAATCGCTAAATGTTAAACAAGCACAGCAAATAAAAACCTCACACAATGCTACAGAACCTATTCATCCTTTTAAAAATGAATTTGCACCATCCCGCTTTGAACTCTTTCCTTTAACATTGAAGAAATAAAGAGCAAGTTGTAAATTCACTTTTTTATAGTTGCAGGCTCAGATGTACCTGCCACACGAATGTTGAATACTTCCCATGGCATTCGTGGTATTGGGGGCTTGGTCACAGAGGGTAAAAAGCCAGTAACACAGGCTGAGAAATCTTCTATGGCAGGATCTTACCACTATTTGTTTCTCTCATTTTTTATTTATTAATACATGGTTAAATATAAAAAGAATATTCCAGCAGTACGGGTACATAAGTATAAAGGAGCAAAAAATCTGATCGAATATACAAAGAAAAAGGAAATACTTTTCCTAATATTCTTAGAACACTAATAAATTGGAACCAAATGGAATCCTAACATTTTTATTTACCACAGCAGTGGAACATGGATGTTCATGAACAACACAGAGGGGTTGGGTATTAAATTCTTTAAATAAAAAAATATGTAAGACATCTCGGTGCCAATCAACACATTGATAGCGAAGATAAAAACCAAAAAATCTAAAATAGTTAGAGAGTTCTTTGCTTCTCTTGAAGGTTCCATCCATCTTTAGTCTCAGAAGGCAAATGGGATACAACATTTATGGATATATCGTACATTGTGTACAAGGGTGGCATATGTTGAAATGGGCCCTTTGATTCCTGATAGTAAACGTGATCACTAACAGCATACATACAGATTTTTTTTTTCCTTATTCATCACATGAGGAATTGATATAGAACATCTGGAAACTATAATGATGCAATCTGGATGTTTGTAACAGAACAAAAATATGTATTACACTTGGTTTGGTTCCCTTTCAACTGGATTCTCTCCGTGCAAAATCTAAAAAAACAAATCTTCCTGAATACAAGACTTTATTAAATAAGGTATGTCAAATTATCATTTTTATGTTACTGCCGCTGTTGTACTTTGTTTGCTAACTCCTGTTATAGACGTTTGGTATAATTCATTGTCCACGACTTAATCTTTAAATGTTTGACACGCATAAGTCAGAATCTTTCAATGTGCAGTTAGCTGCTGTACATTGTGTGAAACAGACCCAGCAAACAAAGTATGGGATTTCCATAAATAAGTCGTACATATGTAGAGAAGATAGTGATATTATTGAGCCGTGTGACAAATTCTCTCTCTCTTGCAAGAGTAACTATTCTGATACACGGAGATAGTACGTCCCCTTTACTTCCACCTATGGTGGCCAATTAGATTTTCAATAATTGTGTGGACATTTGCTTAGCATGTTTTTGATTATGGGGACATAAAGCTACTGGAAAAAAGGAAGCAGGGGCATGGGGGGTTTCACACCTGGAAAATGCATATTTCAGTAGTGGTGCAGACATAAAGACCAAAATAAATACAAAAAAATACAGTATAAGGAACAGTACACACACAAAATACAGTTTTACATTTTACAAGGCTACTTACAAACACCTATCTTAGCAAATCAATATGTAATTTAGTTACACCATATGACCATATTCGGTATATATATATTTTTTTTGGTATATATCGGTGGGTCCTACACTAATTTCAACATGGGAGGTTAAAATGCTAACTGCTATACTTGCTGCTTAAACTGCTTCCAAAGACTCTCCAGAAATGTATGCTGTCCTGTGATCACCAGTAAAAGGGCATTTAGAGTAGAAGAGTAGGTTTGCTCAACCTAATACAAACATATATAAAATATAACACACGTGCTCCCCATTGCGTAAACAGATATAAAATAGATTTACCCTTATTAACATACTACACCATTTTTATGTCTTTATCTGTCCTTTTTTGTAGATTGTATTTTCTTTGTATTTTATTAAGAAGAAGATTGAAGGAATATTCTTACAATCATCTTAATAAAATACAAAGAAAATACAATCTACAAAAAAGGACAGATAAAGACAAAAAAATGGTGTAGTATGTTTAAAACACCACAAGTAGGCTAATATGAATTGCACTCACAGAGTGGAAGTATAATGCAGACATATAAAGGTCTTTAAAATTCAGTGGAGATCAAATATTCTTCCTGTTCAACCTTAATGCAGAGGGAGAGACACAGGAGACATAGTGCACCAGTAAAATGAATGACATACATTTTATTCAAATTGCACTCATAGGATTTGTTGTAAAAATCCAGCGTATCAAAATATTTAGATGATCCCAATGCCAGTGACACTTCTCCTGGGGTCAAAGATTTGAAGAAGCCAGATAAAAACAAAACCAAAAATAAAAGAAAATTTAAAAAAATAAAAATTTATACAAAAAATAAACAAACAAAAAGTCAATAAAATCAAATGTAGGTGCTGTCTTGGTCCAGCCGCCCAACGCGTTTCGTCCGGGAAAAGGGCTTCCTCAGGGGTAAATCAAGGTGTGTGTCGCAAATCAGTATGGAATTTAGTTACACCATATGACCATATTCGGTATATATATATTTATTTGGTATATATCGGTGGGTCCTACACTAATTTCAACATGGGAGGTTAAAATGCTCACTGCTATACTCAATGCTTAAACTGCTTCCAAAGACTCTCCAGAAATGTATGCTGTCCTGTGATCACCATAAAAGGGCACCCAGAGTAGAAGAGTGGGTTTGCTCAACCTAAATGGAATCTGATCTGGACTCTAAACATACATAGAAAAAAAAATTGGGGGACACCAATGGAACATACATTTCTCAGTAGTGGCGCTGCCATAAAGACCAAAACGTAAAACTGTTTTACTTTAATCTGACATTGGGCCACTTGCTTAAAATTGAATACAAATGTAAAATTTTAAATACAAAATGACTTACTGTAAATTTTAATTGACTTCTACATATTTCAAGACATTATATATTCGTGTGTGTGCTAATTCCCCACAGTGAAAATGGGGACATGAGTGATCCTTGGAATTGAATATAACATATGTATTGGATCATGGGGATATTGATGGGAATAATAAGTACATTTGGAAAGGAAGTTAGGGATATAAAGAAAGCTTCCGAGAGCCCTATAAGATGAGGAAAGAGGAATGGGGATGAGAATAATAGAGATGACTATGGTTGAAAAGACAAGAGGTTGATAAATGAACACTAAGATTGAGAACTACATGACAGGCGCATAGTCGCCATATGGGCAGTTGGAATTCCCCCAAAAACACACTGACACTGATGTATAGGTCAATATGTTCACAGCTTTATTAATATTGATAACAATAAATTAAAGTCATTGCCCAGCCCCCATCCCGCCATATAACATCATATGTCCCCAAAATAAAAGGCAATTACCCATTATTTCTGTAAATCTAAGTAACATCAACAACCATAAGAACAAACATCATCAACATAATATAAGTGCCAAACTTTGTTAAATAACCACGGTAGGTGCATACCCGGATACCCCTACCACTGGTCTAGAAGATTAACTCTTTTTACTGTGAAAGAGAAAGAAGATTATTAATTGATGAGATTGGGAAACAAGTCTGGATGATTAACTGGATGGAACACAGGTTGAGAAGAAGAGAGAGCCCCGACTCTGAGAAGAGAGAGTAAAAAGGTTGACAAGCTAAGAAAAAATGAAGGCTGATAGAAAAGGTTGAGAAAAAGAGAGCAGTAGGCAGTCAAGACCAAAAAAGTGGCATCTTTGGAGGTCTCAAGATTAACCTGTCAGAGCACTCTGATTGGTGTGCTTAACCCCTTAAGGAGCAAACTTCTGGAATAAAAGGGAATCATGACATGTCACACATGTCATGTGTCCTTCAGGGGTTAAGCCAACCAATCAGAGTGGTCTGAGTCATATTGCACAGCGTGGGTAAGCTTTATAAGGCTTTTCCAGTTAATGTCCCTTCCCAGTTAATTCTTTTTTAGGTGCCCCATTTTCCCTTTATTGGATTAGCAACTGGGCAGCAATATCTGCCCAGTAGCTAGTCTTTTCCTATGATAGTGAGCAGCCATTGACTGTTCTCTGTTTAGTAGAAATGCCCCTACTTGCAGCAAAGTGGGTATGGGCAGGAGGTAGGATTTAACTTCCCTTTTTTTTTTTTAACTAATGCTTAGTATTTTTTTACTTAGTATTAGTATAGTTGTCTGAAAGACCAAAATTACCAAAAGGAAAGGCTTTCAGTTTTTTAGTAGATAGCTTCCTAATGCTTGTGGGATTGCCATAAGAACACCAAAAAGGAGTGATTTACTAAACAGCTCCCTTATGGCAGTCCCACAAGAGTACCAATTTAGACAGTTACCTATGATACGACTGCAAGATGCAGCCGTGGCCCAGGACACTGCCAAAAGTGGGACAGTTGGGAGCGCTGATTATATTCACAGTGTTTCTATATTCCAAACTCCACTTCTAGAATATTAGTTTTAGGAGAAGGACTGAATAGAAGCTGCAAATAGCAGGTGCTGTTCATGAAAGAATCTCCCACTAACTATCTCATATGACATATACTTTTAACATACCTACCAACTCTGGTGTCCTAAGAATTTGACGAAGTAAAGGGAGCCGACCAGTGATGCAATCGTGTCACTAGCTCCAACCCAAAAGGGCAGGCCCTGCAGCGAGCACAGTTTCAGCGCTCCCTACAGGATCCAAGTACCCTACTCATAGTGCGAGCATGTCTATTGATGCACTCGCGCACTGATTGTTGGGAACAGTTCCCTGGTGTCCCCAAAACTGTCCCATCGAATTCAGGGCGGTTGGCAGGCATGTATACATCAACCATACTACACTGAGATTAGCGGCCTCTCTACTGCACAATGTCTGTCACTCAATACAATGTTTTTCTGCAGTATGACTTCAACCACCGTGCATTATAGACTATGATTACATAATCTGGCGTAGTATTTTGTTGTGTATTTCACTTTTACAAGCCAGTTTTTCACTGGCAATCAAAACATTTCTAATTTTCAAGATTTTTTTGTCTCTATACTGAACAGAAGATTTACAAATAAAGTTTTTTCACATTTTTTTCATTTTGTAAAATTATTAAACCTACACTGCCACCTACTGCCATCCTTAGTTCTAGCAGATAATTAGGAATAGTAAAAAGGTGTAATCTTCTATATCCAAGTATTAACATAGCCAGATAGTTATTATTATTATTACTGGTATTTATATAGCGTCGGCATATTCCATAGCGCTTTACAATATTATCAAAGAGGGAGATTTAACAATTAATGAGACAATTACAAAAACTTACAGGAACAATAGGTTTAAGAGGGCCCTGCTCAAATGAGCTTACAGTCTATAGGATATTTAATATTTATTAGTGAAAATGCTTGCTATTATCCTAAAAGGCAGTACATTTTCCAATCAGGTTGCACCTTGCATTCATAGTGATACACCTGCTACACATTCATTACATACAAAATATAAAAAGTTTATATGTTGTGAATGAATGATTACATTTAATTTTCTCTTTGTGTACTTTATGGAATTTATCACCAATACAAATCTCCTGAATGTTCTGTTGTTGAAGTGTTCTATTCCAGAGAGAAAAGAACCTGTATAATAGGTCAGGGAGTAGGAGCGGAGCCCTGGTTGTAGAATCAATGAATGCCCCTGCCTCCCTACCTCTCTCCCCAGTGTCCCTCTCCGCCTCCCATTGTGTATGGGGTTGGCTGACCGTGATTGTGTATGATGCAGCTAAGTGTGATTGTGTGTGACAAGGCCGAGTGTGATTGGTCGGTATTGCTGGCAGGATACTGGGTGGTCCTAAAGAGGAGCAATTTGACTGCATTACTTGCAGGTGCAAACCATAGTAAGGTCCCTCTCAGTTCCCACCCATTGGTGGAGGGTGGGGGCTATTAATGAAAGATAGAAAGGGGGGTTGACATGCAGTTGAGTCCAAATATATATCAATATTTGATATTTTTTCGATATTATTCAAACTGAAAATGATCTGCTCTAGTTAAGCTCTTAATGGCTGTAATTAAATTGATATGAACCATTAAGTGGCTTATCAGAAACTATTAAGCTGATGATAAAAGTGATTTGCTGGAATTAAATTGAGGCTAAAATGATGTAGCATACAGAGGAATAGTATGTACAAAGCACATGGAAATATTGTTTTTTTGTTTTACAAATAATAGTATAGACATAATGTTTAAAATGTTAAATATTAAAGGGACAGTTAGATCATCTTAAGGCACTATAACATCTTCATCTAAATAAAGTTGCTATGGTGCCAGAAGGCCCCCTGCGCACTGTTACTTCAAAACCATAGCTGCCTCCAGCATTGATCTCCACTCCCCCACCCCTCCCCTACCCCCAGACGACACCTGGTTTATCGCCTTGAGGTAAGAGTGCGCCAGGTCCTCCTGGCACTATAGCAGCCTAATTTAGATAAAGTTCTTAAGGAGTCTGGGATGCTCCTTTAAGCTTTTTCATGGTAATAGACCTAATTTAAAGGTAAATTTAAAATAGAAATAAACAAAACATCTTTTTTTGTAAATCTACTTCCAATAGCAAAGCAATACTCTAATGTCTCCTCACAGGTTATCGTCAAAATGATGTCAATACTTTATCTTCTACCTGTTCTCTTGCATCATGGTTTATCAGCTCCAAGACTTACGGTAGGTACTAGGTTGTATCTGGTGCAATGCAGTTTTATAAAACTTTATTTAGAAAAGGAATTTGTTGGCTGTAATTATATTTAGACCAACAGGGCCACCAGTAATCCAAGTATTTTTAATGCAAGGCCCTCCCTCACACCTAATTATGCTGAAGTAGGGGTAAAAGGAAAGTAATGCCTACTCTTACAAAGTTATTTATTAAAATGAGAATTGTTGGGAAATCAAAGTGAATTCAAAGTGACCACTAACAATTCTCACTTTAGTAAATAACCCTGTATGAAAGGAAAATTTGATAGAAAAAAATTCCCAAGAGGCAGAGAAAATGATACATGTATTGGAATAATATAACATAAATAGATAATGACCATAGTCAGGATATCTGAAATGGGACTAATCATAGAAACTGAAAGTTGTGATGCAGCCAACAGAGAGACAAATATAGAACAACAAATATCAGGAAAAAAATCTCAGGTTATATGAGTCACAGCAAATACAAGTAGGGTTATAACAAAAAGGTGTGGTGGAGCTATTCACATGAGCAAAAACCACCAATGTGCACTGGACAATGAGACTTGCTCTATTACATTGGTTGAATTACAAGCAGTATGATATAAATAGAAACCCCAAGCCAGGGGCGGGCTGGGACAGTGGGGTGAGGGGTGCAGGGAGGGAATTGCCTCCCAGGCCGGCCTAAATCCAGGGCTGTCTTTAACATGGGGCTGCCCCAGGCCCAGTTACACCTGGAGGTCCAATGTAGCTGCCCCTTGGCCCCGCCACCCACAACCAGCAAAAGAAAAGTTACCCCCTATGGGCCCATGGTGCTGGTATTGTGGCTGCACTGGGGCCTACACACTAAGTGCTTTAACAGCACGACTGGGCCCCTTTACGGCAGCATGGGAGGAAGTGTAGAACGTGAGTCACTTCCTACCACAGAGACAAAAAAACTGCGCGGGAAAGAGACAGAGCCAGAAGGCAGTGTGAGAGCCAGCAAGCAGAGCCAGACCCCAACTCCCAAGCACCCTCCCCAGCACACTGGACCCCAGCAAAGGTACCAGCAAAGGTAGGAAACTAGCTTTAAAAGTGTAAAGTTTGTGTGTGTGTGTGTGTGTGTGCATTTGAGTATGTATGTGTGTGTCAGTAGGTCTGTGTGTGTGTCAGTATGTATATCTGTGTGTGTGCGTGTCAGTATGTCTGTGTGTGTGCGTGTCAGTATATCTGTGTGTGTGCGTGTCAGTATGTCTGTGTGTGTGCGTGTCAGTATGTCTGTGTGTGTGCCAGTATGTCTTTGTGTGTGTCGGTATGTCTGTCTATGTGTGTCAGTATGTCTGTCTATGTGTGTGCAAGCATGTCTCTGTGTGTGTGCCTGTATGTGTGTGTGTCAGTATGTCTGTCTGTGTGAGTCAGTATGCCTGTCTATGTGTGTCAGTATGTCTATGTATGTGCAGGTATGTCTCTGTGTGAGTGCCAGTATGTGTGTGTGTGTCAGTATGCCTGTAACAGTGTGGAAAAGGTGGGCATGGATGGTGAGGTGATAAGGTGGTGCAATGGGCCACTTGACTGGATTTGCCCCCCAGGCCTAAAGCTGCCAGCCCTGCCTTGCCCCAAGCACATGCACACAGATTAGTTACAAGTATGTTATCAGATGATAATGCAGAACAACCATGTAGCATGAGCAGAACAACACTGTCACGTGAATTGTCAGAATGGTTGAGTAGGATCTGTTGGAGAGCGAGAGACAAAAACTGAAACTGGATGATGCTAAACTTCATGCTGATGACAGAAGTCTTGATCTTGCCAAGGAAATAGGGAGAAATCTTACAGAAAATGCAGTGATGGTCTTGCTTACTGCTGTCTGTTTCTTTCTTTTCAAGGACAAAGAAATCTGCATCTTGGATAATGGAAAACTACATTATAAGATAACAGTTCTACAGGACAGGCTTCGTTTAGGAGACCTGCTGCTTCAAGACCTCATTAATAATAACTATCACTCGGTAAAGAGCAACGTCTTTAAAAGCAACATTGATAGAAGAAAGACAGACATACAAGTCCCTCCAACCAGTGGGAATCTGATCGTTCATGATGAAGGTAGGAACTGAAGCCCCTTTTCTGCAAAGTTTTCAGTAGGCACCTATAGGCTTAACTAGGGAATTTATTTTAAGTGCAATATATTTCACTAAAAAGGCACTCCTGGCTTAAGTTTACCACCCCATCTCATGCACATACTTTTTTAATGGATTATATCTGCCGCTGTTAACCACGCATATTTTAATTCTCTGGATTCTACTGTGATTTTAGTAACATTGTGGATTCCATTAGCTTGATCTTCACCTGCCAATCATTATAGAAAGAGCAGAGACAAAAGAGAAGATACAGGAAGAAAGTTTAGGTTTCCCCTTCTCTAGCGCAGTGTGTACCCTGGCATCAATGTTGTGATCAAGATTTTATCCAGTGGTTTAATTTCTGGAAAAGACATGGTTTCCCTTTAATCCTTGCAGATTGTTCTTCTGTGTTTGAAAGAGGAAAAAGGGAGAGCGGTTATTATCGCATACAACCAACACCAGGGAATGAGCCATTTCTCGTGTACTGCGACATGACTGATGGAGGGGGTTGGACTGTGATCCAGCGCCGCAGCAATGGGAGAGTTAATTTTAATAAGTACATACATGATTTTTCACATATTTGTTTCTATGTAACAAGGAAATACATTAATTTAACATTATTAACATTATTTAAATTATTAATTTTAACATATTCATATTGTCTTAAATGAGTATCAACAATTTTTCAAGGTAGCTCTGTTCGTGGCAAGTTACCAGATTTCTTCTAGGGTAAATCATTTTTTTGTGTGGCCATCCTAAATACAATGGACTCTAAGCGCTGCATTTTTTGGTGTACAGGGGCTAAATACATAGTCTTTTTACTCCCCAATGTGTGATAAAACACTGCCTGCATTCTATATTCTGAGTGTCACCCAGAGTAATGTCCAGGTGACCAGCAAGAGGGGGCGCACAGAGCTTTCCCTTCCTACCAGTCACCAGCTTAACGTGGCCTACTTACTGTGGTAGAGGATATTTTTTTATTCTCTACCCAGTGTGACAGGAGGCTACACAAAGCAGCAAACACCTCTCTTTCAGACTGTGTAGAGGAATAAAGAAGATCCTCTACCCTGGTCCCTGAATGCACTCTCCAACAGGGGGTCAGAGTGACGAATAGGGTTGAGTCAAAGTGGGGGTGCAAGAAACATTTGACAGTTTTTTTGACAACTGGCTGTTTTTTAGGGGGGGGGTTTCGTAAAAAAATAATTTTTGTTAAAAAAATATTTGCTCACCTTATATTCTGGTGCGTAATATTCCAAAAACCCTGTAAAAAGGTTTTAAAATGAAACCTGAAACAGCCCAGGATCACCACTAAATTACTATATATTTTATTATATTATGTATAGATTTTGCAGCACTCTGATTTAGCCCATTCTGCACATTTTTTTGTTCTTCTGATTAGGTTTCCAAATCAGAAAATCTCGACCGAAATTCTTCTAAACCGGCAATCAGCCTAAATTCCCAAAACAATTGCTATTTACTGTAAAAATTGGCACAAGTCAACCGATTATTGTTGTCTGCTTAAAACTAAATGGCTGACATAATGCATAGGCAGTTACCTACCTAATTCTATTGTGTGTTTTCATTGCCAATGATTTATAAGGAAACCACATGCAGCTAAATATTATGTGTTACATCTTGTGAACAATTCCCAGGTAAAGCAGATTGATTCTCAGTTGGGTACAAACTGTTCCCAATGGAGGATCCCCTAAAATGGCAGCACTGGAGTGACAGTTTTTCTTTAAATTATACAATTATGGGTCACTAAACAAGATATGAGAAAACATAATTCAGCATAAATATATCATACTTTAAATTATATATATATATATATTTTTCTCTTCATTAACCAGACATTGTTCATTGCTTTGCAGAAAATGGGATGACTACAAACAAGGATTTGGTTTCTTTAAAGGTAAAAACGATGAATATTGGCTTGGGAACAATCACATTTATAGCCTTCTGGATAAAAGTAAGTACATTGATGCAGGTTTTAATCCATTCTTTATCCAGTCACTCTGGCAGTTAATGGTTTAATGGCAGATTGCTTACCGCTCATTCTATGATTGTCCAGGAGAAATGTCACTGCAAATTGATCTCATGGACTGGAAAGGAAACAAACGAAATGCAATCTACGAAGAGTTTAGAACAGGAAATGAACAGGTAAGAACAGCCTCCCAAACAGGGTGGACAATTAAGGCCCACATTAAACATATTTATTTAGAGACAAACAAATAAATAACCAACAATTATGGCAACAGTTCCCAAGGCTAACCTCAGTATAAAAGCTTGGTGCTAAATGTGCGTGTGGATATTTTACATAGTCTCGGGCCTATGGGACAAATGTCACAGGGACAACGATCAAGAGTCCTAGGGCAGCATTTTCTGTCTATTGTTTTATTGCGCTGTTACCTATTACGCTGGTTAGTCTCGTACAGAATGGCATGAGTGGAGTTTATTTTGTACTTTGTCTAATATCGGATAAAGTTACATTCATAAGCACTGCCACAGTGAGTCATGAGGACTCCATACACACAATGTTTGAGAGTCATCTATTCCTGAAGTAGCCCACTCACATTGCCACTCTTACTGCTCTTGTCCTCACAGTACAGCACTGGGTGCTGGACCCTGGTATATAATTTTTATTGCCACTGTATTTAAGAGTGCACGCCTTGAAGGGGAGCAGGAGAGAAATGTCAACGCGAGCACAGCTCTCCCACTTCCCTCTTAGACCACCAAGGACTTTTGGGGCCCAGTTGGACCCAGCTAAACTTCTGTAAAATTAATAATTTCCTATTTGCAAACATTCTCTCAAGTATAGAGTGTTCACTTTTTTTCAACTCACAAAAACAGATTTGGGATATGTTTGCTGCACATTCGAAGAAACACTCTGACGTTAGAAATACAAACTTGTACTCCAGACACCCCAACGCTGGTAAATAATAAAAAAAATAGCTTCATTATTTACCTTTATTTCCTCTCTGTAAAGGTCTCCATACAGCTAGTGATCATCCCTTGGCATAGATCATAATTCCCGATGATCTCAGATAATTCAATGCTTTTCCATAGGGATGCGCATGCATGGCAATTGCTGTGTAACACCAATCAGAATCTCTTCAGAGAGGTGCCTTGACATGTTGCATCTGTTTGGGGAACGTTTTGTCAACTATATGCAGAAGATGAAGACACTGGAAGTCAGTTGCTGCAAAGTTCCAAGACTGCAACAGGATAGACCTCTAGTGAACTTGGATTGGCAATTACTAGAGGTGACCTTATGGACAAATATAACCACTGCCTTTTCTCAGAGAAGGCAGTGGTTACAATTGTCAGACAGCAGGGACAGGCTCTATGCACCAGAACCCCTACAATACGCTGCAGTGGTCCTGGTGCATAGAGTTAAAAGACCACTATAGTCACCCAGACCACTTCAGCTCAATGAAGTGGTCTGGGTGCCAGGTCCCTCTAGGGTTAACCCTGCCATAGAGAAACTGCTATGTTTACATTTGGGGTTAAGCCAGCCTCTAGTGGCTGTCTTCCGGACAGCCACGAGAGGCGCATCTGTGACGCTGGAGGCATTTTATGCCTCCATCACGCAGAGCATCCATAGGAAAGAATTGAAAAATGCTTTCCTATGGACACTTTGAATGCGCACGCGGCACATGCGCATTCCGCTTCGCTGACATCAGACGGGGGAGCTGACGTCGGCGGGGGAGGAGAGGTAAGGGAGCCCAGCGGTGGAAGAAGGTGAGTAACTGAAGGGGTTTTAACCTTCAGCACCACAGGAGGGGGACCCAGGGTGGGGGCACCCTCAGGTACTATAGTGTCAGGAAAACCGATTTGTTTTCCTGACACTATAGTGATCCTTTAAAGTATATATTTTTCTATAACACTAAGTAAGTTATTTCCTATAAGGCAAATTGGTATTTGATTATAACCATTTAATAAATAAAAAAATAAATAAAAAAAACTCTGCTACAGTATTGCATAAATATTGCATGGAGCTGTTGATACATTTGAGGTTTAGGATATATAAGATAAGATATAACTGAAAATAATATGCTGATGAAGCAAAGTGCCATTTTATGTATATGACAAATATATTTGTATATTTTTTATAGGATAATTACAAGCTATGGGTGGGCTACTATTCAGGCACTGCTGGAGATGGCTTGTCTGGGGGGAGCAACTTTGAAAATCAATGGTCGGCATCATTAAAGGGAATGCCATTCAGCACTTCGGATAAAGACAATGATAGATTCATTCACGGGAATTGTGCGCAGGAGAACAAATGTGGCTGGTGGTTCAACAGGTAAGAAAGCTTAACAATTAATCTAAACAATTAAGATTTTAAAATTTGCTTTTTTTTATTATAAAGGGACGATTAATTGCATGTATTTTATGGGGGGTGGGGAGGAATAATTATTCATCTTTAAAAATGTATTTTAGACCACATATCTTTTGAAAATGTCTGTAAGCATTCATCTCCCTTCATATTGACCTGCAATGGATTCTACCCAATTTAGTGCTTAGTGGGTTACATCACTAAACCGATAATTTGGGGAGATTTGATACCATTCCTTTTCTTTGAGGTTACTATTTTGCTCAGCTACAATTCCAAGTTATTTATAGTACTGATCAGGGCCGGACTGGGAGAAAAATTCGGCCCGGGCATTTTTTTAACACAGCGGCCCACTAAAAAGGGGGCGGGGCAGAGGAGGTGTGTTTTGCCATCACCAATGACAAACACGCCTCCTCTCAAAGTGAGCATGTTGGTTCAATGCTCTTCCAGGGCAGACCATGCGCAGAGCTCTGCTGAAGAGCTCTAGCATGAGAAAAAAGTCCTGTATTTGTTATGCACAGTGCAAGCAAATTTAATAACATGCTTGCACTGTGTTTCCTTGCAACTAGTCTCTGGTGTCTTTATAAATGGATACCAGGAGACAAAAGGCCAGGAAAGAGTATTGTGCATGTGTTTGGAGCCTGCTTGTGGTATTGCGTGTGTGTAGAGTGAGCTGGTCGTGGTGTGGTATTGTGTAATAAGGTCGGTTTTAGTCGTGTTGTGTCTGTGGTGTAATGTGATGCATATGTGGCTCAGGGACCCCCTCCCGCCCGGCTCTGGAAAGGGGTTAAAACCTACCTTTTTCCAGCGCCGGGCGGGGAGCTCTCCTCCTCCGATCCGCCCCGTCGGCTGAATGCGCATGCGCGGCAAGAGCTGCGCGCGCATTCAGCCGGTCGCATAGGAAAGCATTTATAATGCTTCCCTATGGACGCTTGCGTGCTCTCACTGTGATTTTCACAGTGAAAAGCACGCAAGCGCCTCTAGCGGCTGTCAATGAGACAGCTGCTAGAGGCTTTGGGGGAAGGCTTAACCCTTTATAAAACAATGGGTTAACCCTAGAAGGACCTGGCACCAAGACCACTTCATTAAGCTGAAGTGGTCTGGGTGGCTAGAGTGGTCCTTTAAGAGTGTAGTGTAGTGTGTGTGTGTGTGTGTGTGTGTGTGTGTGTGTGTATATATATATATATATATATTTGGAAGTATTGTGTATGTGTGTGGTGCAGTGTGTTGGGGGGGTTCTGTGTGTATGTGAGGGGTGCAGTATGTGTGTGTGTGAGGGGTGCGGTGTGTGTGAGGGGTGCGGTGTGTGTGTGTGAGGGGTGCTGTGTGTGAGAGTGCCGTGTGAGAGTGCCGTGTGTGTGTGAGAGTGCTGTGTGTGTGATGGGTGTGAGAGTGCTGTGAGTGTGATGGGTGTGAGAGTGCTGTGTGTGATGGGTGAGAGAGTGCTGTGTGAGAGAGTGCTGTGTGAGAGAGTGCTGTATGTGATGGGTGTGAGAGTGCTGTGTGAGATGGGTGTGAGAGTGCTGTGTGAGATGGGTGTGAGAGAGTGCTGTGTGTGATGGGTGTGAGAGAGTGCTGTGTGTGATGGGTGTGAGAGTGCTGTGTGAGATGGGTGTGAGAGTGCTGTGTGAGAGAGTGCTGGGTGTGATGGGTGTGAGAGAGTGCTTTGTGTGATGGGTGTGAGAGAGTGCTGTGTGTGATGGGTGTGAGAGTGCTGTATAAATGTTATTGTGTGTGTGTGTAGGGGGGTAAATAAAACAAAAACAAAAAAAACAGTCATTATGTCCCCCCTTCCCTTCTTACCTTTAGCCTGGGAGGGGGGGGACCGGCATGCTGGTGCCTGGGAGCCCTGGTGGTCCTCGTGGGTGAGTGAACTCTAGCCTGTGAGGCTAGAGTTCACTCTCACGAGATCCGGCCGTTGCCATGGCAACGCGCTGGATCTCGCGAGAGGAACCCAGCGGAGCTGCAAGTTAGAGCTCCGCCGGGTCCTCTCTCCAGCCTGGCTGGCTGTCTCCCTCCTTCCCTCCCCGCCGGCGGCCGCATGTGGGCCGGTCACGGAGATCCTTGATCTCCCCACCAGCCCGTCGTGGCAAACAGCTAGGAGAGTGCCGGCCCTGCATAGACCGGCAGGGGAGATCCTGGGACCTCCCCTGCCGGCCTCGGCCCATGGCCACCGCGGCCCACCGGGCATTTGCCCGGTGTGCCCGATGGCCAGTCCGGGCCTGGTACTGATTGCTTTACTCAATTATAATTTGATTTAATGAGATGATAGTGAACATGCTACATACATATAGTACATGCATGTTTTATGTATATACACATACATACAATGAAACGTTTGCTCCCACTATAAACGAAGAGCCACATACAGGGAGTGCAGAATTATTAGGCAAGTTGTATTTTTGAGGATTAATTTTATTATTGAACAACAACCATGTTCTCAATGAACCCAAAAAACTCATTAATATCAAAGTTGAATATTTTTGGAAGTAGTTTTTAGTTTGTTTTTAGTTATAGCTATGTTAGGGGGATATCTGTGTGTGCAGGTGACTATTACTGTGCATAATTATTAGGCAACTTAACAAAAACAAATATATACCCATTTCAATTATTTATTATTACCAGTGAAACTAATATAACATCTCAACATTCACAAATATACATTTCTGACATTCAAAAACAAAACAAAAACAAATCAGTGACCAATATAGCCACCTTTCTTTGCAAGGACACTCAAAAGCCTGCCATCCATGGATTCTGTCAGTGTTTTGACCTGTTCACCATCAACATTGCGTGCAGCAGCAACCACAGCCTCCCAGACACTGTTCAGAGAGGTGTACTGTTTTCCCTCCTTGTAAATCTCACATTTGATGATGGACCACAGGTTCTCAATGGGGTTCAGATCAGGTGAACAAGGAGGCCATGTCATTAGATTTTTCTTCTTTTATACCCTTTCTTGCCAGCCACGCTGTGGAGTACTTGGACGCGTGTGATGGAGCATTGTCCTGCATGAAAATCATGTTTTTCTTGAAGGATGCAGACTTCTTCCTGTACCACTGCTTAAAGAAGGTGTCTTCCAGGAACTGGCAGTAGGACTGGGAGTTGAGCTTGACTCCATCCTCAACCCGAAAAGGCCCCACAAGCTCATCTTTGATGATACCAGCCCAAACCAGTACTCCACCTCCACCTTGCTGGCGCCTGAGTCGGACTGGAGCTCTCTGCCCTTTACCAATCCAGCCACGGGCCCATCCATCTGGCCCATCAAGACTCACTCTCATTTCATCAGTCCAAAACCTTAGAAAAATCAGTCTTGAGATATTTCTTGGCCCAGTCTTGACGTTTCAGCTTGTGTGTCTTGTTCAGTGGTGGTCGTCTTTCAGCCTTTCTTACCTTGGCCATGTCTCTGAGTATTGCACACCTTGTGCTTTTGGGCACTCCAGTGATGCTGCAGCTCTGAAATATGGCCAAACTGGTGGCAAGTGGCATCGTGGCAGCTGCACGCTTGACTTTTTTCAGTTCATGGGCAGTTATTTTGCGCCTTGGTTTTTCCACACGCTTCTTGCGACCCTGTTGACTATTTTGAATGAAACGCTTGATTGTTCAATGATCACGCTTCAGAAGCTTTGCAATTTTAAGAGTGCTGCATCCCTCTGCAAGATATCTCACTATTTTTGACTTTTCTGAGCATGTCAAGTCCTTCTTTTTACCCATTTTGCCAAAGGAAAGGAAGTTGCCTAATAATTATGCACACCTGATATAGGGTGTTGATGTCATTAGACCACACCCCTTTCTCATTACAGAGATGCACATCACCTAATATGCTTAATTGGTAGTAGGCTTTCGAGCCTATACAGCTTGGAGTAAGACAACATGCATAAAGAGGATGATGTGGTCAAAATACTCATTTGCCTAATAATTCTGCATTCCCTGTAATGCTATAGCCAGTGGCAACTAAAGTATGCATGTTTAACAAACGTCAACGTTCATTGCTATTTAGCCTGTTTGATGCAAAAATGTAAAGAACATGGGCCACAGTTTATGATTTTGGATAAGCTTTTCAAATGATTTAATATTTTTGGATAAACTTTTAAATGTATTTTTTTATAATTTCAAAAATATATCACATAGGAGGTGGAGCCAGCTCTTGACCGGAGTACTCGCATGCTTGCAGCGCTCTGTCTCAATGGATTGAAACCACATACAATTTAAGCTTTACCAGGGGTATTTCTGGCATACAGACTATCTACAAGGACTGCTCTACCTACGATGTGGAAAACTAAAAAATGAAAGCCGGCCCGGCGTTGGCATTCTGCAAATATAAAACAAACGAATGTAGCGCTTAGATAGTAAATAAATAAATCACCTTTGGTTTAAATTGGACGGAGGATTTCCCTTTATATACTCAATATGTGCAGGTATCTACAAAAGATAATTTCGCTTATATAGTAAATAAATAAATCACCTTTGGTTTAAATTGGACAGAGGATTTCCCCTTATATACTCAATATGGTACATTCGTTTTGGTTTTGTATTTGATGTTGGACTACATTCGTTTTGGTTTTGTATTTGATGTTGGACTACATTCGTTTTGGTTTTGTATTTGATGTTGGCCTACATTCGTTTTGGTTTTGTATTTGATGTTGGTGATGTAAGGGATCGCTTGAATGTATAGCAGCTGGTTATTTAAAAGCAGATATATTGTGATCTAATTCTATTTAAGAAGCGCTGGTACTCATTTTACTATTCTGCAAATATAGGCTTCCTGTTCATAGGCTGCATGGCGAAATCAGGCCCGACATGGTGTTGGATCTCTGAGATTTTTCAGACACTTTTGGCTAGCTGCCGCTGTATAGAAAAGAGAATCTGGGCTTTCAGGAACACCATTAAATCTCACCTTTTGGTCAAGGGGGCATCTACTCCGGTGACCACAGCCATTCTAACAATCCTCTTGGTGGACCTTCATCACAGCATACTGGCAGATATCTCCCAGGTCAGAGGACTTAGCATTGTGGAGAAGACTGCAGTGACCCACGGTGCACAAATTTCTAAATTGAAGAAACAGGTCGATGACCATCTGGAAGACCAACTAGCAGCACTTTAAGATAAAAGATAGTGGAACACTGAAGATAATAGGCCTGTCAGATGATATTGCTATGCCTGAACTTCCACACTTGAACTAGACGGCATGTTCTGCCTGCCAAAGCCTCAGACGAACACATCGGCTGCCTCTATTGATCTATTGATCAAATTTCAAAGTGGGCAAGACAAATCTGCCTTATTGCCTCTCGTGCATGACTCTACAACAAATGAAATCAATTTAATTACTTACGTGACGTGATCATAACACTATCTTGTATGAGATCATATTAAGGCTGATTTAATACAGTGTGTAAGCACTACAACATAACACACAGTCTGACAAAACAACTTATTATTCGTATGTTTTTGTGCTATGTCTTTGTATACATCTTGTATACCATGTTAAGTCAAACATGTGTCTGCCTGTGGCATAAATAAATAATTAAAAACAATATTTTTTATATGTATATCTATATTATATAAAAAATATATCAACAAATAAAAAAAAAAAGTTTTTTTCAGCAAAATATTACATTTCAAATGTTTAAACAAAATGTTTTAACTACTTGTCAAAAATATTTAAACCAAGGCCATGGTTGGACAGTGTGCAAGGCTCCGTAACAGCACTGCAGGAACTATGATTGGATGTTCTCAAAGGAAAACAGCTAACAATCACATATTCACAATTTAAATACCTTTATATTAAAACAGAATATCCACTTAATTGAAAAGAGAAGAATGGGAAAGCTAAGAACATAGACCGTGCAGGGTTGTGGAACATAAGATTATTATTAAAAGCGATGGGAACACCCAAGTAGGAATGATCAGGAAGAGATTTGGAAGGAAGGGTTCCATTACAGAATGTTGACTTGGGTATGGAATCTAGGCCATGACTAATTTCTCTTTCTTCATTTGCTTTCTTCCCTCTAGGTGCCATATAGCCAACTTAAATGGCGTATATTACAAAAATGGAAATTACACTGGTGAATATGACAACGGAATCGTTTGGTCCACTTGGCGAGGCTTGTGGTACTCATTGAAACATGTATCAATGAAGATCAGAAGACCCACATTTCTCGATGTGGGCAGTGGAACTGGCATAAATGGTTAATTGAACGTTATTGCCAAGGACAGGCACCAATTACACTGATGTCAGCTGAAATAGTGCAAAAGCAGCTAGATACAGCTCCTGTTAAAATATATTGTTACCGGTATATTTTTCATATTATTTACTTTGCAGAATTTACTGTACAGCAAGTTCCAATATCTAGGAAAATTATACTAATCAGACAGGATATCAAAAGACATGTGAACAGAAGCTATATTTGCTTGTATGTGAAATTAAAGCCTTGGAATGCCCGTCCATATAATGTTTAAAACACAGTAAATGACATTAAATGTTATCTGTTTCCATGTGATTTTATATTTACTCTTCACATTAACAAGGTTAATCCCCTAAGGAGTGAAATATACAGAATTCAGAGTGAATTTTACACTTAAGGCCAAAAAAAGCTGAGCTGGCAAAATTCTCCAAGTCGGCTATTTTTACATTTTAGCAATTGCGGCCCAAAACTTGAAATTCACTTTAAATTCCCCAAATGTCACACTTTCGGTAATAACTGTGTCTGAGAACAAATTCACACATGTAAAATAGGAAACCCAGTGTGTACCTCCTACGCAAACATTTAAACAAACCACTGTTACTGGCTTTTTTCAAGTAATTGTTCTTTATACGCTAACACAGGGGTCAGCAACCAATGGCACCTGTGCCCGAGATAAACAGGCTCTGGCCTATCAGGAGTCCCAGTGGGACTTCAGATATCTGCTAGTGCAAACCGATCAGCATTTGCAGGTGGTGAGGGGCAATCCTCAAGTTACGCATTGCAGCACTTCCTCTCCTGACTTGTGAACGAGAAACCACACTGGAGTAAAGCAGCCCACACCAGCTATCGCAGCTCCTCCCCTAGACCTGTCCCTGGCCATCCAGGTCCCCACTGAACCCCAGGGAAGCCACACACTGCTAGCTATACAGAGCTGCAGAAGAATTCTTCCCATCATACAAATTATACACACATATACACACACACACACACCACTGACAATCCACATGCATGCACACAACCACACAAGCAGCCTCTCACATGCAATAACACATACAAACACCACCAAACACACAATGTGACATTTCATATACACACACAATTCCATAAGCAGCCCCCATACAGAGCCCACATTCATTGGTATCATACACAATAAAACCAAGTACTCATGAAAATATACAACATAACAGCCCAAATACGCACAAATACAATGTTACAAAGCAACTGCAGAAACCATAAATTACACAAGCACAATACGGCAATATAAAACCTCAATTCAAAAGAATAAGACTGGCTCGCCAAGGGACTTCAAGATCTTGTTTTGGTACGGTGCTACTGAAAGGCTGCCTACCCCTGCAGAAAAAAATATTAGTATAAGATTTATTTGAAACAAGGGATGCATAGCTAGCATATAAACAAAGCAAAACACTGCCATTTTGTGTACAGATTGCTTTTTCAGACAAACGTAACAATTTTATTTTTTTTCTGCTTATTTGTTTATCTTTTATAGAAAATATTTGGGGATTGAAAAGATTTAGTCAGTATACAGTGTCCTTTATTATGCAATATTCCACCCAGGAACTCATGAAGGGCTTACTAGCAGTACAGCTTACTGAAAGTGGCAACAGAATGTAAACATGTCTGCATATAAATAAAATTCCCACATACAGAAACTACAATTAAAATAACATATTTTAAAAAAAAGTCTTTATCAATCTCTAGACTGCTAATGTAATGCTAAGAGTGAAGTGGTAGAATCCATTCAATTCTCTCATCTCCATGACAGTAGGAATGATTAAACCCATTGAAACTTCCTTTACTTTTTGGAAGCAGGGGAGCAAACATTTTCAGCACACTTGCAGTTATTAAAGCAGTGGCTTCTGGCAGAGAAATTTGTTCCTCGATGGGCTGGTAATCATTGCTAGAGTATAAATGAGAGTGAGTGAGGCTTTGTGGACTAAAGTAGAAACATTTATACTTGATTCTGGTAGTGAAGTCAGGGCCAGTGCAAGGATTTCTGCCTCCCCCCCCCCTTATGCGCTACCCACCATGTGACATCACAATGCCCAACCCATATGTTCTGTCATATGAACAAACGCCAGTGCTGCACACAGTGTGTGTTTACATAAAAAAGCCTGCAGGGACAGGCTATAGACACCAGAACCACTACATTAAGCTGCACTGGTTCTGGGGACAATAGTGTTCTTTTAATGTGAGGTAAATTAGAGATTAGTGTCACTAATAATATACTAGACGGCCTACTTACAACCAGATGAGGATGGTGATGGGCTCTGGCTGCAGTCTGGCTCCACTGGTCTGGATAGAACAGGCTCTCTGGAGGCTGTTTGTAACTGTGGTCACAAAAATCAATGTTCTGGGGGAACGGGAAGCAGCTCAATTTTTTGGTGCCCTTTGCATAGCTCAAGGTCTGGCCCCCATGGCCTGACAGTGAGTATGCCCATAAGGCCCATCCATAGAGGATCTAATGTGTGTGCTTATGGAATGTAGAGTATAGGGATACCAGTTTGTGTGTCAATACTTCTAATAAAAGTAAGTCCCTGATCGAAACGGGAAAAAATAACTTACCTAGATCGCAGCAGAGTGCAGCCCGATTCTCAATGAAGACGGATCCCGGCTGGTGCGGCATTCAAAGGGACGTTCTCAAAGTTAAAGGGCACACTGCCCACATAAAAGATGGTGCCGGTGTGTGTGTGACGTCATGATATCGACGCACGTGCACGTTTTGGGGTCAAGGGCCATGTAATAACCAATCACAGCACGGAGCGGCATATTTAAACCCTGTAATGCCTTTTCTCAGTGCCCTGACATGGTTTCCACTTGTTGGTTGTCAGCAAGCAAGTTCTTAGTATTGTATTTCTGTTTTTTTACTTTTGCTTTTGCCTTTCCCTACTTCTGGTATCCTGACCCTTGGCTAGCTTATTTGTATTGTCTTATTCTGTATTCCCGACCTTGGCTTGTTATTTGACCATTCTCTTTTACGTTAAATCCGGCCATTCTAAGATCTGGTATACGTTGTTTGTGTTAATATAGTTTTGCGTGTTGGGTCACATAGTAATCGTGACATTGTGTAGGCAATGCAGTGTCTGTGTGTGTAGTGGATGCAGTGTGTTTTTGTGTAAAGGATAGAAAGCAGTGTGTGTTTGTGTGTAAGGATGTATTATGTGTAAGGGATGCATTGTGTGAATCTGTGTTTGTATGTGTTACGGATGCAAGGTGTGTTTATGTGTATGTAAGGGATGCAGTGTGTGTGTCTGTAAGGGGTGCATTGTTTGTCTCTAAGGGATGAATTGAGTGTGTGCAAGAGAAGCCGTGTGTGTAAGGGATGCATTGAGTCTTTCTGTGTGTAAGGGATGCAGTGTGTGTGTAAGGGATGCATTGTGTGTGTAATGGATGCATTGTGCGTTTCTCTGTGTGTAAGGGAAGCTCGGTGTGTTTCTGTGTGTGTGTAGGCATGCGTTGTGTGTTTCTGTGTATGTATAGGGATGCATTGTATGTCTGTGTGAGTGTGTATTGTGAAAGAGAGTTTGTGGGGTAGGATAGGGGCTGAGAGGGGAGCAGAAAAAATATAATATTTTTTTTTCTTACATCCCCCTTTAGTGTTTCTCTTGCAAGCCCCTTGTTTGTCTCGTATCCCCCTCTTTGTATGTCTCCTACATCCTCCCAACGTCTTTGTGTGTCTTACTCCCCCTAGCCCCTTTGTGTTTATCTCTTCTGAGCTCCTCTGTGTGTCGCTTTCTCCCCTACCAGCACCTACCAGCTCGGCCATGTTACACTGAGGGACTGGCAGGAGGGAGCGCTGAGCGCTTCCCTCCTGCTGATCCCTCATATTTTGCGCCCCCGGGCCGGTGCGCCCTCATGGACTCGCTGGCCTGGGCAGTGCTGCAGCCGCCTGAAGCTCTCTATAGAGCGCTCAGGCAGCTGCAGCATGAGGGGAGCCGGCGCCGGTAATTTTGTTGCCCACAGCAAGCTTAGTTGTTAACAAGCAACTTACTTTAATTTTCTTTTACTCTATAAGCATGTTTCATTGCATCTACATAACTCTATGTGTCTAGTTTATCCTAATTGACTAACTAGTGTTCCTGACATATTTTTTGCGTTTTTCCAAGCATTTTCTAACTTTGTAGACACGTTTACCTAATATGACATCCAATAGTTCAAAATGTGCAGTTTAGCGTACTAGGCTACCGATATAAGCATGTTTTATCATATTATTTCTTTCTTGATATTAATCACTATGTCTAACTTGCCTCTTGTGTCTACCCGCCTAGTTTAAGCCAATGTTTTAGACATATGTAGCTAGCCTGAATCTATTACACCATATAAATAGGCTGTTATGTTGAAATGCCACACATCCATCCTGATATGTGTTTTGAACTGCCTGCTATAGCTGTTGGGGCATTCTGGGCTTGTCTGTTCTCCTCTTTATGCATTGCAAAAATAAAGAATAATTAAAAAAAAAAGAATGGTGTAAACATCACCAAGTGGCATGTTGTAATGAGATTTCCCAGTAACCAAGTGTCTCCTGAAATCTTGCTATTCTATGCTGATCAGCTTATGTGATCAATGCTAATGAATCAGATAATGTGCTAATTTACAGACAATGAGTGAACAGTTATGCAAAATCAATCTTTTTTTCCATTAGTTTGTTATATTTATTAAAGCTGAAACATAAGTCTTTTTTCAAGTATTCAATGTAAAACTGGATATATTTGATAGATTCAGTAGTAGTTACTGTGATTTTTAACAGTGTTCAAGTAAAAAAAAAAAAAACAAAAAAAAAAAAACGTGTGTGTATAAAAATTTGACAAGTGCCTTTTTATTCCTAAATTCTCCCAAGTTTAAAGCAAGTGGTCGAAATTCCCCACCGCCCAATCATTTGAAAGAGAAATAAGGATTTTTTTAACCAAATATAAATAATTCAAGAGGCAATGACAATAGGGTCAAATTACCAGTCTCTCCACGCTTAATGTACTAGTTTCATCCTCTTCATTGGAAGCAAAATATCCTGGAAGATCAATCATTTGCTGCTCTGCCTCTGTGAGTCCAAATGTTGAATTGTCATAAAACGAATACTCTGTTCCCCATGGGAAACTCTGACACTTTTCTTTTCTGTTTTGCACAGAAATCAGAGAACTTTTTTTGTTATAACTATCTTTGGGTGAAGAAGAGAGGTCCCGGTGTACTCTATTCCAAGTTGTATTCACTGGAGAGGGGCCTTTTCTGGGTCGATTTTGCTCGGGCCTCTCTGCATTTGATGTTCTAGCCGACAGCTGCCTACTACAGATTAAATCAGGCTTACTCCCCATTGGTCTCACATAGGAACTCTTTGTAAGATAGCCAGTTGAATCTTTGAAATTAATGCCCCTTGTAATATTGTCAGTGCTCTTATCAGTCCTTGTTGGTTTATATTTTGATCGTTCTACTGTAGAACATTCCCATGTCCTTGTCTTGGCATTATAAGACATAGAATGTCTTGGAGAAAGTGTTGTTAGACTTCTTTCCCTATAGGGCTTGTTGTGTTTAGTGTCATGAAAACTAGATGTTCTCCTAAAGTTATTTTTTTGACAACCTCTCTCATAGTGCCTTGATTTTGTGTCTTGATTCTTTAAGTGGGATAACCTGGGGAGAGTTTGACTAGGAGTTACTCCGTGTGATGGTGAGAATACAGACTTTGAGTTGGGTCTTTCATCACGACCATGAGTGTTCTTTGGCACTAAAAACGGAGACTGTATCCTGAATTTGTTTGTGTTGGTTTCATCTGAGTTATCATTGATAGGTGGTGGATTCAATGACATATCTACTGCGGTGTCCGCCATAGGATTCTGAGAAACATGATATACTTTGGTGGCCTCAGAAAGTCCCTTTTGTCTCATCTCTTTAAGCTGCTGCTGTGCAAGACGATAACTGAAAATGGGTGGAATTATCTTCTGAACGTTTGGTGAATCGTCAATCTCTTTGATTGCTTGCTCTTGGGAAACAGGGGAACTTTGTCTGTAATTTAAAGGTATATGAACAGCATCGTCTGTGCTGTCCATAAGAATTTCCCCTGTATCAGAAAAACTCTCCCTCAACTGGTAGATATTCTCCTCATCTGAGTTCTTTCGACAGCTGACTGAATGATTAGAGTTATGTCTAACAGTGGAACTGCATGTCTGAGCTTTGCTGAGCTTCCTCCAGACAGTGATAACAATGGTGATGACGATGATGAACAGACATAAAGAAATTCCAGTTATAGTTACAGTATTACTTGTTGTTTTACTATCTCCATTGGAATTTTTCGTAGATTTGATTGGAGGCTTTATTGCTATAATATAAAAAGAATAATAAATCAGATATATCCAAATAGAAATTATACAAAAATATATAGATGTATTGGATTACACATTGTACATCCTTTTTTAGAGTAATGATTATGCAAAGAAATATATATATATACACATTTATATATATATATATATATATTGTGATCCTTGTCGGCAGGTAGCACGGTCCTCTAGGGCAAAAACATGCACAGTCCTTGTAAATGCATATACTCCAGGCACTCTATTTTTAAATCCACACAGGATACAGCAGTAAATTAAAACATAAATGAAACACAAAACCCTATAAACAAAAACCTAGCTCGGTCTGAGCACTAACTAACTTTGAATGTCCCTCTCTATCAGGGTTAAACTAACAAAACATATGGCACCAACCTTATTAGTTAGCAACACTCTGCTGGCTAGCCTGTTGCGTTCCTTTCCTGCACTCCCAGTGCTCCAAGCCAGCCTTGCCCTGACTGCTTTCCTTTCTGCACTCCCAGTGCTCCAAGCCAGCCTTGCCCTGACTGCTTTCCTTTCTGCACTCCCAGTGCTCCAAGCCAACCTTGCCCTGACTGCTTCCTTTCTGCACTCCAAGTGCCTAGTCTCCTTGACTCTATCTGGAGAGAACAGCCTCTCTCTCCTACCTGCTTCCTGGGAGGAAGCCAGCAATCCCTCTCCTTTTCCTGCCTAGCCGGGAGGGGTTTATTCCCACTGCAATAGCTCATTAACTGCAGCTGAGCAGTGGGTTGGAGACGGTCCAAAAAACCCTGGCCTGGATCTATGTCTCCCCAGAAAACCACTAAACTGTGGAGTGGAGCATTGGCCCACCCTTCTCTCCAAATGCTCCACCCCAGGGGCCCATAACTAAACAATGCTTTGTGTTGTGCAACACACAAACTACACATACTCCCCCTGGGGTTAAAAGGCCTATCTGCCTTCACTTTATCACAATATATATAGCCCTAAAGCTAGTATACTATGTTTATTTCCAAGGACCAGATGCATTCAACTAATTGGTAAAATATACCTTATATTAATTTGTGGCTATAATTCTATTGGATTGTATTATCACAGTACTTAAAAATAGTCACATTGCTGGTCTGCATTAAAATGAACCAGTCATCCCTGCATCCATTATCTACTACACCAGCAGTGGCAATTATTATAGTTTCCTTATTATATATTATAAGAAAATCAAAGGCTCTTGGGGATCAATGCATTTGCCCTCTCTGAATCACATTGGTTTCAAATAAACACTTAAAGTGGTTTATGTTATTTAATCTTATGCTAAGCAGGCTCCATACATTATCTTATGTTAAGCAGGCTCAATACATTATTGTGAGATACGTAGGCTGCATCAACTCTATGATAAACCCCACTTGTACCTAAAATAAAATGAAGGGACCTGAGCTAGGTTATATTCTACTCTACTTATTACATCTAGAAATTAGAATTTCTTATTGAAAAAAAATGTAAGAAACTCTTAACCATTATAGGTACAGAAAGATGGAGGACCCTGTACTTGGGAAGAAGATCTCATAGTGAGAGAAGAATTTCTACTGAAAAGAGATGGTTAAGGTGGAGAGTGAAAGGGAGATTTTTCCTGAATCACTATGCAGACTATTATGGTGCGAGAATGCTTAATTCTGAGGGTTAAAGCAAGGGTTAGAATTCAGAGCATAGGTGCAGCATGAGGAAAGTGTTTCAGAAGACAGTAAAAAGAAGGGGTGGCAGAAATCCTCCACAGAATTTTGAAGGTGGTAGTGAGAGTGTAAAAGAAATCTATATCATGCATTCGTAGTCTCTTTTTTCTTCAATAGTTTTTTTGTTGTTTTTTTTTTTTAGCAAGAGTAGCGTTCATCTTGATCTCTATAGAAAATTGTTAGAGAGACCATTAACCTACTTGAGCAGTCTTCTAGAGAGCAAATGGAGATCTCCTTTGGGCTTCCATTGCAAGAAGGATTTAAAAGTGACGTTGAAAGACATTCCCTGTGTCGCTGTCTTTGACCATCTCCACATGTAGTGCTGCAGGGACTCCATGATTGCCACAGGCTCCATGTCTCTGTAAATGGTAAACACAAAATACCTAACCATATTGATCACAGCCAGAAAAGACATTAATCTGAGTATGTTTATCCATTTAATGGCAGAATTATTTTAGATGATTATTCATTATTTACTAAGACAAAAAACATGGGTAAAATGAGCATTTTTTATGAAAAATGTTTACAAGTATACTAAGAGCAAATCTGCAGCAATGTGTTTATTGTACCCAAATTGTAACTTTTTAAAAACAAAAATAGGGATCAAATTTAAAAAAATATATCAGGTGCTTAAAATTTCCTACAATTTTCCGTTGGGCAGAATGGATAGAATCAAAGAAGGGCCCCCCTCAATGTGAGGGTTGTGGATGTAACATGTAACATTAAAACAATGCTATTTTTTTATTTTTTTTTACCCTCTTCCTAATACCTTGTGGCCTGGAGGTGCTCTGCTTGGCGGACATTTGTCACATGCTCTTTCGGTCTGGCGCTTGACTGAGCCAGAGTATTGCCACAGTAACTCTGACTCATTCTCCAGGTGGTCCCTCGTGAACGTTAACAGTTATTTAATAAGTTGCAAAACTAGCAATATATGATGCAATGCATCTCGATGAGGAGATGCTGATTGGCCAGAGTTGTGTTTCACTTGTGCTGGCTCTGCCCCTGATCTGCCTCCTTGACAGTTATAACCAATCCAATGCTTTCCTATGGGAAAGCATTGTGATTGGCTGAGATAACCACTTCTGATGTCAGTCAAGCATGCAGGTCAGGGGCAGAGCCAGCACCAGCAGATTGGAATAATGGTAAGATTTTACTATATTTAGGTGGACAAGATGGCTAGATTAGCACTGTAGAATCAGGAATACATGTTTGTGTTCCTGACCCTACAGTGTTCTTTTTTTGTTGTTCTTTTATTACATCAGTAATTGGTATTTTTAATTCATGTTTTCTTAGTCTTTAGGAACATTGTTGTCAAATACCAAATCATCATTTGTTTTTTCTTGTTCCATTTTATCTTTAAGTTTCGTACATTACTCAATTTACATTATACCATTCCTGGGGAATCTAATATTAGCCGTAGTAAACTAGATATCTTGTGAAATTCCCCCATCATTCATTCCAACTCTATGTGCTTGCTATTTTTATTTGCACAAAAGCTGTAGGGTAACAATATTCCTCATTTACACTACCAACCTGATAAACCATTTACACAATAGGGCACTGTCAGTGGGGGTCAAATGGGAGGTCCATATAGTCCACCACTGTAAAACCTCCATTCACCCAGGGATTCCATATGCTATGATACATCTCAAGATTACCAAGGTTAGCATATATCGCCTTTTCCATTAAACTTTGATAATTCACCTGAATTTGTATCTCAGTCCAACAAGGGATTATAGATGTATTCCATCGTCTAGTGATACATATCTTTGCTGCCATTAGAATTTCTATCGCCAGCATATGAAAATATTTATTATTATTAGGTAGGTCTAAATGAAAAAGAAAGGTATGAGATGATATTCGAAATGTAAGACGCATAATTTTACCAATAACTCATTCTAATTTATTTTTTAAAGGCAGAAGCTTTATCCAAACCCACCATATGTGTTTATGTGTACCTGGGTTTAAATTACCACTACGAAAAATATTTTGAATATTCTTTTGAAATTTAAATACTTTTGCCGGAACCATGTACCATCTATGTAAGATCTTAATGTAATTTTCATAGATGATAGTATTATGAATTTTTTGGGGGGGTAACTTGAATGCTTTTGCCCACTCTTCATCTGAGAAATTAACTTCAATTTCGTGTTCCCATTTCATGACACTATTTAATTTCCCATTAGGTTTATGTTCATCGAGTATCTTGTTTATTTTTTAGATTAAATTATTGTTCCCATCTATCGAGAATATTTTATCAAATAAATCAGGAGCTATTGTTTTATTTCTCCCGTTGTTTTTTATTTTCAGGTAGGTTAAGAACTCAGATTTTAAAGAGATATTCCTTTCCTGTATTTCTTGAAATGATTTTAGATTGTTACCTATATATATATATATATATAGATCTCCCAAAAGTTTAAATCCCGCCTCTTTCGATTTACATCTATTTATATCTGAAAGATGACTGATAAGTACATTTATAGGTGCCAAGACTGAGAGATTGTTTTCAATTTTAGAACATGTTTTTAGATATTTCATAGACCTAAATAGGTCTATAAGAATTTTGTTTTGACCTTTCAGTTTTTTAAAAGCTATAGTATCTAGCCAGATTAACCAGAAATGCTTTAAGTATTCCAAAGCTTGTTTTTTTATAATTTGAAGCTAAAAGATGCGTGATCATAATTGCATCGAGTTTCATGAATACATATGGAAATGAGACTCACCATCCTTTAGGTTTTGACAAAGATTTTTATAAGAAGTTATTGTTTTTTTGTGACCCCATATGAATTTCAGGAAAATTTTATGAAACTCGCTCAGGAACTTTTTGGGTATCCTCAGAGGAATTGTGCGCATTAGATTTTCGAGTTTAGGTATAATGTAATCTTATATTACACTAATTCGACCCAACCATGATATATACAATGGTTTCCATTTAATTAATGAGTTTCTTATTTCTTGAAGAAGAGAGGAGTACTTATTCTGAATAATTTTATTCTAGTTAAATCCCAATCTAATTCCCAGATAATCCAAAGACCCGGCAGACCAATTCAAGTTATATTTCTATTTTAGAATGCTTAACTCTGAATCTGTTACATTGCAATATATAGAATAAGATTTAGTTAGATTAATTCTATAGTCTGATATAATACTAAAATCCTTTATACACTTAAGTGATTGCGTTCTACGAAGAAGTAAGTAGAAGTATAGATCAGGGTGTTGCTGTGGATGTGATCTATTTGGATTTTGCCAAGGCATTTGATACAGTTCCACACAATAGATTAGTGTTCAAACTCAAGGAAATCAGTCCAGATGAAAATGCTTGTTCTTGGGTAGAACATTGGCTTAAAAACAGAGTACAAAGAGTTGACATTAATGGTTAATTTTCAAGCTGAACAGAGGTGGCAAGTGGAGTCCCTCAGGGGTCTGTTCTGGGACCCCTTCTATTTAACATGTTTATAAATGATCTTGAAGACTGCATTGAAAGTCATGTTTCAGTGTTTGCAGATGACACCAAACTTTGTAAAACAATACAATGTGAGCAAGATATTACTTTGCTGCAGAGGGATTTAGATAGACTGGGGGACTGGGCACTCAAATGGCAGATGAAATTTAATGTTGAAAAATGCAAAGTTATGCACTTCGGCGTAAAGAATACACAAGCAACGTATACCCTTAATGGAAGCGAATTAGGGATAACAACACACGAAAAGGACTTGGGAATTGTTATAGACAACAAACTATGCAACAATGTGCAATGTCAATCAGCAGTGGCCAAGGCCAGTAAGGTATTGTCATGCATGAAAAAGGGCATTCATTCTCGGGACAAGAATATAATTTTGCCTCTTTATAAATCACTGGTAAGACCCCATATTGAATATGCTGTGCAATTTTGGGCACCTGTTCTAAAGAAGGATATTATGGCACTAGAAAAAGTGCAGAGGCGGGCTACAAAATTAATAAAAGGAATGGAACATATTGGCTATGAAGAAAGGTTAACAAATTTAAACCTATTTAGTTTAGAAAAACGTCGCCTGAGAGGGGATATGATAACATTATACAAATATATTCGGGGCCAATACAAACCATTGTGTGGAAATCTATTCACAAACCGGACTTTACATAGGACACGAGGCCATGCGTTTAGACTGGAAGAAAGAAGATTTCGTCTAAGGCAAAGGAAAGGTTTTTTTACTGTAAGAACAATCAGGATGTGGAATTCTCTGCCTGAAGAAGTGGTTTTATCAGAGTCCATACAGATGTTCAAACGGCTACTAGATGCATACTTGCAAAGAACAGAATATTCAAGGATATAATCTTTCAATGTAGGGTAATAACTGCTTGATCCAAGGATAAATCTGACTGCCATTCTGGGGTCAAGAAGGAATTTTTTTCCTAGCTTGTTGCAAAATTGTGCTTCAAACTGTTTTTTTTTGCCTTCTTTTGGATCAACAGCAAAAAACAAATGTGAGGTAGGCTGAACTTGATGGACGCAAGTTTCTTTTCAGCTATGTAACTATGTAACTAAGTATGGCTGGAATGGAGACCTCTGGGCAGACAAGAGTGAGAATTATATCATCTGCATATAGCGAGATTTTATATTGATAATAATTTTTTTTAATTCCCATTATCTCTTTTGATTGTCAAATAATTGTGGCTAGGGGTTCGATAGTGAGGATATAAAGCATAGGGGCAAGTGGACAGCCTTGTCTTGTCCCATTGTTAATCATGAATATTTCAGATTATAATCCCCCTCCACAAACTTTTGCACAAATCTTTCATCATATTTTATAAAAAAAATGTATAGTAAATTATATGATATGATGAAAATAATGGTATCTTTAGAAAGACCATTTAATGGCGAGAAAAACGGTATGTAATATATGTGGGTACAGTAAATGAGTAAGAGGAAAATTACAGCTAAAGAGACTTGGTACTTAACTGTAAGAAAATTGAAAAATGGTCTGGTCACTAAGGGGTTAATAGAAAGTAATTTTCTTTGAATTTAACAGTGAATAAACCATAGATCATTGTAATTATGGCAGTTTTAGCAGAGTAAGGAGATAGGATTTTGGAAATTAGATTTAAAATGGAAAGCCTGAATTGAGATGCTTAGACAGGCAGGTATTAACAAGCTGTTCAAGAAGCTTTGAGGTGAAATTAGGTAAGAATATGAAATGTAGTTAGAGAATTTGGGTCAACAGAGGTTTTATTTTAGATATAGGTGACAACTGCATATTTGAGATAAATTGGGAAGAATAATACAAATAAAAAGTGAAGATGTGATTTAAGAATGGAACATGAAAAGGATAATAAAATCCAATGAAGTACAAGGGAATGCATGTGTTTATTGTGAATGTTCGGGGTTACAGATGGTGACCATGATTGTAAGAACCGATGGGTGACTATAAGCTAGAACCCTGCAATTGATTATGAAGACTGTGGCAATATACAGAAAGTAACAAATTGTAAAATGCAGTTAGACATTGGCAGTTGGTCTCACAGCCACAGCAACTCTGCAGATGGAACCCATTACATAATAATATTTAAATATTTTAGTAAAAGTTCTACTGTAGAAGACCAATTTTACCCCTCTTTGTGATAAATGTTAGTAGAAATGATTTCAGTACACACCTATTTCTCTTCTTATTTCCACGCATTCGTTGATCTTTGGAAATGAGTAACTGTTGCTGCTACGCATCAACAACTCAAAGCAATATGTATTTCTTCCAATGTCAAATAGGGAACAGTTGAATATAGCCATTTTGTCTCCTGTACGCATGACATGCTCTGCTATGACTGGGGGACTTTCCGACAAATGTCTTGTTGCTTTTTTATATACAGCTAGGTTCCCCTCAACATAATTACATGGGGGAGGTATGACATATATCTTCATGGAACCATCACATTTTTCATCTGGAGATGTGACCAGCTTATATTTGAAGGTCTTCACAAGGTCAATGGGTCCAAGGAAAGCAATGACTGAATCATATTGTGAATCCATGGGTTTCAAAGACACTGTAATGAAAGTCTCTGACCGTACAGATGCACATTCAAACTCAACCCACTGAGTGGAGGACAATGGGATTTCCTTGTAGGTTTTATACAACATGAACCTATCGCTGCTTGGTTCCTCCAATTCTTGGAAGCTGTGAGTATGCTCGACTTCCAATAACATTGCTGGTTCTTTATCAGTATAAATTGAGCAAAGAAGTTCATTGGTGAAGATTCCAATCTGAAATGATCTCACGTTGTCTTTTGATGTCCTATTCAAGTCTATGTGAAACAAAGGCCAGGTGACATTCAATATACTGCTCGACCCACAGATATGGGTACTGTTTTCTTTCTGTAAGCTCATTTGAAATTGGTAGAGGCCATTTTGAATGAAATAGAAGCATTCAAATACGAGGCTGCCTTGCGTTGTGTTAGCAGGAAGCTCTTTGCTAGTTATTTTATGATTATTGCCAGTGTTCAGCAGAGAGATTGAAATATTATTTGAAGTTATGGTATTATTATCTGGAAGGAAGAAATCCACAAACACAGGATCTCTGCTCAAAGCTATGTGATGAGATTTTCGAAGAAGAAGATATCCAGGGTCACCAAAAACTGTAAAAGACATGAAATAGTTAGAACTAGTACATGCTTTGTTTTAATTAATAATTGACCATCACTCTATCATATGAATTTAACTTACTGCAAGATGCGTATGATATACACCGCATTACATGAAAAGAAAATTATTTATTTGAAAATATATGAACATATACTGAATGCAGTTCATGTATTTTGAGATCATTCTACTGAAAATAAAGTTTAGATCTGGTTCATCAATAAATAAGACATGGTGGAGTGAAAGAGAATAGAGGCAAGAATGAAAGCACAATAGGACTAGAAAAGTATTAAGGAATAGAAATAACAACAAGTGAAAAAAAAATGCAACTGGTAGAGAAAGCAAGGATGGACAAAAGGGTAGATTTGGGAAAAGCTTAAATATTCTTCTTATTGCAGGTATTTCAATGCATGCACAGTTGGTCCATCCGTTTTGGAATTTATTCGCTCATAAGCTGAAATTGATCATTTTTTCAAGCTGTAGAAATGTAATGGTTTTCAAGAATCTTCAACCACATACCAGCAGTCTAATGGTCTACATGAATATTCACTAACTGCAACATTCAGGGTTATTCACTAAAGCCCAAATTCTCCCAATCCAGATTACCAAACTTAATCCAGTACCAATCCGGGGATTCGGAAGTCAAATTCCAGACACTGATCACTGTAGATTTATTAATGTCCAGATTTTGGTATTCAGTTTTCCAATTCACAATCATCAATGTCTACTGGATTTCAACGTTTCCTTATACTACTGGACGACTGACTTTCAGATGCTAAAAACCCAAACTATTAGCCTTATCTGGGTTAATGAATGCTTTTGCTAGTTGGCCACCATATTAAGAATTAAAATAAAGCATATTGGGACAACAAAGTCTTCCCTTCACTCCCACCTCATAAGCCACAGGTGGAGGTACATCTACTAAACAATGAACAGCCAAATTATTACCAGAAATGTAAATAAAGAGTGCATTAAAAAAGGATCTAAGTGGGCCAAGACCACAATTCTGATTAAAAAAAACAAACAAACCTGTAGCTTTCACTAAATGGGCCTTGTTCCTTTCTGATTTGCTGGAACTTGGCTTGAAGAATCAGCCAATGAAATGAGAAGTGCCATATTTATAGGATTTGTATTACTTTGAATAGAATTTACATATAAGACTAAATGAATTTAAAACAGATACCATGTTGTCCTAAATGACATTCATTCGGATAAAGTAATCAGATTTCAAATGGATTTGCCGTTAATGAAAAGGAGAAATGTGGCCCTTAATAAAACAACAAAATCGCTAATTCAAATAACCTTGAGTATTAATAATGGCCCACATGAGTATTCTTGTATTGCAGTATCAATAAATAACATTTCTAGATCTTATTCTCTATGTCAAGCAGAACAGACTTCACCTCATGCAATCTTTGGCCCTCCAGTGCCCTAGAAAATGTACACACACATTGAGAGGGGAGACACAGGAGTTATGGAATGATAAAGTGGACAAAACACTAATGAAGGAGGCTGTAACAAGCATGGACACAAGGGCAAGGATAGATGGATAGACAGACAGACAGACAGGCAGGCAGGCAGGTAGACAGGCAGGTCAAAGAAGTTTGGAACAGTAAATTATTAAGCTGGACATACCACTATCCCAAAATAGAACTAGTGACATAGTTATGAAGCTATGCAGAGTTTGTCTCATTTTTCGATTGCAGCGTCCCCCCATGTGCCACATTCCATGCCTATCGTCACTCAAACATCATGGCTCTCATAGCACTGTCACTGCAGTAGCCATGTCACCTGAAGATAGAGGGAAAGAAGAAATGTTTTAATTTTGAAGTACACATTTTGTAATAAAGTTTTTATTTATGTTAAGAACACATCCTAGGTTAGAAAAGACCTTTAGTTTTATTTATGAATACCATAGATAATGCAATGAAATCATAAGCGTGCACACACCTAACTTTAAAGACCTTGCATTTGCAAGGTTTCCAGATTCTGCACATGGCCCTGTTGAGATCAGGAAGTGGCCCAGCCAATGAGGAGGTTCTTATTCCATGTAAGGAATCGTGAACTTATCCCATAGGAGGGCAATATGTAATGTTTTGTTCACTTTTACACTAAACTAATGTATAACTAGGTGGGTGGAGTGGCCACTTTCACTAAAACAAGCATCCAAGTGATCAACAAGATAAGTATCTACTCTAGATCTGATATTGTATGTTGATTTTAGGGGTGTTTACATAATATATCATATATAGGATTGTTATATATTGAAAGCATGCACAAGCATGAAAATACAAATAGTTTAAACTGTCCAACTGACTAAAACAGTGACGCCCATACACCTGGAGGTGCCCCTGATTATTATATGTCAAATATTATTGAAGAATTCTGAGTACTGCCTACTTGTATCGGTGTATCATTTCCTACCTACAATTAACTTGGTAGAAAACAGCAATATCTCCAAAACAGATTTCCCTTAAACAAACAAACACTTTTAAGCAGTAATAATGACAAGAGATTTAGAATGACAAATCTCTCACTACAATTACTCATACATTATTCCCCACCCAATATACACAAATTGTAGGAGAGCTTGTCTTTGTCAAATACAGCAATTACATGGTTACATTACCGAGATCATTTAGTGAAGTTCCAAAATGTATGCAAATGCCACAGAACATGTCATTTTGTTTTGCAGTAAGTGCTGCGATTAGTTTATATCCAATGTTAAATTTTTTTGTCAATACCCACAAGTTGGATTCCAGCCAATAAGAATACAACATTGCTTTCAAATGGTCAATCCCTAATTCTCCAGGATTTTACTACAATGAAATACAGGCAAATCTGGTAATTTTTACAAATGTCTACTATCTGAGCTTGTCTCTGTGTTATTTTATATGAAAGCTATATAGATCTAGGCATTACTAAACTTTTTTACAGGACAGATGGGATGAGAAATAGTTGGCTTGCATTTCAGGTGCCCAAGGGCCAACACATGCACACACATGTAAATAGTTCCTCTACATACACACACAGAAAAAGAGAGACGCACTGGTAAATTGACAGACTAACACAGAGATAGAGACAAACTGAAAAAGAGAGAGATAGAGAAACAGATATACATAAACCCATTTATAATTCCTGGCTTGTTATATTAAAAAGGAATGCACAAGCACTACATAAAAAAAACAAAAAAAAAAACATACTTTTAAAAGCATGATGTTAAAGCCTGTAATAATGACAGCGAGCAAATCTTTCCTTGTACAAAACAAAATAATGGTAATTAATACCAGCACAAATCTTACCTACATACAAAGAAGCAGTCTTAGCCAATGAGAATGTCCATCTACATCCCACTGGCTCTCCTCCTGACACAGCAATCAGGTTGGAGATGGTCCTTGATCCTCACTTGATGTACCAGTGTAATCTGTAAGCAGCAGTAGAGCAACGAAGACATGTCCGTACGGCATTAGTTGAGCTTTTAACTCATTTCCTTGTAGTGGATTGAAGTATATAGTTCACTAGTTTCATCAGACAAGCTGCTGCTAACACAATCTCCACCCTGAAGGAAGGGTGGGGAGAGAAAGGATGTTCAACTCCCCTCTCTGCCTCTGTTAAAGGCTATGGTGAAGTGGAAAAGGTGGAAGAGGGATGTATGTTTAACCCTATGAAAGACTGAGCAGAAAGTTATAAATTGAAATGCTCACTCTGATCCTCAGCATGCTGCAACTTAAGCAGACATTTGTGCTGGGATAGACTGGTTTGCATTTAATTTAAATAGGTTTTTTTTTGTCCCACCAGGAAATTTAGGAAGGAAGCACATGAGAACAACAGTTTTTACAAGCTTTGAGTTGGAAAATGAATGTTTAGGTCACAGACAGCTTGTAGAAACAGAAAAAATAATTACTTAGACACAATAGAAACTTGAAATTACAAAACAATCATGTAAGAAGTAAATTGTAAATCGGTTACAGCAGTATTATCAGCTTGCAATGTAATGTTTATAAATCACAATTAGAGTCTATACGGACACTATCTAAATAATGTGCTTACAATAATTTGAGTTATTTTGTGTGTTGCATCGGTTTCTAACATGGCCGAAGAAGATGAAAATGTACTATTTGCCCCCTGCTTCTGTCACTCCCAAACCGTTTCTCAAGGCACACCAACAGTCCAGCTTTTCTCAGTATCCCTATAATTGGGAATTGCCTAAATCCTGGACTGTTCGTGTGACTTAAGGACGGTGTTGTTAATCACTGTGTCTGCTCTATTTCCTTCATGATCTGAGCCCCCATTCGGCTTAACTTCCCTGAAAACTCCACTAAACTCAGCTAAAAAAAGTGACCATCACAAATGGCATTAAGTTTGGCAGTATAGGTGCAAAGAGACCACCATGATGGTTCCAAGATAAATTTTGTGAACATTTTAGATGGTGCCCTACTTCCCAGCTTAAGACCTGAGTGAAATAACATTTTGCCTCAACCACTTATGGAGCAGTCAGTTTCTTCTGGAATTCCTCAAGACCCAATTTAGAGAAATGGTTCAAAAATAAAGTCAACTCAAAGAAGCAACAAATATCCAAAGGGTAACTCCTTAAAAATCAATTTTAAAGAAAGAACCACATTCTTATTCAAATGCCTAATGAAGCACCACATCTCCATCCAATCTTCAGCTGGATAAACAACTGACATTATTAAAATATCTGTTTATTAAATACAGAACATTAAAGCAGGACTGTATTTCAGATAATTTTTTTTATTTATAATCACATAGAAAATACATCTTACACCCAATATGAAACATAATTGCATTAAGATCAATCCCAACACAGTGCGCTCCCAGTTACACAGTATAAGAAAATCCATTCTTGTGTTGGCATCCTTCTTTCTGGAGAACTCCCGTAAGAAACTGTAATGCTCAGTTAGGACAATCATCATCATGATAATTCACACTGACAGCATGGTGTCCTTAATCAACGCCCTTGTTTTTCAATCTGTGCATATGTCTGTCAAGTCATTAAGCCTGGGTCAAAAAGAGGTTTGGATAAAAGCGCAAGCCTTCTACGGAGTCATCCCTGCAGAGGTGCCCCATGCTTTCAGCCAGTAACAACCTGCCCAAGGGAAAACATGAAAATGTCAAATGGTAATAACCCAGAATGAAGTACGCAGCAAAAAAAGTTATGCAAATTAAAATACCTTTCTTTAGCTAGGAGAACTGACATTCCTACAATCTTGGCAAACTCTTCAGATGTCAATGAGCCTTTCTCAGATACCTGGTGGGAACAAAATGCTATACGTTAAGCATGTCACACTATAAACTGACAGATTATTCTTTAAGGACTCTGAAAGTAGTGGTGTTATTTTTAAAAGATCTGTACTGGAATTAATACTATATTATTGTTTGATTAGAATGTATACCTTATGCCATTTTCATTATTACACTAAAAATGTCAATACTTCTAATGAGGATCAATGGGGAAAGGATTACACAGGCAAGACCAAAAAGATATTAGCACTGTGTAGTTTGCGAATTCAAATTTACTTTTGAACCCTATTTTTTTGGGGGGGGCATGCTATTGTGAAGACATTATTATTTAGTCATTCATTTCTTACTTACACAAATTAATTAATGGAGATGGGGAAGCCATGCAAATCAAGACAAAATGGATGCCATCAGCAATGTGGTCTGTAAGGTGATGGGCTTAAAGCAGCTCTGTCACCATCTGAAGTCTTTGCATCATTTGCAAAGAGTGTAGATGGTATCTGCTCTTCTGGCAGTGCGGTGGTCAAGGGGCAAGGTGTTATACGTAAGGTTGTCAAATGTAGGAAAAATAGGAAGACACAATAGTCACTACTTTGTCTTAGAATATCTTTTGACTGGTTTGGAATTTTAGTGAAATTCTAACACAGTCAATGTGAGTATTTCATAGGAATTTTATCTTCTACATATCATTGGGGAGGAGGGGGCATTACAGTGACACTGTAGAATTTAGAATTTACAAACCGTTTCTAAAGCTGAAGCAACCATTTCCTCTTCATTATGAGATTGAAGTTCAATCACCATGACACCACTGTCAAAAATTCGAAGCCTAAAAAGGAAAATATCTTGATTAAACTGGTGTGATTAGATGGTAGATGTTTGTAGAGAAAATATACTTCTGGTTGTGGTTTTCCCTGGTATCCAAGTAACAGGCTTACAACATGTTAACAGGACAGTAATGTAGATCACAACTCAAAATATGCATAAAATAGACTTCCCTATTTACAAATGTTTCAGTCCTATTAATGAATATATGATTTATTTTACGGTACATCAAATTTCCTTCATAACTTCAATACATCAGTTCTTTCATTGGAGCTCACCATTTCTGTACTTATTGCCTCTGTTCAAGTAACAGTGAGAACCCTCGGCATAAAACTGATAAAAGCCAAGAATATGAAAAACTATCTACTGGGTTAAAGTGTTCCTTTGAGACGTTTCTTACCCATTTGATTGTTAACACAGACTGCACAACTATGGAGCAGAGACACATTTCCCCATCCGGCAGACACAGAGAAAAGCTGTGAGAGAGCTTCGGCATGTATACAGTTCTCAAGATGGTATAGTGCATGGAGTGCAAGTTCTTTGAGAAGCTCACACACGCATGTTTTGGTGTTTATTTCTCAGGAGTCACAGAGAAATGAGATGGGGTTACAGGACGTGTCCCAAATCAGGACTGCTCCATTGAACTCTATACACTTAGGATGTGTTTAAAGAGGGATAGTTGTAACTATTTCGACACACAATGCCTAGCACACAGCCGCACACAAGGTTATATGGGGTCTCAGCAATGTGGGAGCAATGCGTTATCGCCAGTAGTCACACTAAACAAAATACCTGTATAATGACAGCTAATGATAGCTAAAAACATAAATAAACTGGCCAGTAACTTGTCTTGGATAACATGTCCTACCTGTCTGACAGGTGCAATTCTTGGTGGGATAACAAGCAATATACAGTTTGACACAAAACATAAATTAAACTAAAGGACAATACAAACACATTTTTATTGAACTGAATAGGATGTAAAATGCTACATCCTCGTGCACTGAATTGTATGTTGTGAAATGATACATAAATGATAAGTAAACATGTACAAAATAAATATTATTGCTTACATATATTATTAATTTAGGATTCTTTTAATGAAAAACCTTAAAAAAGTCAACACTCCAATATATTAGAGACCCCCGAACAATAAGTATTAGGAAAATACAAAAATGGCTGGAAACAAGATAAACAAAACACAAAGTAGCGATTGTTACATATAAAAGTCTTTAAGGTCTGTAGATTTGGCCATTTGTATTTGTCTTATTGTTCGGGGAAAAACGGCCTTTGCAGGGGAAGCTGGGCAGGAAGCAAGTCATTGAGGAGACCTTAATTCTCCATTTCACAGAGGAGCCTGCCAAGTCCATGTTTGTTTTGACGCTGGGAAGGAAAGTGTTTTCTGACTCATAGGAATCACAGTCAGTGTTTTTACCCTCGCTAAACAAAAGCAGTAGTAAATGTCTCAGGGTGAGCTGTATGTGTTTCTTACCTAAGAGGGAGTTTCAGGGATTCCAGCATTCTGCAAGCATTTACCAAATCCTCCGGTGACAGCAACTGTTAAAGAACATAAAGAGAGCCATAATAGGTGCTGTAGGGTGGATATGACATAGGGATAGGTGTTGCAAAAAAAAACCTTCACACATGCAGGTAATCCAGGAATGCGTTCAGTGTTCAATCATGACATGTTATGCTTTAACACTCATACCAGGAGAAAAAAGCTTATACCACAAAGTTGTAATGCTTTTCCATGTTGAACTACAGGTTCCACAATTACTATGATGTCAGTCACATTCCACAGTGTCAGATTGTTCCAGTTAAATAGAATATATTTAACATATGATCTATGTGGCTAACCATAATATCCAATTACAAACATGTCTCTTCATAAAGACACAGGGCAACGCCAAAATCACAGTATAAAGCTATATATTAGTTAAGGTAACTACACTGATTTTTATATGTAATCCCCTCTCTCGGTGACTATTATCTAACCTGTAGTGTCTTGCACATTATAGGTCAACAGCTATGTGTCAGAACTTGTTAAGTCGTGCTGTGTTTTTTTTTTAATCCAGTTTCGAAGGATTTATTTGTTTTGAATACATATATACCATATTAACTCGGATCTAATGTGCATTCAAATTTTGATACGTGGAAGACGAAAAAAAAATTTGCTGGCGAATGTAATGTGCCTTTGTATAAGAAGATACTACTATACAAAATATAGGTCAACAAGCGAGGAACTACCCTGTGATCGGGGCGAAATTTGCATTGTGACAAGGATGCAATGTAAATGTTTACTGTACACAGAAACCAAGTCTCAGATCTCTGTTGCAGTGATGCAAATGCGAATTTAAATTTTGGAAACCTTATTTTGCGAATAAGGTGTGCATTAGATTACAGTAAATATGCCAGTCTAAAGTTCAGTAATTTTAATGCAGTTCCATGTGAGCAAGTTACTATCTTATTAGCGCAGAATCTGCTGTGTAAGGAGCCTGTCGAGGAAGTGGAAGGGAAGGGCACACTGGAAGAAGCAGCGAACAGCTGCAAGGACAGATCGAATAGAATAGAATGCAGGAGGCATCCTGACCTGGAGCTGCACTGTAAATACTGACAGTACCAGTCACTGGGTAGGCACCATGAAAACATATAAAAACATATTAAAGGAACACTCTAAGCTCCAAAATCACTTTATTTTAATGAAGGGATTCGATGCAAAGACCTTGTGCCCTCCATTTTATTGTTTGGACAATGTTTAGATTTGCTCAAAACCAATTCTCTATTAGCTATCAGAATGAGATCCACGAGAGGTGCTTCCTAGAAAATCAAAGTTCTTCACCTTCAGCGTCATCATGCACAGCAGGATGACACTGAACATTGTGAATGCTTCTCAGATTTTCTATGAGAAGCATCTAATTGGCAGACTGTGTTGACTCCTGAGCATGTACTTTAGGTTGGATTGGATTCCGATTATCAGGATTGATGATTTAGGAACAGACACAGCAAATACACAGAGAAAACTTGCTTCCTTCTTTTTTTTTTTTTATTTAAAAGATGGAGCGCCCAGTAATCTAAAATGAGAACAATAACTTTAAAATTAACTTTAAAGCTAGCATGTTCCTTTAAGAATAACTGATTGATGGGTTCAGGCTACAAATAGCATACAACAAGCCATATGCATTGGCATGTGCAACTGAGAGCATCCAGGAAGTCTGGAGAGTGCAAACAATGTACCTATACAAGCTTGGAAGATGAGATATACAAAAGTTAACTACCGGTATTTCTTCGCCCCTTTAGGACACAATCTTACATGTGTCTTTACCCGCTGAAATTAATATAAAGGTTATGAATTATGATTTACCTCCATGCCCCGAGCTCGGTTTACTAGACAGTAAGCTTCAGTAAGAGACATTATGCCACCTCGCTCCTGAACAACAATAAAAAAAAAAAAAACCTCAGAAAACAATAAAAATGCATACTAATGAAAGGACATTTCTAATCTGTTTTAAGAGAAAATAAATTAATAAAACAAAAAAAAAAAGAATTAAGAAAACTGCTTAGTTTAGTTAAGGTTTAATTTTGGACATTCCATAGTTCTCAGGCAGTCAACAGGCTGAGTGTCATAAGATACAGAACAGCTCTAGAAAATGTTTGCCACTGCTAGTATAGTTTTATGATACTGATGAGACATTATTTATAGAGTTTCACTACAGCAATCTAGTGGCGTATTATATGTTACGTATGTTGTAGTATGAGATTACCTCCAGAGGTGTCTGTAGCATCGTTGCCAGCTGTTTAGCCAGTTGCATGTGATAGTGTGTCCCAGATCCGTGCGTTTCCCGGGTAACTGGATTCATTATTCCCATGCTCAGTAGGTAGGATTTAAAGCGGATGGTCTAGGAAAGTTGGGGTTTAAAACAATGTGATATTTACAGAACTTAACAATCTAAAGACTGTGTCCTTACTAGGGATTTGATTTACAGCGTGAAGAGATCACGGTCATTGTTTGCAAGATTCTGAGACAAATTTACTTATGGGTTAAAGTAAGCACACAATTATCAGGTGACCCTTCTACTAAACAATGCTCCTTCCATTAAACAACCCCCCAAAATATCAGATAATACATGTTAGAAGTGAGAAAATGGCAATAGTATCAAACTAGATGTGTCATGGGGGGTAGAGGGTAAACTCCATCCCACAGGTGCTGGAAAAATGGCAAAGTCCCAATGTTGTGCTTTTTCTAACAGAGATGGATCATATACAAAATACAAATTAACAAACCGCATACACACAAAAAGTAGCAAACAAATATGGGGATTTGGTTGCACCACTACATCACCCAACACTATTAGTGGGTCCTATATTAATTTTAACATGGGAGATAAACATGATATTAAAGGGACGCTCTAAAGAGGGGAGTCTTTGCATCTGTATAAGCAATAATTACCTAATTTAGAATGTTTATCTCCCCTGTTAGAATTAGCAGAGAACCCAACAATATAGGTGCCCCCTTTGGAGGTGACTGCAGAAAAGCCTAAATTTGTGGAGAGTCTCTGGAAGCTGTTTATCGGGACACTCTAGGCACCCAGACCAGTTCATCTCATTGAAGTGGTCTGAGTGCAGTGTCCGCAGAACACTGCAGTTTCAGAGAAGCTTCAATAATTACACTGCAAGTTTAACTGCACCTCTAGTGGTTATCTTCCAGAAAGTCACAAGAGGCACTTCCTGACTTTTCATGGAGTTTAATGCCGTGAAATGATGCTGGACATCCTGATGCTTTGCATCAGCGTTTTCAAATCACCCGTAGGAAAGCACTGGATGGATGCTTTTCTATGAGGAAGGCCTAAGGTGTGCACGGCGCTCGCCGCGCTTGGGCATTAGGTTCCTCCATCACTGTGATGTTGGAAGGGAAGGAGTCAGTGTCAAGGGACCTCGAGGATGACATTGAGTGCCTTAAAGGGTTTTTAACCCTTTCAACATGGCGGGTACTATGGTCATCTCACTGTAAGTGTGATTATCTGTGTAAGTAACCCTGGAGGCAAATATCTTCCTTTAGTTTTTTTTTTTTTTTTAATTATTGTGTAATTTCAGTGCAGAACAGTTAAATAATTTTATACATATTCCATTTTAGCAAACTACACATTGTTTTATATCTATATATTTAAAAGAACATAAGTTACTAACTAAATGTATGGTCCAACCCTCTCCCAAGTTATTCCAAAGTTACTAAATCTTACACTATCAAGTATAAATCCTTTCTATATTAAAGTTTCCAAGATTTTGTACTGAAATGATGGATTCTATAGCTAACTTGTATTATGAGAACTGTTACTTAGAAGTTATATTTCTGACAATTCTATAAAGAAAGTGTAAAAAAATAAAATAGAAAGTAACCAACTATTACCAAGTATTTTTCCAAACCACTCTTTTATACAAATGTTAGTTTTGGATTTGGGTCTGATATAAATATTGTAATGTTATTCTTCACCGTTTACACTGGCAGCCAATGCAGAGAAATATTTTCTCAGGTAGACATATATCTTTAGTTACCTCATCCTCTGTGATGTCCCCTTGTTTATCTTTGATTTTGTTAGCTATTGATTTAGACAGCTCCACCATTTCCTTGGCCTGCAAAAATAATCAAGGTAAACTATTATAACGACAGTGGACAGGAAACAGCACCTCTGAGGTCTGATAAACATAAGGGCTTCCACGTACCTTTTCCATCAACTTGCTAAGATCTTCAAAAGCCTGAAAATAAAAATGCTGGCAGTATTAGTGCTGTAGCAATTAGTAGTAGCAGCAGCATTAATCATGTAAAAGAAAACAGCAACTAATGAGACCGGCAAGGTAAAGATTACAAAACCTATCAGTACTAGGTAGTGGGACCCAGTCGTTAGCGTAAGTTTAGAAACTTAGCATTATTCAATGACAGATGGATTTCAAAAGCAAAGTGACCTATCTCAGGCATCATGTTGACAATATATATGGGCCATTTGTAGTCTGCACTTCTGGGATATTAGCTGGATAAGGCATGTATAATGTCTGCATTACTAAGAGAATTTTCACCCTATCTGTTCCCACCTCCTATAACCTCCGATCCAGTACTAGCACTTTATTTAGCATACCGCAATACAAAAAAAAAAGTGGCTCGATCCTCCTTTTCCTACAGAGCACCACAATTATGGAATAACCTCAGGGAACAGTCAAATCTTCATTCAATCTAAAATCGTTGAAAGAGATCTATGGCAATATATCTCAGCACAGAATGCACCTGTCACGGTTGGCTATATTTATTACCTGTTATGTGTTACATTTATATATGTGTATACGTATATATAAATTGTATATTGTATTTTTTTTTTTGTAATATTATATTGTAACCTATTGTAACAATGCAGTGTTTGTGGGCCCAGAAAATACTTGAAAACAAGAGAAATCTCAATGTATCCTTCCTGGTAAAATATTTTATAAATAAAATAAAATAAAAATGGCTGTAGTATAGGTGGGTGTAGTATACGCTTGTGATGACATTTTACACTGTACAAATCATGATTGTTTTTGACCGTTACCAGAGACATGTTTTTTCTTTTGTCAAACGGATTTATAAAATTTTTTTTTATAAAAATGCAAACACAAAGAAACTAAAAAAAACAAAACAAAAAAGAATACTAGACATGAATTGTACATCTAGCTGCAAAATCAAGGCTAAAATAGGCAACATGTAAGCAAAGAGAAGCTGGAGAATTTGATCAAATCAAGCTAAATGTTTCATTTTAGTTTTCATTTCGCTACAACTGGGTGTTTACAGAATAGGCTCCCCGGTGCAAGATACTTCACAGTTAAAAGAAAGTGCTTGTGTATGACATTAAAGTTCGGTCTCTCACTTCAAATAAAGTTCTGCACATTGTTATAGCTAATTAATAGCATGCCTCAACTCATCGCTGACTGAAACAGAGCAGTAAGGACAAAGGAATACAAGCACACACCTAACAGGAATTTCCGTAGATAAACACAATGTGGCAGGACTACATCCTTATCAGTAACAGGCAGCACATGCAGGAAACTGGAAGAGCCATTTTAAATTCAATCATTAATTATAGCACAGCCAGCTTCTGGGTATCCTGCATGTCAACAGACTACTGTGATTTCTACCCACCGCATCATTAGCTTTCAGTATGTTTGGCCTATACAACATGGATTCAGTCTTTTCTGCTGCAGGAAGCAGGGGTTTTCTACATCTGAACTGTATGCCCCATTCCCAATCAATTACCTTCGTCAAAACTAAACAAAATTGTAACTGATAATGTAGAAGTGTTCATTCTGAAAAAGTGATAATATGGCTGAGGATAGGAAAGGCCTTCAGTTGCTGTGGAAAGCCCTGGGCTTTGTTAAAGGGACACTATAGTGAAATCTCAATGAAGTGGTCCTGTCCTTACAACTCTGCAATGTAAAACAGCAGTTTTTTTTGAAAATGCAATGTTTACATTTCAGGGTTAAGCCCACTTCTAGTGGATGAAATACTCGCAGCCACTAGAGGCGCTTGTGCGGTACTGACTGAGTAAAACTTTGTCACATGACACGGAAGCCCCCACAGGAGACCATTTATTCATTGCTTTCCTATGGGGAAGTTTGCATGCGTGCCTTACCCTTATATCCTCTAGTCATTGGACTGAACCATTGCGGAGGAGGCCTTGCCTTCTCTGTGGCGTCACGGGAGGTAGAGAGGTCAGCAGAACCGAGAGGGAGCCTCGGCACTGGAAAAAAGTAAGTAAAACTTTTTTCTATTGTTATTGCATGTAGAGGGGACCTTAATACAAGTAAGGAAATGGATACTATACCATTAAGAATACACGTTTAGGAATAACATTATAGTGCTCCTCTATTACGCTTGACATAAAACCTGGGGACTGGGTTCAGAGAATTTGAGCAATATATTCACTATATTGAACTGTAGTGTTGCTTTCGAATGCCCCCTTGAAACATTCACCTCAAACTTTATGTGTTCAACCCCTTAAGGACACCTGACATGTGTGACATGTCATGATTCCCTTTTATTCCAGAAGTTTGGTCCTTAAGGAGTTAAGAAAAAATGACTGATTTTTTTTTTCTCTCTTGGTCCTATTTAAAAACAATGCAATTGTGTAACACACATCAATTTCTAATGCTACGCTTTTCTATTGTTTTGAACAATAAACTTTCAATATAACTGCATTTACTTTTCCTTGTCACCCTGTACCCATCTCTATCCAATCTATGCCTACCTCAAGATGAACTTGCCATCCACATAATTTATAGATAAGCATGTTTCCACAATTATCCCGCCAGCAAGCTTTCCACTTGCATTATGTTTTACTTTAATGCATATTAAAAGGACACGCTAAACACCACAACCACTTCATCTTAATGACAGCCACTAGACAAGCTTCCCCATTGACTACTTTCAATTGTTGTTTCTGGTTGGGTATATTTTCGCAACCTACCTCAAGATGGCCGCTGTAACAGATTCAAGGTGACAAGGACCACTTGCAATGCCGCCAAATATTTCTTATATCATATTTCTATGATGTAAATGTGTTAAATTGATATATTTGCAATTTTAAGAGTGGTCTACCACATTGCAGTTATGCATGATAAGTACACTTTAAACAGCGTTCTCCACTGAATTCACATTTGTAAAGCACCAGCATATTTTGTAGGCTCCATGATACTTCACCAATCTAGTGACAGACAATAAACCTTGCACACTGAGTTATGAACGCGTGTCTGACGCTGACACACACACTGTTGTGCACTAACCTCGGAAATGTTTTTGTCAGTCTCTTTTCTTTTTTCTTCCAGTTTCCTCTCAATGCCAACAATGCCGACGGCTTTAATTCGTCCACCCTGAGGAAGGAAACAGTTGAGTTTTCTCACAGGGGAGCTGCTGCTTGTGAATTGTATTATAATACCTCGCAGGATGTAAATATGTATTGTTTAACATTAATAACTACTGATATATACATTGACATTATTATTAAAAACCACAACCTTATCAGTTGCACATGAATATATAAACAGCAAACAAAATAGGAGGAAAATCTACACATTTACTGTTTTCTAACCAGAATTTATTTATTTTAGATGCAAATAAAGATGGGAAACAAGAAGTCTAGAGAGAAATAAAAATAATGTAAAAAAACATGCATTAGTTGTTTAAAGTTAATGGCAAGGTATTTTTTTGAAATTAATAGTGTTTGACACATGCACAATGTATAACATAAAAGAAAGCTACACATCTGAAATAATGTTTTAGAAATCAGCTCTTTATGTGACATATGAATTCAACATACTGCAAGGCAGCAGCTTTCATTCACTGTCCATCAGCAATTAAAAGTTATACACGTCCAGGAAAACATGGTGAATCTGGCAACCCTAGCTTCTTTTCATACTGTAATTAAAAAGGATCCTGGGCCCTGTTCCAACAGAGAGGAGTAAGTAAGTTAAAAGAACATTATAGTGTTAGGAATACAAACATTCCTACCGTTACAATGTTCGAGAAACATTTTCATTTTTGGGTTCCAATAAATCAAATAGAAAATAAAAAGAATGGATTTACTCACCTTGTTTGGGCTCCAAGACTCTCTCCTTGCAGCTACCTGCTCTGCCTCCAGTCTTGTCCAATCCAATGCCTCTTTATATAAAAGCACTAAGGACAAGAAGTGTATGCGTGGAAAGCGCCACGCTGTTCCAATCAAATGCTTCTCTATGAGAAGCAGTGACGTCAATCCTCACAGAACAGTCTGACTTGGTTCTGTATAAGGCAGCACATTTAAGTATCAAAATGCATGCTGTGATGTCAACTGCAACATTGTAAAAAACTATAATTGTGTTTGTGTGAGAACCTTGTCAGTGTCAGCCTTTACCTGAGAACCTTTGCTTGGCTGGATTAAAGGGGATGCAGATAACCTCTCCCATCTTCGTTGTGTTAGCTCTTCTGTCAAACGCCTATGAAACTGAACACAATCACAGAGGTGGGAGAAAGAATAAGGAGATGAAATGCATTCACTGAATAACTGTATTGGTCAACTTTTAATGTTCAGAAGGCTTAGCTACACTCGGTTGCAATTACACCAAAAAGTCTTTACTGCAAGTTAAATGACCAATATATTGTGATATAATAAGCATTTTTGATTAACTCACTTAGCTTGCTAAGTTTAATAAATATGATCAAACAGGAAGAGTACATAACACTACAGGAGGAACTGGTTCTTCTGGAAAATTATTATAAGGGTGGGTGTATTCACTGAAACGTGAATTATTGTGAACTGAAAGTCTAACGGAGTACCTGAGGCCAAAATAGCAGGGTTGGAAAAAATATTTGGCTCTACTTTATCACCATTGGTTCAGTATGACTCAAAAAGTGGAGCACACAACAAAGAAATGTGTGAACGCCCACTCAACTGACGTAGAGCTTCACACCAGTTCCAGTCTAAAAGCGGCACTGTCATGCCGAACTTACCTTTCCTCAATCTCTTCCTCTTCTCCCCCTCTCTCGGGATCTGTTATTCTTTTCTTCCTGTCTTCTTTAGTTTTCTTTAAAATCTTAAGTCAAAGTAGGGACTCTTTGCCTTATGGAGAATTCCTCTGCTTGACCAGCGGAGGAGCAAAGTGTGCTTCATTTCCGCTGGTCAGAGCAATTTTCCCACAATGCTTCCTGTCATTTTACACGAAACTGCCGAATTGCGTTCTAACTGAATGAGAACAGTATGTTCGTTTCTTTTAGAACGCAATTTGGCACTTTATTCGGATCGCAATTTCATTTGAATGAATGAAACTCCAATCCTATTCATGCTGTGGCTGCATCTTGCAGCCGCTTAGTAGATAACTCCCTAATTCCCATGGTTTTAGGAGTTATCTACTAAAAGGCTGAAAGACCTAAATTGGTTTTGTCAAAAACAAAAAAAAAATCTATTGGCCCCCACCCCTAAACGACGGGTGGGGGCCCTAAAGTAAAATAAAGGGGGAGACCTAATGTCCCCCCCGGCCCCCACCCCTGGGCGGCGGGTGGGGGGCCATAATGATAATGGGGGGGGGACCTACTGTCCTCTCCCCCCCACCCCCACCCCTGGGTGGCGGGTGGGGGCCAAATGATAATGGGGGTGGGGTGGAACTACTGTCCTCCCCCCCCAGCCCTGGGCAGCGGGTGGGGGCCATAATGATGTCCACCCCCCCACGCTGTGTAAAATAATGAGGGGGGGTGACCTACTGTCCACCCCCCACGCTATGTAAAATGACACAGAGCACTGTGATTGGATGGCTTGAAATCCATCCAATCACAGTGCTCTGTGTCATTTTACACAGCGTGTGAAAATTCCAAAAGAACTTTCCCACGCTGTGTAAAATGACAAAGAGCATTCTGATTGGCTTAAACCCACCAATCAGAGTGTTCTTAGCCTAATTGCAGGGCGGGGCAAGGCTTTATAAGCCTTCCCCGCCCTGCGGAGTTCAGTCTGCGCGGAGCCCTCCATGGGTGAAGATGGATTTTTTTTTGTGCTCTGGTTTTTTCTTTTTCGTCTGTTTTTTTTTTTTTGCGCTCTGGATTTTTATTTTATTTTAAGTTCGACGGTTATGATGGTTTTTTATTTGGCCTTTTTTAGGGCTGAAAAATGAAGATTTGAGAAAAAAGAAGACGTCGAATGGTAAGTTTAATTTTATTTTACAGGTTAGAGTTCTGTCAGTTACAGTAGGTTCCCCACCCCCTCATTATCATTTGGCCCCTACCCGCCGCCCAGGGGTAGGGGCCGGGGGGGCAGTAAGTCCCCCCCCATTATCATTATGGCCCCCACCCGCCACCCAGGGGTGGGGGCCAGGGGGGGACAATAGGTCTCCCCCTTTATTTTACTTTAGGGCCCCACCCGTCGTTTAGGGGTGGGGGCCAATAGTTTTTCTTTGTTTTGTTTTTTTACAGTGACCACTGTAAGTGGAAATGCCTCTACTCGCGGTATAGCGAGTAGGGGCATTGGGGAGATTTTAATCTCCCTTATGCTATTATGGGGGTCATATTGACCCCCATAGAGTGAGGGGGGGTCTGGGGGGCTTATGAAGTGGTGGGGAGCACTGCTCCCTGCCTCTTCTATCTTTACATATTACAAGGAGGGAGCTGTGCGCAGGTAGCTCCCTCCTTGTAATAAACTGAACGAACAAACAAACACTGATACTCAGTGTTTGTTTGTTCGTCTGATATTTCTATTCACTTATTCGTCTGTCTGATAATTGAATAGATGAAATTCCCGTTCGCATGTCCAGGTGTTTCACTGGGCATGTGCGGGAATCTCACAGGCTATCTAGTGTGGGCTGATGACGTGTCCCACAGGGACTTCATTTACCCACACAAAGATGGCTGCGCCCTGAATAAAGATCGGGTCAGAAAATAAAGATACAAAAATAGGTAATGTGGGGGGCTTAGGGGCATTTGGGGGTGACTAGGGTGTCAGTTAGAGATAGTGGAGGCCGGAGGGGGGTTAAAAAAACAAACAAAACAAAAACAGGATTCGGCATGACAGTGCCGCTTTAATACCATGCAGTAGTATAATCCCCCAATAAGGATATATGTGTCTAATGCGTGGCAATCAATAATGCGTGGCTGTTTAGAAAATTGGGCAGACTAGATGGGCCGAATGGTTCTTATCTGCCGTCACATTCTATGTTTCTATGTTTCTATGTTCAGCGATGAATAAATAATAGTTTATAAGGAGAAGAAACAATGCCTTCCATTTGTTTGTTCTCTACTGTATTACCAGTTTGTGATGAAATGCAAAATAAAGGGGTTTCAGTTTACCTCTATTTGACCATGTTCTCTAAAGGACATCTTGACATAGGAGAAGCGGCTGTTCTGGTAGGGACCCGGTTCTTTGTTCGGGGTGGGAGGATGTAGATGGACAACAATTTTTGCACTAAAGGAGAAGAATAAATTTAATTGATGCAAACAATGATACTTTAGAAAAGTACAAAAACAAATGTGCACTTTTTGCATTCAAACACGAAAAAAACCTGATAAAGCTTTTGAATTACTGCGGAACATATGAAAAGACAAACTGTCACCAATACGCAATATTTTTTCTTATAAAAGTTTATGTGTAAACTTGTATTAAAATGAAGTAAAAAAGGGGATTTGATAGGCGCTCACTATCATTAAAAACAGCACCAATTCACCAACAAGGGGTTCCCTCAGCTTTGTGACACATACAGTAAAAATAGAATAAAGAGAGATGAACAGTGCTTGGAATACATTAAATAACCGATAGAAGAGCCAACTTCTGGTTCATAAATCTTGAATACAAGACAAGAGACAAATAATGGTGCACTGTATTGCACCATTATTTGTCTCTTGTTTTGTACTCAAGATTTATGAACTAGACGTTGGCTCTTCTTTCATATGTATATTTAATTTATTCCAAGCGCTGTTCCTCTCTCTTTATTGTATTAAAATGAATTAGACATCAGTGACAGTTTCGCATTTTTTTGGCTTGATTGCCATGCAATGAAATAAGACCCAGGGACAAAAGTAAGCAAAAAAAAAAAAAAAAAAGGGTTATGTTTTTGTTTTGTTTTTTTGGGGGGAAATAGTGGATTATTTAAAGTGTCCTACTTCAACAACATCCATGTACTTTTAAGATAAAAAAAAAAACACAAAAACATAAGGTATCATGTGGCCCACAGGAGCTTTATCTCACTGTTTGCATAGTTCAAAATTAGATCATTTAAGTCTTACTTTCACTGGTAACCAGCATACATTTATTTACAATGAATGTAAGAATATTTGTGCTGCAAAAATGAGATCATGGAAACAAGTACAATAATGAAATAAAGGAGAAATGGGTACAAAGAGAAAAGATTAAAACAAGACTTTGATCGTTTTCCAAAATCAACACATATGGGAAAAAACATGAATCCAGTAATACACACACCCTAAATAAAAACTAAATTACCAGATACTGGTAGTGGCCAGCATCCAACCTGTGCAGTGTATCAGATTGTCAGGTCTAGTAATCTACTATGTGACTGTCAGGAAATCCTGAGATGGCTATTTATTTATGGAGCGAGTAGAAAGTAAAATGTAGCCACAATGCCTCTGCGGTGATAATTACCTGCTCCACGCCGAGCAGCCATGCGGCTTGAGGCCTGTAAGAGAAATTATACTTACCCTATTCCGCGTATCTCTCCACTGCAATCTCCGTCTAATAGCCTCTGCTGGTAGAAATGCGGACGCTGCCCGCTCTAAACATAGTGATGTCACGCCTGCTGTTAAACTGACAACGTCATCTAAGTGACCCCATGCTCATACTTTTTGGAGTTGCAGAGATGATGTGCACCAATCCATACACATTACCTAAAAAATAATTGTTCTGGCCCTTATTCATTGCCCTCTTGTGATTTCTGTTATTGACCTTGGCTTCGTTTGGACTTTGAGTAGTTCTATTATCCTGACCCGGCTTGTTTATTCATATTTACATATTTCTGTATTCCTGACTTTGGCTATTCCGGACTTTGTTTCTATCTTTAAATCTGTTAAATTTTGCCACTCCAAGGCCTGGTAATATGGCTATTTTGGACCCTCATTTTCAAAGACAGTGTTGACACTGCTGCATAGTCCAACCTCTAGTAAAAGTCACTCAGTCGGCCACCAGAGGTGATTCCTAGTCTAGTGCTGCACAGTAAGCAGCACCTATATTCAGCGTCTCCACGCTCTGCATTGAGGCACTGAATAATCCCCAAAGAGATGCATTGATTCAACACATCTCTATGAGGAGATGCTGATCAGTGTTGCCCAATAGCCTCCCAATGGTTTCCTATGGGAAAGCACTGGCTTGGCTGAGATTCCACTTCCATGGGTGAGTTGGATTGACTCACCCATGGAGGCGAGGTCAGCCGGTCACCTAATAAGACACTAACTGACAGAACAGAGAAAAACACTTACTGACAGAAACACTTGCTGATTTGACGCACGCATACTCACTGAAAGACACAATCTCAGACAGATACACAGACTCTCTGACAGACAATCTCTGACACCCAGTCACTGACAGACACACTCAGACAGCTAGGACAAAATTCTAGTCGTCATTGAGACCTGGGATTTCTCAAGCCCTGTTTTATGATGCATATTGGTGATAAACTGTATATTGAACATATAGGTGTATCTGCATTACTGCACATGCTTAAGTGGATAAGCCAGACAATAAATATATATAGGAAAAATTACCAATGAATACAAACTTAAATAAAACGACGGTACCTTTTTCCAATGCCCCCTGCCTGTTCCTCTGTGAAAACAATCTGAGAAAGAGGAATCGCAATGCAGAATTCCTACAAGAAATAAGCGGGAAGTAAATGCAAACAATTCTTGACTTAATGTTACAAAATAAATAGAAGTAAAACGTGGCACATAATACAAAATAATAAATATATTCCTTAAAAGGAACACTCCAACATTAACAATATATTTATTTTTAACGTTTGAGTGCTACGTTAATGATTTTAACAAACATTATAAAAAGGTGTTTCCTATAAAACCACAGCAGCATCACCACTGATGTATCTCCTCTCAGTCAACAGGGCAGGAAATCAATAGTAAATTGCTTAATTATAGAACACATTTAAGAACACGTTTCTTATTTTTTGTTTCATTTATTTTAGAATGGCCTTCTCTTCCTCCACCCATCATCAATCAATCATTTCATGCAATAAAGAGGTAAGCCTTGCATATTATTATTAGCAAAAGAGTGCCTTACGGATTGTGGCCCTATGTATCACTACAGCCTGAATAATGAAGGGATAATGACTCCATGAAAAGGACAAATTTAATGAATGATTGGGCTGAAATAGTTAGGAAGAAATAGAAAGGAAAAACCTAAAAGACCTTCTATATCATCATCTCTCATGGAATAGATCTGGCAGGCATTCATAAAAGCCTTCAAAGGGTAACTCATAAAAGGTTGTTCATTTAAGAGGAGTTAAGAGTGCAGGAGCAGGAAAGAAAAGAATGCTTTAACAAGATAGAAGATGATTTCACGGTTCCTGGTATGATAGAAGAGGAAGCTAAAATTTGCAGACCATTTAAGACGCTAGATCATATATACACCATGAAGGAAGTACTACAAAGCTGGACTAATTAACAGACATCCTCTTCTATAGGTAGCAGAGGGAAAAGTGAAAATGGGAAGGGGTCTGGACTGCGCACATAAAGGATTGAGTTTAATCAACTATAAGAAAGGTATATCCCAGAGTTTCTGTACAAGAGTGGTGCTATCAATAGTCAAAGTCCATTCAGAGGCCAATTGCACTGCAGTTACATTGTCATCCCATAATATATTTGGTAAGCAGTGCTGGCTACATGTGTCAGCTTCAGGAGTGAATGACTTTGTTAAAAGTGACCTGTCTATTCATTCTAATTAAATATCTAGAATTGTTTAAGAAATTGCTCTCCTAGTGATATTCTTAAAGTACACTTTCCCCATATTATCTTTTCTTTGCTATTTTATTCAGCACCATCTCCTCTTCTCTCATTGATTTATGTTTGATCATTCTTGCTGCTTGTGATCAGATGAGAGATCTCAAGGAGGGACCAGAATTTATATGTGCTATAATTAAATATCCCATTGATTAATTTCCCATCAATTGTAATACTGCCAAGGCAAATAGCCAGGAAAAAACATTACATTAAAGGAACACTATAGGGTCAGGAACACAAACATGTATTCCTAATCCTATAGTGTTTAACCCACCATTTAGGTGGTTTGTCCCCCTATAATAGTTTAAAACTCACCTTATTTCCAGTGCCGCACGGGTCTGTCGGTGCTGGCTCCGCCCCCTTTGTGGCATCCTCAAAATGGCTGATTTTTAGCCAATCCAATGCTTTCCTTCACTATATTGATCTATAGTAAAGGGATACTGTAGTGCCAGGAATACAAAGCTGTATTCCTGGCACTACCGATCCCTCTGCCTCCCTCCCTCCCCCAGTAAGTAAAGGGTTAAAAATCCTTTATTTACTTACCTTATCCCAGCACCGATGTCCCTCGGCACCGGGTCGAAGCTTCGCACCCACCTCCGTCCTGCGACGAGTGGGGTCAAATGCGCATGCACGGCAAATGAATCAATGCTTTCCTATGGGGAAAAATATGACGCTGGAGTCCTCATGCAGAGCGTGAGAACGTCCAGCGTCAGATAACGGACCAAAAAGCCTCTAGCGGCTGTCTGGTAGATGTAGACTTAGGGCAAACTTAGAGCTGCAATGTAATGTTCTACATTGCAGCACTAAGTGCAATAGGGACACAGCACCCAGACCACTTTAATGAGCTAAAGTGGTCCGGGTGCCTACAGTGTCCCTTTAATGAAACTTGACTTAATTTCAATACAGTTAGCAAAAACAGGCTGACTTCCAACTACTTACATGATTTTTCTGATCTCTCCAAAGAAGTCTGTGTGTTGTCAGAAGGAGTGCTCCAGAATCAAATTTCGTCTAGAAAGAATATAAATATAATGTTAAAGACAACTAGGAGACATTTAGCATGAACTGTGCTAACATATACATAATCATAGAAAACAAAAGAAAGGATAGTTACACACAAACAAATGCCACTCCTTAATACAGTGGCAACAAAAAGTATGTGAACTCTCTGATATTAGTTTGTTTTCTGCATGAATTGGTTATAAAATGTCATCTAATCTTTATTTCTCTCATCAAAGTCACAAGTATAGACAAGCACAATGGGCACAAAGGGACAATATAGGTATCCAGACCACTTCAACTTACTGAAGTGGTCTGGGTGCACTTTCCCTGCCTCCCTAGCCCTGAAGCTGCAAATATTGCAGTTTAAGAGAAACTGCAATGTTTACATTGCAGGGTTGAGACAGCCTCTAGTAGCGGTTTCCCAAACAGCCACTAGAGGCGCTTCCTGGCCTTTCACAGAGTTTGACCCCGTGAAGCAACGCTGGACATCCTCTCACTTTGCATGAAGACGTCCAGTATCTTCTAAACCCATGGGAAAGCATTGACTAAAAATAAAGTTTTATTTAGTGTAAGGGAGATTAATCAATGCTTTCCTATGGGGACAAATATGACGCTGGAGGTCCTAATGCAGAGCGTGAGAACAGCCTTTTAACACTATAGGGCAGGGGTAGGCAACCTTCGGTACTCCAGATGTTGTGGACTACATCCCCCACAACATTCTTACACCGATAATGCTGGCAAAGCATCATGGGAGGTATAGTCCAAAACATCTGGCGTGCCAAAGGTTGCATATGCCTTCTATAGGGTAATGTTTACCCTTTAAGCTAACAAAACAAAAACAATTATATTTCTTGTCTTTATTAAACACATCCCACTAAACATTCACAGTGCTGTGGAAAAAGTAAGTGAACACTTGGATTTAATAGCTAGTTAATAACCTAAATCAAGCGTTTCCAGTGGCTGCGGATTAGATCTGCACAACATTCAGGAAGAATTTTGGACACTACTTTTCTTTAGAGTTGCTTCAGCTCAGTCATATTTTTAGAATGTTTGGTGTGAACACCTCTCTTAAGATCATTCCACAGCATCTCTATGGGCTTAAAGTCTGAGCTTTGATGGACCACTCTCATAGAGAAGCATTAAAACATTAAGCCCTTACATCTGTTTGCGGTGCATCACAAAGTGAGTGAGGAGCACCCTTTTTGCTGTCTGATTGACAGATGTGAAGATGCAACGCAGATACTTTATAATAATAAAAAAATGCTGACTTCTCATGAAACTGGCAGTTTAAAATATTAAAAATAAAAATGTGCTGCAGACATACACCACCACCTAGAGGTAGTTTACCAAGCAACAATTTATAATGTCTGTGTGTTACAAGAACATTGTCTCATAATGCTTATTTGGACACCTTAGGATGATCAGGTATTCTACAGATATCTAAAACATACATGTAGTAAAATCCCAAACCAAAATTCAATCTGCAATGATTACAAAATAGCCTAAAATTGGCAGCACTCTGAATCCAGTCTGTGGCTTTAAACATGATACAAGGTGGAATTGTATGACTGAATTGAAATTATACAGAAACTGCTAAATATATGGGCAGGGACCACTGTTTCTAATTCACAGTTTTGATAAGAAAGGTAATACTATGTGGAAAGTACAGCATGCATACAGATTTCCTATATGGGCATTCACGTTTTCTATTAAAAGTTAGGAAGTGAGGAATCCTTACCATCTAAAACGTAATGGAACTAATAAAAAGAAAGTGGATGGCCGGGGAGGGAGTGGGCAGCACGAAAGTGGCATGCCATCATTGGCTGAGTGGTGCCAGATACCAAATTTGCCCAGAACTCACATTAGCCACACAGACCTCTTGCTCTGTGCTGGCTAACGGTGCCCCGAAGACACTATCAGAGACGAAGTTACAACACCAGCAGCAGAAGGTTTAATCTCTGTATGTGTTGTATTTCAAAGCCAAACTCTACGCTATTAGACTCCAGGCACCATGACCACTTCAGTAAAGTAGTTCTGGTGCTTGAAGTAATCATTTAAGTTGGATTTGTTTTCTTGCTTAGCTCTACAATCCTACCCTGCAATCTGAAGTGTTTCCTTTTTCCTCCACAAATACAGCAGTACAGGAGTTCATTCATATAGCTGTATTTATCATTTCAGGGAATTGTAGCTAAGCGGTCAGTTTCAACTTTGCAGACTCCCTACTGTGTTTGTGCTCACATTGCAACAAGGAAGAGCATTCACAATGTCCAGCCAATTACATTATTATAATTTACGAATTTATAATAATGGCAGAGCATGAGTGTGTCAAATTATCCATGTGTAATACCTCAAGTGCCCTAGTACGCAGCATATTTTAGTGCTTTGCTATGGAAAGAATTTTAACACAAAGTAGCAAACCAGTAAGGGTAATAAAGTCTGAATTGCTCACTGCAGGTGTTTGACTGATTGCCGGTGACCAGGACATGCTTCACATTGGAGTACTAGTAACTATCACTGGAGGAAATAGCAACTTTTTGAGAGTACAATTAATTTTATCATCACCCTGTGTTTTTAACAAAGGTGCATTTAAAGGATCACTATAGGGTCAGGAACACAAACATGTATTCCTGACCCTATAGGTTTACAACCACCATCTAGCCTCCTTGGGCCTCTCATGCCTCCATTAATATATCAAAATCTTACTGTATTCAAGCCTGAATCTGTAGATCTGCATGCTGTTTGCCTAAAAAAAAAAAAACAACAAGCAGTCTGCAGACATCATCAGAAGTGGTGTCCTGATCCAATCACAGTGCTTCCCCATAGGATTGGCTGAGACTGACAAAGAGGCAGATCAGGGGCAGAGCCAACATGATTCAAACACAGCCCTGGCCAATCAGCATCTCCTCATAGAGATGAATTTAATCAATTCATCTCTATGAGGAAAGTTCAGTGTCTGCATGCAGAGGGAGGAGATACTGAATGTTTGGTTGCATCTTAGGCAGCCATGACCCAGGAAGGATCTCTAACAGCTATCTGAGGAGTGGCCAGTGAAGTTATCACAAAGCTGTAATGTAAACACTGCATTTTCTCTGAAAAGACAGTGTTTACAGGAAAAAGCCTAAAGGTAATATTCTACTCACCAGAATAAATTCAATAAGCTGTAGTTGTTCTGGTGACTATAGTGTCCCTTTAACGTTAATAGCTTCCTCGCAGTCCCAGGGCGCTTCTCAATGACTCAGAATGCTGCAGCCAGTCATTGACTGAGTGTTGAGAGCACAGGTGAGCTCTTAAAGGAAAACTACAGTGTTAGGAATGCAAAGTTTTATTCCTAACGTTATAGTGTCCTCTGCCCCCGCCACCACCACTGTGGCACATAAAGGGTTAAAATAAACCCTTTATTCACTTACGCGATTCCGGCACCAATCTCTCTCGGCACTGGTTCGCGCTCCGACGTCAGCCATTGGGGGGGGGGGGGACCTAATGTGCATGCGCTCAATTGCCGTGCTCATTAGTCCTCATTGCCCCAGTGCTTTCCTATGGGGTTTTCTCTGATGCTGGATGTCCTCATGCAGAGCGTGAGGACATGCAGCATTGTTTACCAGAGCCAAACTCCACGAAACTTCACGAAGAGACTCCACTGGTTATGTTCTCAAACACTATAAAGTTTTACATTGCAGGACTAAGGGGGGCAATGACCGTACACCAGTGGCTGATCCAGGGGATGGGCAACGGGGCAATTGCGCCCCCCCCCCGAGATTCTCCCCTGCCGGCTAATGCAGGGCTGGCGTTGTCCAAGTGCCAGCCCTGCAATGTGCCTGCGAACCGGGGAAGGAGATCAGTGATCTCCATCCCCGGTCCGCAGGCACTGTGCTGACAGCAGGCAGGGGAGGGAGAGCGGACCCGGGAGCTCTTACCTGCAGCTCCTCCGGGTCCTTCTCTCGCGAGCATGGAGCGTTGCCGCGGTTACCACGGCAATGCTCCAAATCTCGCGAGAGTGAGCTCTAACCCTGCAGCGCGGGCTAGAGTTCACTCTCCCCACTGGGCCACCAGGGAATGCCCACCGGACCACCAGGGATGAAGAAATGTCCATCCTCCTCCCAGTATAGGTAAGAAGAAAGGGGGGACATCAATATATTTATTTTTAATAAAAAAAAAGCCTCCTTCCCCCCCCATACACTGCCCCACAAACACTACCCCCATACACACTACACACACTGTGCCCATAAATACTGCCCCCCATACACACACTGCCCCCCATACATACATTGCCCCACAAACACTGCCCCCCATACACACACTGTCCCCATACACACACACACTGCAACCCTGACCTACACTGCCGCCCTCACGCACTCGCACACACTGGACCCCTAACACACACCACTGCTCCTATGCCCTATTTCCCAGCAGACCCCAGGTAAGTTGTCAAACTGTTCTTAAACGGTTTGACTACTTACTCTGGGATGGGATCCTGGCACTACTGGTGCCATAACTACTACACTGAGCTGTAGTGGTTATTGTGCCTGGATTATTTCTTTAAATCTACAAGTGCCCCTCATGAGATCAGGCTCTGGATCCGGGGGCTGTATATCCTGTCTAGGCTCTGGCCAATCTTAACCCGAGTCCATTGTGTAATAAATGATAATAATGCTGTATCCACATCTTAGTAGCTGGAAATGTATAGAATCCTTTAATAAATAATAGATATTAATTAGGTGTTGATGAGCACCCCACAGAGCTTTACTAATGATCATATAATTAGTGTGACCATACTTTATCAATTTTCCAGCAATAATGATCATGTTGTAATGAAATAGCAATAGCCAGGTGTGGACCAATACACCTGGCATGACTTGTATTGTGTGTCATGGTGTCAGCCCATCACTGAGGGAATAAATCTCCCATCCTATCATTCTCCCACCTTGTCCTCCCCATCAGAGAGCCGGACACCGCGCTGCTGGATCACCAGGGTCTCATCAATGTCCAGCAGCCCGGAGCACCACGAGAAGCGGTCCATGGACAGCTACAGGCAAAACTTCCAACCGGAACTGAGACCCCACTAGGCCACGCCCCCCCCTGATTACGACACCATTCTAAACACTGCAGACAGCGCAGGTGCACCGATCGAACGCATTGAGGAAGCCATTTTTCCGGAGACCAGGAAGCAACAACGAGGCCATTTTTCCGGAGACCAAGCAACGAGGAAGCCATTTTACCGAAGACCAAGAACTAAAGTTCCACCCTCCCTCCTGTGTACACAGTAGTCACGCTCCGAGTGTGTCCCCCCCCCCCTCCGCGCATGGAAACGCCCACTCTCAGCACAAAGCTCCGCCCCCCTAAGTGAATGGAGCTGTTATGGAAAGACGTTATTTGGTCACGTGACGAACCAATTCAAATGATTCCATCTCAAAGGACAATACGGGCGGTCTCTCTCTCTGCCTTCCTCGTCCAATAGCGGCGATGCAACCCGACACGATTGGCTGAACTGTACGGCATGTATCCAATCAGGAGCGAGGAAGCTGGGACCGCTCGATGTGCAGCGCGACATTCAAAGCCTGACTGACACATTATAATGCAGCGGGCAGCAGCCATGGCCGGGATCATGCAGCCTCTGGCAGCCAGCAGGAGACAACAGCCGCACTATCGAGGTAACCACCAGCCTAGCCCCGGACATAGCATTGACAGGAGCCACACACCCATCACTGCCAGCCCCGGACATAGCATTGACACTCCCAGCGACCGGAGCCACACACCCATCACTCCCAGCCCCTGACATAGCATCAACCCATCACTCCCAGCCCCGGACATAGCATCACACCCATCACTGCCAGCCCCGGACATAGCATCACACCCATCACTCCCAGCCCCGGACATAGCATTGACACTGCCAGCGACCGGAGCCACACACCCATCACTCCCAGCCCCTGACATAGCATCAACCCATCACTGCCAGCGACCGGAGCCACACACCCATCACTGCCAGCGACCGGAGCCACACACCCATCACTCCCAGCCCCTGACATAGCATCAACCCATCACTCCCAGCGACCGGAGCCACACACACCCATCACTGCCAGCGACCGGAGCCACACACACCCATCACTCCCAGCGACCGGAGCCACACACCCATCACTCCCAGCGACCGGAGCCACACACCCATCACTCCCAGCCCCGGACACAGCATCGACCCATCACTCCCAGCGACCGGAGCCACACACACCCATCACTCCCAGCGACCGGAGCCACACACCCATCAATCCCAGCCCCGGACATAGCATCGACCCATCACTCCCAGCGACCGGAGCCACACACACCCATCACTCCCAGCGACCGGAGCCACACACACCCATCACTCCCAGCCCCCGCTACATCAGCCAGGCACCCATCACTCCCAGCCACACACATCACTCCCGTCGACAGGAGCCAGACGCCCATCACTCCCAGCCTCGGCGACAGCAGCCAGCGCTGATTGGTAGCTGACTCCCTGTTATTGTGGACCTCCTATTTATGGTGCTTATTACCCCAGTTCACCCAAGCTGTGGGCCATACTGGCTTCCCTTTGCCAGCTCAGGTAGCACTCTTATTTCAGGGTGTTTAGTTTTTTTTTTTTTTTAACAAACTGATGGCATCCCTCTGCCTTCCTCCATGAGCAGCACTATCCTCAGACCATAACCTGATGGGTGCTGGCACCTTACGCATTATTTATTTTAGCTCTTCTATATTGCATGAACCTACAATCCCACCTGTAGCACTGAGAGCCGTCTTCTAGACTAGCACCACTGCGTACAATTATGCCAGTGACATGCCTGACTGAGCATGATGGGCGTCATACACCAAACCGCTGGAGTGGCCAAGGCTATCATCACTAATCTGCTGTTACCTTATGGCTACCATCCAGCACTGTATGTGACTGCCACCCTCTCACTCACACAGAGTATACTTTCTGAGTCCCCTGTTTTTTTTGTCCTCCTTCACTGGCACATGGTACTGCTTTCTCTAACTGCCAATACCAATAATATTGATATCTCTGGATCTATATTCGTTGCTGACCCCAAAACTGTTTTTACAGTTTCTTAATTTTACACTAGTTCTATGTCAATCAATCAGGCTTTCGTCCAAATCACTCAACTTCCACTGCCCTCTTAAAAGTTTGCTATGACATCCAAATTGGCATGGAACAAGGAGACTTAACTGGAGCTATTTTCCTTGAATTTGCCAAGGCCTTTGACACAGTAGACCACTCATTCTTTTGCAAAAACTTAAAAACTCAGGCATTGGTGATCTTCTGCTAACCTGGTTTTGAGCATATGTTTAAGACCGATTGCAATATGTGGCCATTTCTGATAGCGCTTCCCTCCCTCTTCCAGTCACGTGGTGTTCCCCAAGGCTCTTTACTCTGCCCCCTGCTATTCGCATTATTTATAAATGATCTGCCTAACGTCTGCACATACACAACTGCAAAACGTGTGCAGACGACACTGTAATCTACGCTAGTAAATCCAAGCTACTGGAGCTTTAGGCTGTGCTCCAAAACCAATTCAGAGGTAGAAAAGTGGATAGCGGATAACAAACTCTTCCTGAACACTGACAAAACTGTTACAATGATCTTTGGAAGTGTACCTAAATTACTTAAACTACAAAATCAATAACTGTATCAGAACAAATTCAAATAGCACACTGACATCAGTCTGCTCTTTTAAATATCTAGGTATATTGCTAGACCCCAATCTATCCTTTGGCCTTCACATTAAAAAAAAAATCTTCAAAACTCTACCCAAAACTAGGTGCCCTGTACAGAAACAAATCCTGCCTAAGCCCTACAGTAAGTAACAGTGCAACAAATGCTAATGCCGGTCATTTGATTATGGGGATGTAGTGTATGCACCCGCACTGCAAAGGCCTCTGACGTGGGGCCCCTCATTAGCGATATCTCTAAAGCTCCCCTACAGCATAAGAAATCAGTTTTTCTCAAATGAATTCTGTCCACACACAAATGGAACTGATATTGCTAATACTGAACTTCCTCATTCTCTCCAAAGAGAGGCCATACATAACATGCATTACGAATGAAGACAGTTGCTTGGACATTATGTGGGACACACACAACTCAGCTATTGTTAAACAAAAGTCAATTTTCTACATAAATTGCACCCACAGCAGGCTGTAGTGATTATGATGTTTAGAATGCCTATATGAACTTTCCAGACAAGGGCTGCATAAACAGCAACAAAGTGATTTAACTCCTAAATGGCAGTGAAACCTGAGAGGCATGATCTACACACAAAAACTACTTCATTAAGCTAAAGTTCTTTAGTGTTCCTTTAAAGTGCCACTTTCAATAGAAATCTAAAATTTTGGTAAAATGAAAGACGCACTATTCACACAGAAAGCACTTAGCAGTGTCTGTTGTTTCCAAGTTTGGTCACCATGCAGTGCAACAAATTCAACCAATGAATCAATAAATACCATCCAACTAGGGACAAATGGCGTTGCTAATATGTGTAACTTTTTTTTCATTAGTTATATTATAGACCAAGATGTATCTAAAATATGCAGTTTGCCAAACGAGTAACTTTAATTTGTTTGTTTTTTCTCCTGTATTAGAACAAAGGCGAAAGAAAGTTGAGGAAATTTTATCCAGAAAGATGTCCATCCCAAAGCCTTCACAGCCAACTGAGCAGCCAGCAATCCGGTTAGTATTGCAATCTGGTAGTACCGCAAGGCTTGGCTCTCTGCAGGATCTTCCAGCAGCAAAGAAAGCAGTAGGGGGAGCAAAACGATTTAAGCAAAGATATTCCCCCTCACCAACAAAGGGTTAAATAGCCTTTTAAAGTTGTTTTCCTGACACTATATAACCCCACAGTGCCACCCTCCCTTGCGTCCCGAGGGGTTAAAACTCCTTCAGTCATTTACCCGAATCCAGTGCTGGGTCAGGCTCCTCCCCTGCCAAAGTCAGCTGGCAGGGGAGACATTATGCACTTGTGCGGTAATGGCCGCGCTTGCGTTGGGATTTCCCCATAGGAATGCTTTGCTATAGCAAAAAATCTGACGCTGCATGTCTTAATGCACAGCGTGAGGACATCCAGCGTCAGTTAATGGACCGAAAGTCTGATTCAAACCTGAATGTCCTCTAGTTGCTGTTTGGTAGACAGCCACTGAGGGCAGACTTAGAGCTGCAATGTAAACTAAGTGCAAAAGGGACACCACACCCAGACCACTTCAATTAGCTGAAGATGTCTGGGTGCCTACAGTGTCCCTTTAAATAAAATGTTTCTAATGTGCCCCGTTTAATGAAACTTCCTGCACTCTGTGAAGTTTCTCAGCCTTTTACCATTTAACCATTCTTTGGGCAATTTTTAAAGATGTGTAATTTTTCTCCCTCCCCAGGTCACCTTTAACAGAGACGGGTAATAAAACTCTCCTTCAAAGAACGGAAATCCTTAAACCTGCTATGCAGAAAATGGTATGTCATAACTCTTACACTACTTTGTGTGAAGGTTGCCCTTGTGTGATGTCATCAGTGTCATTCTTTGAGTTCTGTGTGATTTTAAATATAGGATACTGAGCCTGAAAAAAAAAGTTATAATGGTATTGCACAGAGAATAAAATATTCTCAAATTCCTATGAAATGCCTAGTTTAATTTTGCCTGTACCTTGTTTTGGCAATTGAAGACAAATTTAAAAAAAAAGGCATTCTCTGGTGGCTGTATGTCCAGTTGCCTTCTAATGAATTATCTCAAAATTCCTAGCATGTTGTCACATGATTGGGATGGCATGGACCCTACAAGCTTGCAGTGGCATAGAACTTGAAAATGTAGGCAATTTGCCGGTTAAATGCCCTATGCACTATATAAATTTAAATGTATACTTAAAGGGACACGGTCACCAGAACAACTACAGCTTAAAGGGACACTATAGTCACCTGAACAACTACAGCTTAATGTATTTGTTCAGGTATGATCTATAGCTCCCTGCAGGCATGGAGGGCAGGCAGGCATGGAAGGACCAGGGGGCTACATAGTGTTTTAGGAATACATGCTTGTGTTCCTTATCCTATAATGTTCTTTTAAAGCGGTTATGTCGCCTTCCAAGGGTCTTTGCATATTTTGCAAAGACTCTAAATAGAGACTGCTAGTTAGTAATGTGGCCTACATTTTCACTGAACATTTTTCATTGAAATTCCAACACTCTAAGCATTTTATAAAGATTTTTATCGTTATGGAATGCTCATATGGGGATCAGAGGGGGAGGGGTGCTGAGTTGATTTGACTGAAGGAGTACTTATTTTCCACCAGTTTTGTGGCTGACTAGACCTCTTCTAAGGGTGAACTTAATTTGTCATATATTTGTTTTACTCTAAAATAATATATGAATTTGGCTTTCAGTGCAGAAATACGGTCTAAGTAATCAAAATGATGCAGCATCATTCACGGGACAAAGTTCTCTTACTTATTCACGTATTGTCAACCTTTTATCTGCATGATTTCATTATTTAAAGAAGCTGTAACATGTAAATGAAAGGTGTGTTTTATTTATTTTAAATTTTTTTTTTTTTTTTTGCATATAAATGTCCTGTTTTGATAGAATTTAAGACCTGCTGTTCAATAAGCCATAAAACATATAATCTCTCATGGCAAGGGTTTTGGCAAATGTTATCTTCCACGGGAATTCATTTTCCCCCACATAAAACATATATTGTATATTTTATGATTCACTACAATCACCCCCTATGATTTGTTGCTCTTGACAGGCTAATAAAGAGAATGTTGTAATTCGCAATAAAAGAGAGGGCATAAGTCTAACCACTGCTGTCAAGAAAACCGATGCACCAAAAGCTATTCCTGCAAGTGGGGCTGTTTTACCAAAACCTAACCAGCGAAAAGAGGGTCGCGGCATGACAATTGGTCAGCCTTTCTTAAAAACAAAAATCTTTAATGACCCACAACTAAAGGATGAAAAGTTAAAAATGGAGTCAAGCAAAGATATTCTGGGGAAACCATCAAAACCTGCACTTGGTATTTATCGTGGAAAAGTTGTTCAGTCCAAAATTAACTCCTTTAGAAATTCTTCTGAAAGAGCAAATGAACACAACCTGACAGATGAGGTCAAACTTGGTGCAACTGCTCTGAAGGTAGCAGCAACAAAAAAGTCAAGTGCACCCGTGAAACAAATGGCAAAGCCAGCTCCCGCCAGTAGCACAGAACAGAAAAGACCACCTGCTTCTAAGGTCAGAGCACAGATGAGACCTTCTGCCATTATCACTAAGAGCAAGACTGAACCAGTGGTAACACACAGGCACACAACATCTTCAATCCATTCAAAGCCCAAGATCCAAACTTTGCTACAGAGACCAAATCCTGTGGCACACCAAGCAAAGATGGTAAACAAAAGTGATCGGACAGCTCATTTGAAGCCAGTTGCTGTACCTCAAAAAAATAAACCTGCTCAACAACCAACCACTGGGAACAAATATTCTAGACCAATAGAAACTGCAGAGCAAAGGAGGTATGTTCTTATGCACATATTCATGCTGTCTAATAGTATAAAACTTATGTTTATTCCATTGCCAGAGAGACACAAAGCTTAGTGTAACTCAGCATTGTGTTCATCCCTGGTACATGAATGTGTTTTTAAAAAAAAAAAAATAAATGATGGAATAGATTGCATAAGTAGCGTGTTAACATACTTAAGCAAAGTAGCTTGAGAAACACAAGGAGAGTAACGTATGCGCTTCCATTTACAAAATAGGTGGTTTTGTGTGTCCGAACACTATAAATTTGGCTCAAAATTTCACTCTTTATATTGTTTGCAAATTAAAGCAGCACTGTCATGCCGAACTTACCTTTCCTTTCCTCAATCTCTTCCTCTTCACCCCCTCTCTCAAGATCTGTTCTTCTTTTCTTCCTGTCTTCTTTAGTTTTCTTTAAAATCATAAGACAAAGTAGGGACACTTTGCCTTATGGAGGTTTCCTCCGCTTGACCAGCGGAGGAGCAAAGTGTGCTTCATTTCCGCTAGTCAGAGCAATTTTCCCACAATTCTTACCTTTCCTCTGTGTTCCCACGATGCTTCCTGTCATTTTAGACGAAACTGCCGAATTGCGTTCTAACTGAATGAGAACAGTATGTTCGTTTCTTTTAGAACTCAATTCGGCACTTTGTTCGTATCGGAATTTCATTCGAATGAATGAAACTCCGATCCTATTCGTGCTGTGGCTGCATCTTGCAGCCGCTAAGTAGATAACTCCCTGATACTGTGGGAATTAGGGAGTTATCTACTAAAAGGCTGAAAGACCTAAATTGGTCTTTCAGCCACATTTACTAATACCAAGTAAAAATTAAAAAGACGTTGAATGGTAAGTTTAATTTTACTTTACAGGTAAGTTATTTATTTATTTTTATTTTTTTTATGGTGAGGGGTAGGTAGGGAATTTTTTTTTAATTTTTTTTTGGGGGGGTGGGTGACTTGGGGACCCCTAGTCGCCTTTGATTGGGGGATAGTAGGGGTGTGTGGGGTGTGTTTTTTTTTTTTTTTTTTTTTTTTAACAGTGAGCAGCCACATGCTGCTCACTGTTTAGTTTACATGTCCCTACTCGCGGTATAGCAAGTAGGGGCATTGGGGAGATTTTAATCTCCCTTGTGCTATTATGGGGGTCATATTGACCCCAATAGAGAGAGGGGGAGACCTGGGGGCTTATGAAGTGGTGGGGAGCACTGCTCCCTGCCGCTTCTATATTTACATATGATAAGGAGAGACCTGTGTGCCGGTAGCTCCCTCCTTGTAATAAACTGAAAGAACACTGATACAGTGTTGGTTTGTTCGACTGATTTTTCTATTCATTCATTTCGTCTGTCTGATGAATGAATAGATGAAATTCCCATTCGCATGTCCCACAGGGACTTAGTCTACCCACACAAAGATGGCGGCGCCCTGAATATAGATCGAGGCAGAAAATAAGTGGGGGGGGAGGGGGGGAAATAGGTAATATGTGGGCCTTAGGGGCATTTGGGGGTGACTAAGGGGTAAATTAGAGATAGTGGAGGGGGGGTTAAAAAAAAAAAAACGGGATTCAGCATGACAGTGCCGCTTTAATTGTCCAAATCAAACTGCTGGTAAATGATGAATCTGCCTTTAGTAAATATGAGCATTTCAAATTCCATTATTGTAACTGACCTTTGCTGATGCAGGCTAGATTTTGTTCTCTGTTAATAAGCATGTATGGCTTTTCTGTTTGACAAACTGGGGCTCTTGAGCATCCATAGATCAGACTGATTGGCAAATAAAATGCATGAGGGTCTTGGGACTGGGCTTTTAGTTTTAGAATACAATTACCAGTCTTTGATGTACAACATCACTCTGTTAGCAAGTAAACACATGCCTGCTGGGACATAACCAGTTTCTATGTTCTGTCCAGGGCCCGTCTGGCAGAGTGGAGAGCTGCTAAAGGGAAGGTAATAAAAAGACCCCCAACTGCAGTACCAAAGTCTTGTACTACAAGCAAAGTGCCGAAAGAAATAGAGTTCAAGAGTGAGTCAGAGCCACCAAGAGATATCGAAGAACCTGGCCAATTGTTCTGGGCGACCATGGCAGAAGAAGATGAGCAGGAACTGTTTACACAGAAGGTTAACCAAATGTTTGAAGAATGCCGAAAGTTAATTGATGAGGTATTTTAAATTCATATTCAGTGTCAAAATTGGTGTAATATGTGTGAAGGCTGATGGAATAACATTAGCTGAGTGTTTGTTTTAAAAAAAACAAAAACATAAAAATGAACCAAGACTTTAGATACATAAACATGCGTGCACACTTTAAAAAATAATTTAAAAAAAAAAGTGTGTGTGTGTGTGTGTCTCCTCCTCCCGGGGAATAGGGTAGTAGCTCAAGAGTTATGGCTGTGGCTTACATGTGAAGCAAAGCTAATATTATGCTAGCCATGCCCTGCTATGTAAAACTAAGTGGGATGCTATGTAAGAGATGGGGTTATGTGCTAAAGTGAATTAAATAATAAAGTATTTAACCAGGAAAGGTACCAGTACATTCAGATTACTCTGGTTTTCAAGTATGTCCTGGGGATGTTGCCATAGCCCAACATCTAGGGGTTGTTACTATTACCCAATTTAATGGTACTCATTTTATCTACCTCAGAAGGATGAAGGGCTGAATCAACCCTACCGGGATTTGAACCTGCGACCCAAGGGTTGAAAAGATTCTACTAATGAATTTCAAACTTAAGATAATGTAACCAAACTGAAAGCATAGCTTACTTAATTTCTCAGCTCCGCTATTTTGATCTTGTATTTGAAATCTCCTTTGCAACTCACAGGGTTATTTGCTAAAGTGAGTATTTAAATAACTTCCCAACCTTGTAGAACCACCACTGGGCCCTTATACATATTCATTTCAGATGATCAAATTTCACTTATTTGATGCTGAAATAGTAGTAAGGAGGCTGAACATGCAGTTAGAATGGAGAGAAACACCGGAGGTTCCTTCGCAGACTTAATTAGTACAACTCCTTAAACGTGTAGCCGTTTAGCTGAAACGGTCCAGGCACATCAAAGTCTTTCTTTTCATAAGCAACCTATTTCAGATTCAGCAACGTTTCAGCTCCATGATAGAACAACTATCAGACTTTAGAAAGGTTCTTTTTGTAGAGCCAAATAGTTGTTAAATTTATTAGTTTGCTTAGGTCTCCTTGTTCTGCTTGGACATTTTCTACTAACTTAGATTTGCCACCAGTGAGTGTTCTTGATAGTGTTCTACAAAAAAAATATGAAATTCACTGTTGTATAAATCCTTTTAATTAAACCTCAAAGTAAAAACTCCAGTAGACCATCACTGTTAAGCCTGCTCTTTTGCTGGATGGCTGTATCCGTATACCAGAAGTATGATATTGAACAAGTAATATCCTCCAACTTACAAGAATCCTATTCCCTCTCTTATTCCCTTATCAATTCAAAAGGACTGTCCAAAGGAGGATGTTCTTGAACTACTGGAGACTCAAGTCCAGAGCCTTCCGGAAGCAAAAAAGCTTTCAAAGTATTGGATCTGTCTTGCACGTCTTGAGCAGCGAGAGGGGCAACTGGAAAAAGTTATTGCAATCTGTGAGGAAGCGGCGAAAGCTGGAGCACAGGTTAGTTTGACCCCTTGTTTAGTATGTATATTCTCTCTTGCGAGGAATGCTGCATAAGCATGTTATGAGCTCTTGAAGTTGACAATCTAGAGCAAGGGTCAGCAACCTATGGCACGTGTGCCGTGGTTAGCACTCGAGGTGCCTTTGCACAGCACTCAAAGCTGCCAGAGAAAAACAGTCTCTGGCCTATCAGAAGTCCTAGTGGGAATTCATGTCTGCTAGTGCAAACCAAGCTGTGATTGCAGGTGGTGAGGGACGATTCTCAATTTATGCAATGCAGCACTTAGAGGAAGTGATCTTACACTTCCTCCCAGCAATTGTGAACAAAAATCTGCACTGAAGTATAGCAGCAGCTATCGCAGCTTCTGCTTTTAACCTATAACGGGCCAACCTGGATTCCACTGTACTCTAGGGGTGCCAAATACACAGATTAAGCCTCCCCCTCATACAAATAATACAAACACACATGTACAGTGCCTACAAACACAATACTACTGGTAATCCGCACGCACACCACAAGCGGCCTCTCACATGCAATACCACAACAACCTCACACATATAGACACAATGTGACATATCATACACAATACCACAAACTACTCATAAGCCTAAACCAAATAACAGCCCACATGCACACAAATACAACACTGCAAAGCAACTGTGGCACCCATAAAGAACACAAGCAGAATGCAGCAACATACAACTCTAATTTAAAAAAATAAAAAAAAATAAAACCAGCACGCGGCAGGACTTAAAGATCTTGTTTTGGCACATTACTACTAAAATATTGCCTTCCCCTGTTCGAGAATGTCTAGTAATCAATGTACTACTTGAGAAGGGAGTCATGACTCCAGCTGTAAGGACTAGTCTTCATAACTTTGTTATAGCAGTTAATTGCACTGAAGACCTGGATCTCATTTCTTTTGGGGGTAGTTTACAATGGTTAGCTTTCAATGAATGTCTGCATAGTAACATTCCCGACCATGCCTGGTTATTCTGGAAATCATAATCAGTGGTGAAAACTGGAGATTGCAGTACTGTATTATTCAACTTTGTGGATGTTTGCAGTTTGACAGTTTATTGCTTTTAACATTTAGTATTTTATCAATTTTGTAATCTATTTTTTTTTTTTTTTTTTTTTGAAGCCATTTGATGAACTAAGAAGCATTTTTGCTGTAGTTGTGGAAAAATTGAAAGCTGCGTCTTTGGATTCCGGTATGTGACTTAATTGTCCATGTGATCTTCCCATCATCCAGCCTTTCATCAGTAACCAGCTTGCAATAAAATAACAGAACTGTGGCAGGATGAAAGACCTTTTGGTTTACTTTGGCAAACAAAGTTGCCAGTAGACTGTGGTGGAAAGGGAAACTAGTTTTTCAACACTGAGAGCCTGAAATGCAAATAAGTGTTTGGAAAGCTATAAGGTTTTGGTTGTGGTGTGGGTTTTTTTTTTTTTTTTTGCGTCCCATGTATCTTTCTGTACTTCAGTTCCACTAGTTCTAATCAGGTGATCCCTACTGGAATGCTCATTTACAGGTGTACTGGTTCTGGAAAAAGAAGATATAGTAGACTACCTGCAAGCTGGTATTGCTAGATTGGTTAATTTCATTAAACTAAGGGTCTGTTAAAGTGAATATAACATGCTCAAAGCAATTGTATCAATCTTATCTTTTTGGTTATCAATCTATGGCCTCAATTTATTAAAGGGACTCTCCAGTGCAAGGAAGACAAATCGTTTTCCTGGCACTGCAGGTCCCCTCTTCCTCCCACCTCCCATTCCCGGTTGCTGAAGGGGTCAAAACCCCTTCAGTGACTTGCCTGAGGCAGCGCCGATGTCCCTTAGCGCTGCTTCTGGGTCCGCCCACGCTCCACCACGTCATCCAGCGGGGTAGACCGATCAAGCCTGCCGGCGGGGGAGACCTAATGCGCATGCACGGCAATGCTGCGCATTAGACCTCTCCATAGGAAACAGTGAAAATGCTTTCTTTTGGGGATTTTAACGACGCTGGAGGTCCTCACACAAAACCTGTGCTAAATCCTGGAAGTGCCCTCTAGTGGCTGTCTAGTAGACAGCCACTAGAGGAGGAGTTAAGCCTGCAATGTAATTATTGCAGTTTATGAAAACTGCAATAATTACACTTGCAGGGTTAAGGGTAGTGGGAGTTGGCACCCAGACCACTCCAATGGGCATAAGTGGTCTGGGTGCCTGGAGTGTCCCTTTAATCTTTCTAAATGATTCAATACGTCTAGAAAAACCTTTTTTCCAAACGATTTATGTACAGAAATCTTGTAGATAAATAATTGGGAAAGCTTTTTCTAACCGCATTGAATCATTTAAAAAGCTCGTTAGAAACCATACCCAAGCATGGAATTGCTGCCGGGCGTCTGAGTCTCATTTGCCGCAAGACAGCCCTGCAGTCCATACAGCACGAACCTGTGAACGGGACAATTATCCTCTATGATCTCCCAGTGTACACCGCTAATCGGCAAGCTTACGGAGTAGGCTGAGTGTGCATTATGAGTCCCCTCTGAGTTCAAAAGCCATTTGCCATATTTAACACGTTTACTCTAACTGTACAGAACAAAGTTATGCTTCACCTAGCATGCTCAAGGCACCTCAGTCTCAGGTTGACTTTGGTTCCAGGAGGCTTTACCCAGACACCAAGTTACCAGTGGTGGTAATTTAGTTTAGTTTTCCTTTTCTCTGGCTCCTCAAGGCATGTTTTTTTAAATATGTCACTGCCTACCTTTTCTTTGTGCAATTGAATTACAGGCGAAGTGTATACTAGTGGTTTAATAATTATTTACATCCTCTTGTTACTTATAACTTAAAGTGAGTCCTAATCAGTACATATAGCCTGATTTAAATGCTGTATCACATTAACTATCTACTGATGTAAATCTTATTAGCCTATCATTAACACAAAAATGTGCAGTCTCTTTAAATGCCATGCTCATTATTTGTACTGTCTGTTTGCTTGTTACTACTGTCGTGGCATGGCAAGCTTACATGTTAATTTTATGCACAGCAAAAATAAAGATTTAAAAAAAAAAAAAAGCTTGTTAGAGACTGAATTAGTAAGGCTTAACCGATGTTCAGAGAGCCAAATTCTTTGAGATGAGATGGAATTTGTCCCTTTATAGATCCAGTACACATGTTTTGAGAGGTATGCATTTAGAATATGAAGTCATTTTCTCAGGGTTCTCTTCCTTCAATTGAGTAGTCTGTTTTTTTTCATCTGCCGTTTGTTTTTTTTTAAGTTCTAAAATAATTAGAATAATTCTAAATACAATGTTTCCAGGGAAGGATCTCAAAGATGAAGTCACGACCAATGAAGACTCTACAAAAGCAGAGGAATCTGAGCATGAAGTTAAATCTGAACCTGTTGAACAGGGAGGCGTCACTGTCCGAGTCAAAGGCAAAAGAGGAAAGAAGGGAAGGCCTGTTAAGGCAGAAGACCGAGATGAGACACCAGAGAAAAATCAACCGGCCATGCTGGTGACCCCAGAAAAAGAGAATGCTACGGTTATAAGATTTAATGTTAGATCAACTCCACATCTAGAGAAGTAAGTCTTTTTAAAAAAAAAAAAAAAAAAAAATTAAGTTGTCACTTCTGATTATCATAAAGTTTTCATAGAAGCCATAGTGCCAGGGGACACCTGATACCCATTATCCCCTCTCCTCCCTCACTCCTTGCTCTGCACTGCCAGGCTTTGTTCAGGTACAGTTTCTCTCACCATAGGAAGTAGTGGACACTGGGAGGAGCTGTAATTGCCATTGAGAGTTTCTTTCCGAACCCTTACAGTGACTAGTGTCCCTTTAACAACTAAATCTCATTAAAGTGGCTACCCCTGGAACCATCCTTCCTTTCAGTGTTACAGTTTTTCGTATTTTAATACTATATGAGAATTACCAAAAGCTCCTTCCAGTATGAATTGGTGTGACTAGAAGGTGTGTAAATTGTCTCTCTGATTTAGCTACACCTTCACTGGGGGGCATTGCTTTGGGAAACAAAGGACACTCATTCGGTGATAAACTTCTCAAAATTGTTGACTTGACATGGTGGGAAAGTGCCAGGTGAAGGGGGACGGGGCCTGACCAAGCTGCTTGGCCGCATGTAACTAGCACTCTGTGCAAGAGACCCTTAAAGAGCAGATAAACTGATAATTTTCAAATCCGCTGTTTTACTAAGGGGAAGAAACCGGCGTTACCCTGGTATTTTGGAGGCGAGCACAGGAGAAACGGCCCATCTCCCTGCTACCTGACCTGCTGGCAAATACTCAACAAGTCGGAAACACCGTTTCCCTTATGTACCAGCCTGATTTTGCTAGCTTTGAACCAGCTTCTCATGTCAATGCCAACCTGCACTAGCGGTCAGGGGGAGTTCTCTTACTAAGTAGTACTGCCATTAAGCAGACAGATCACTTGTCCTGTAATCATTGCTTGATTATTGATCGAGCATTGCTTGACTATCAGGCTGTAAAGCTAAATCTCTTACCTAACATCCAAAGCTGACTGTAATTCATACTGTTTAAAGGTTAAAGCGCGTGTCACTTAATTGAGCTGCACATGGTTAGCAGATCACACCAGTTTTGTCTCCTGATTAGTTACCCCAAATCTAGTCAGCCTAGGCTGCAGTTGTATCAAATTTGCTAACTAGACCAACCTATCCTAGCCTGATGACTCTTCTTTATAACACTGTATAGTGACCTTGAATGTTATAGCCTGTAAGTGCAGACATATATAATTAGTCTTTTTCCCTGTTCTTCCTGTTTACTCGAAAAATATTAACAAAAAAGACTGTCAATCTGGAGCTTATATAAATAAGCATTTTATTGTGTTGCTATCTGATCATCTGTTATGACTCAGTTTCTTTTTTCTGTACCATATCTACCAATGCCTTAATAAAAGAAAGGTTGACAAAAAGAGTGCCAGGACATTCCAGGCACTATAACCAAATTCAGTTAGATTAAATGGTTATGCAGCACTTTGCCCCAAAGTAGCACCTGCTCTTGCTTTGATCTCTCTAATAAAATTTTTTTTTTATTTATTTATATATATATATATATATATATATATATATATATATATATATATATATATATATATATTTTAGTTTAATACCTGATTATTACATACAATACCTACTCCTATGTACATAGTTACATAGGCTGAAAAGAGACTTGCATCCGAGTTCCGGCATTCTCACTGTTTTTGCTGTTAATACAAACGAAAGCAAAAAACATTTGACGTGCTTTCCAATTTTGCAACTTACTAGGAAAAAATCTCTTATCAACCCCAGAATGGCAGTCAGATCTCTCCTTGGATCAAGTAGCTTATAACCCACCTATAAATAAATTTTAAAAATGTAATATAGATCTGTCTCCGTCTCGATCTCGCTATCCCTGCATATTTTTTTTGCAAGTATTCAACCATTTGCCATTTAAATCACCTCTTGAGGCAGAGAATTCCACATCCCTATTGTTCTTGCCACATGTGCTACACCTACAGTAGCTGTAATATTTTACTCCATTAGTTCTATGAATTGGAGTCCTCTGTTTTGTAATGGTTTTTTAAATGGAATGTTTTCTACCTGCAGAATGAAGAATAGAATTCAGGGGGATGAATGTGATTCCGCTTTTAAGGATTTTAAGTTCATAACTCCAGTAAGACGCTCTCACCGGATTGAACGCAAGTCACATCACCTTCCAGATATGTTGAAAGACCATGACCCATGTGTTTCTGGTATTGCTGAACTGGCTGACTTGGAGTCCTGTCCTAGTGCCTATATATTCAGGAAAAACCAAGCTCTCACTGAAATTACTGTCAAAAGTGTTCCTCTCAAAAGACAAACAAAACGTACATAAAGGCATGGACTTGCGCAATCTGTCTTTAAGTTAAATATTAATGTTTGGGCTGCAAGCTTAAATTAATTGAATATTCTATAGATCTGTGGTAAAGGAACCTATTTTTCCAGTTGCAGAACTGCAAATCTGTAGGGGATTCCATTAGTCTAGGTCAGACATGGCAAAATGAAAGCCTTAGACTGACTGTACAACAAGTTTTGCTACTACTAAAGCCCTGCTTTGTGACTCGATTTACTCTCACTCGAGGTGATAGTTTTGTTTACTTGCTGAACTGTGCCATGATAAAGTAAAGATCTTTAAAGGATCAAAAGAGATCTGTAGGGTAATCAAATAATCTAAACTTGCATTTTACTCTTACATAAATGTTTGTCAGCCTGTGTTTTATCTGCTTATTGTCTGGAACCAACGGTACTTAAACAATGGCTGCCTCCACAAGGGAGTATATACATACCACACATTGGCAATAAAGTGTGTGTGTGTGTGTACAGGATTTCAACATTTTAGGGAACGTCATCCATTAGAAACCTAACTGTAAACTGTTTAACTCCTTAAGGACACAACTTTTGGAATAAAAGGGAATCCTGATGGAATATTTCCGTCATGTGCACTTAAGGGTTTAACAGCTTTGTGTGTATATGCCTCAGAACATGATATCCATAAAGACCGGTTTGATGCATGTGATTAAGTCACTATCCTAATAGACTTTTTTTTGTTCTGCTACTGTTTTTAACTACTAATGAAGACCTTGCTGTACAGGGTTAATGTATCCATTCTGCTTGTAGTTCTCCCTTTCAGTTTTCCATTGTCCTGGTTAGCAGTGCCTGACTCTCTGGCTGGCAAAGCCTGCACACTTGATATAGATTAGTATAAGACTCATTCAATGTCCAAAATAAAGATTGGCATCAAATGCTCCCTCAGTAGCAGTGTGAGGCTTGGTGTTACTGCAAGGTCCCCTAAGTAATGTTTGAGACTATCCTCTGCTTTACTTATTTGTATCCAGTTTGTGGCTCAGTGATATCCCAGAAGATTAACCAAATCTGTAAAAAGGCAGGGGAAATAAAAATAAACTATACACAAACATGCTCTCACTAGGGTAATATAAGTTGAAGTAAAAAAAGGCACATTTAATCCTTTCAGGACCAATATTTCACAGCAGTCAAAATCTGCACAAAACCCAATGGCAGATGTTCCACTTTGAACTAGAATCTTTAAAGGTTGGGGCAGAGGGGCACTATAGTGTTAGGCATACAGTTTTGAATCCCTAACACTCTAGTGTTCCTTTTAAGACACAACTGAAACTCTGCTAATGTATACTGCAAGCAATTTATTTGCTAATCATTTTTATTTTTTTATTTTTTCTCTCCAGTTTAGTTTTGGTTGTGTTTTTTTTTATAATGGTCACTGATCCTGTTACATTGGCACATGTCTGTCTGAGATTTGAACAATGTATGTTTTAAGCTGAAGTATAGTAGATAAAATAGGATTCTCTTCCTGCTTAAAGCAATCTTTATGAAATACTCAGTTTGACTGTTTTGGAATTGCACTGAAATTCCAACCCAGTCAAAATAGATACTTCTACAAAGTAAGGTCTACGTTTTGTCTCTGTAGATTTCCTTTGCCTGACTTTGGGTGGGTGTACAATGCCAATCGTGATGGCTTCAGGGAATTGGCTCTATGGAGGATCTCACGGGATTCTCCATAGATCTCAGTGCTGTACTCACACGCCCCCCAGCTGTGATGTCACTGTTGAGAAGGTGAATGTACCCGTTAACTTCTTTCCAATAACTTTTTCTCAGAAGTTTCCCTGCCAGTGTCCATTTCCAAACTTGGATTTTAAACAGATTGTGCAGAGCCCAGTAGTTTAGAAGCCCATATATGGGGATAGATCAAGTTGTGGTAGCTTGTTAATTTTAGAATTAAAAGTTGCTTTTTAAAGGAATAAATATAAACTTAAATTTTTTTTTTATTTTTTTTTATAAAATTTGGTTCAGTACAAAAGACCAGTTCCATTTATGTTATCCCTTAATTGAATTGACAAATGCTCCAGGCCAATGCATAAAGAAGGGGAATGAATTGAGCTAATCAGTCAGGGCTTACATTTTTCACTTGCCTTATAGCCACTGTCACGTGAAAATTTAAATTGAGGCAAGAAGAAACTCCCCCATATGTGTTATCTATGAATCTCCCTCCCCTCTCAGCCTTGCAGTAGCATAGTTTAGGCCTGTAGTGTAGGATTTGTAATTTTGAGCCCTGATGCCTATAATACAGAACTGTAATGTGGTCCAGTCGCTATAAAATACTTTAAATATTTTACTCTCTAGGTTTTGGTGCCTAAACAAAGCACAACTGATGCAGTTGTTTATATGGTAGTGCAACTTTAAAATGAACCCATAGATTCTTCCTAAAAATGACTAATGTATTTTTTTTTTTTTTTTTTTATTGTTTTAATGGAGACTGGACTTAAGCCACTTCACAGAACAGTTCCCCCCCAAAAAAATTTCACGGCAGTGCTTTTCCTTCTTTCATTGTACTTCACAGAACAGTGTCTTCTTTTAGATGTCATGTGCACAGAACTTTTAAAGGTGATTTACAAGGGTCAGGTCTGCGAGGATTCTTGGAGCCTGGCAGGGAACCAGGTAAGAGGGCAAACAATTGAAAAACATTTTGCCCCATTACCAGGGGAATGGAGCCCAGGGTACTGCTCACATCATAACCGCTACAGTGGACTGTACTGGTTATGATCCTTAAAGTATCCCTTTAAATGCTGGTACCCGAACAGTTCAATTACTGCTTGTTTATTGTGTATCTAAGCTTTGCATACATGTGAAGAACTGCACACTAAAATATAAATGTATTTTATCTATGTAAATAAAACTATTCTATTCTGTAATGTTTCTGTTACGTGTGTTATGTCATCAATTTAAGATGTGAAGCTGAAGAAACTATTTAATTTTTTTTTTTATTATTTTTTTAATACTGGTGATGGGAGTTGAGTGTAGAGAAGTATTCAAAGAAATGATCGTACATGTTCTGTATTCTCTTCCTGAGACTCTGGGTCATTTTTATGTGGTCGGGGAACACGGTTTGTGTAGAACTATTTTGGTTTCATATTTGTGGAGCTGTAGTGGGCCCATCTCATTTAGACACCCATATTCAGGGAGGGGCTGGGGGTAAATCTATACATGGTTTACTCTTTATGGGAGAACAATCTTGGTGGATTGCTTAAAATGCCATTCCTCCCCTTAAAATCCCCAGATCAATGAAGTTGAGATGTTGGCTACGGTATTTGGACACTTGCTTATCTTTATGGTTGTAAACTGTAACACTGAAGTTGTGCCCCTACATCCCAGTCACATCTCCTCCTGTCTCCCCTCTTCCCTTAGCTGATGCAGTAAAGGGAAGCATTGGCTGGGTGTCCTGTGACTGTCAGCTGACACTCAGCTGCTCACTGGCCACCAGTTGTAACGTGAAACACTGTTACAATGAGTGGCCAGTGACAGGCTAGGGGTCAACTGATGCCCAAGAAATGCTTCCCTCTTACCACAGTGGCCAAATAGGAAGAATGAGCAGGTGACAAGACATGCACCAAAGGATACAGCTTTGAACAATTTAACATAAGGTATGATTGTACACAGGGACTCTAAATGGTCTCTTTAAATAGACAGCAATTCTGATTTCTCTGCACATAGACGTCAGACAACATGATCACTTCAAATCAATGTAAGTGGTCATGGTGCTTGGAGTAACCCTTTAAATAAGTTGGTTGAGGTCAGCATGGTTTTGGAGCACATTCCTGTTATAGTCTATATAGATTTCTACAGAGTTAGCCAATCTTTGGCTAAAACTCATCCAAATTATTAAACCTGCCTTGTGTGCAGGAAGGTACAAGATCTGCAGAAATTATTTTGTTGCAAAAGTGGGAGTGCCAGACAATGAAGCCAGGGTTCCAGTTCAGAAGTAGTTTAGGTAGATCTGCCAATGTTTCTTAAAGCAAATTGTTTATCAAAGTTCCTCAACCACCAAAGCAAGTATTGCTAATTAATTAGCAAAAAAACAGGGCACAAGAGAATACGGAGAACAGGCAGCAGCTGAAATAGCCTGCCCTTTGGTGGGTCCCCGCTCAGTTCTCAAGCTGGTTTAAAGGGTGATCCGGACGTGGACCCATTGCTCGTGGTGCCTAGAGAGAGATTATGCCTGGCAAGGCTGAGACGATCATCTGGGGTTGCTGTGTCTCTCGTGCAAAGGGAACTTGCTGGCATTTCGGATCTGGACTGCCCGTATGGCTGGGACCAGTCTGATACGCCTCAGATTTGTTCTCTCTCTAATGGCACAATATGAGCTAAAACCAGCTTGAGATCTGAGCCGGAACCCACCGAAGGGCAGGCTATTTCAGCTGCTGCCCGTTCTCAGTATTCTCTTGCGCCCTGTTTTGTTAATAATTACTATTGAAACACTTCACTTGATAAATGCTTGACTGATGGACCAAACATGGTGGTAGCTTCCCCCAGAGACCTTCTCAATAACTCCTTAGTGGCAAACATAGCCATGGGTACACAACTAGAAATAAAACAAAACCTAGCGTAATACTGGTTTTAGATATGACGAAGACTTTTGCTACTAAACTGATTTGGAAGGAACCAATGAAAATCTATCTGAAGACTGCTGCCCAACATTAGAAGACACAGAATTTACAGCGCTACGGAATTTGATGGTGCTATATAAATAATCATGTAAGATGTAACATTGGCATCTACTTAGAGTCAACTGCAGCCAAATTTTAAAATAAAGAAATACTTGCCCTATAATCTTACTGAATAAAGTTATTTTCTACTACTCCACTGTAAGGTTCGGAAATGTACATTTTTAGCATCTTGTGCTAATAGGGTTATACGGTAATGTGCAATAACTAGAAAAGGGCTGTATAAATTCTAGATAGTATGCAAGCCTTCCAAACAAATTTGCCCAAGCTCACTCGTGACATTTCTCCAGAAAGAAGGATCTTGTTGGCAAGACAGGTGTCTCAAATGTTTTTATGCTGTCTGAAAAAGGGACAGATTCTTTGAACAAAACTACTGCAAAAAATATAGTTATGGTGCTTAGAATGCCTCACGGTGAATATTGGCATATACTGTTTTATGGTATAGTAAACAGAGTTGAGTAAGACAGGTGTGCTGCAGTCTGTAATCCAAGTTGAGGAATAGTGCTGCTGCTGAAACTGGTACAAAATGCACAAAGGATCACAGGTCAAAATGTCTGCCTTGAACCTGTGAATCTACATTTTCATGATGTTTTTCAAAGCAAAATTCCTAGTTATGTGATCAAAGACTTAACTAACTTCCTTTTTGCTTTGTGTCAAGATGCCAGCTGGAAGTGTCCACAAATTTGTCTCTGGGGGACATCCGACTGTCCCCCAAGCCCTCACAATGGGTGCTGCATTGTTCGGTCTCATCTTTCTCTTGGCAATGCCCCATAGATTTTCTATGGGGTTCAGGTCAGGCGAGTTTGCTGGCCAATCAAGCACAGTAATCCCACAGTCATTGAACCAGGCTTTGGTGCTTTTGGCAGTGTGGGCAGGTGCCAAGTCCTGCTGGAAAATGAAGTCAGCATCCCCATAAAGCTCGTCTGCGGAAGGAAGCATGAAGTGCTCCAAATTCTCCTGGTAGACGGCTTTGTTGACCCTGGACTTAATGAAGCACAGTGGACCAACACCAGCAGATGACATGGCTCCCCAAATCAACACAGACTGTGGAAACTTCACACTGGACTTCAAGTATCTTGCAGTGTGTCTCTCCATTCTTTCTCCAGAATCTGGGTCCTTGTTTTCCAAATGAGATGCAAAAGTTGCTCTCATCAGAAAAGAGGACTTTGGACCACTGAGCAACAGACCAGGTCTGGTTTTCTTTTGCCTTTCTTCTGACGTTGTTTGTTGTTCAGGAGCAGCTTGCCAAGAGGAATACGACATCTGAAGCCCATGTCCAGGATCCGTCTGTGTGTGGTGGCTCTTGATGCACTGACTCCAGCCTCAGTCCACTCCTTGTGAAAGTCCCCAACACATTTGAATGGCCTTTTCCTGACAATCCTCTCCAGGCTGCGGTCATCCCTGCTGCTTGTGCACCTTTTTCTTCCACACTTTTCCCTTCCACACAAGTTTCTATTAATGAGGTTTGATAGAGCACTTTGGGAAAATCCAACTTCCTTCACAATTACCTTTTGAGGCTTTCCCTCCTTATTGAGGGTGTTGATGGTTTTCTGCACAACTGTCAGGCCAGCAGTCTTCCCCATGATTGTGATTCCTACTGAACCAGACTGAGAGACCATTTAAAGGCTCAGAAACCCTTTACAGGTGTTATAATTTACTTAGCTGATTAGAGCGGGACACTTTGAGCCTAGAATATTGCACCTTTTCACAATATTTTAATTTACTAAGATTGTGGATTTGGGGTTTTCATGAGCTGTAAGCCGTAATCATCGCACTTATGACAAATCACGGCTTGAACTATCTTGCTTTGCATGTAATGTGTCTATCTCATATATTAATAGAAAAAGGAGAGATATGGAGAGTGTGTCGGGTTGCTAATAGAAGTGGGGGTAACCCCTAATACAAAATAGATACAAAAAGAGAGAAGGAGATACAAGGGAGCCCACCGGGAATAATATCCCAGTCCCGTGGGTCTCAAATGTATCGAAAGCAACCCAAGGTAAATTAAAATAATAAAATCTAACTTTTAATGAGTATAGTTTAAAAAGTAATAATATACAAAGTATATAGGAGAAAAACCAGCCAAATGGCTGTGTGTGAAAACAGAGGGGGGGGGGGGAGTTTTGAACTTTGCATGTATAATCTTACTTAATCCCTTCCTTCATTCTTTGCTTTTATTCTGCAGTTATCGACACAATTGAGTCTAAACATTGTATACTAGCAACATTTGCTATTATTGTCTCAGTTGCCGAGCCATTTCGGGCTGTACGGCAACGGCACTTGGCTCCGCCCCTCAGTCTATGATTGGAGAGAATCTTATCCAATCATTGTAGAGGGTGGTATATTTGAATGACCGCCGACCTAAAGATCGGTTCCCCTGGAAGAGCCTGTAAGGCGAAACGCACGTCGGGACTAATTACTACACGGGGATGGTGGGGCTGTAAAGGGACGATTTAGTAACCTTTAGTTAAGACATTATACCCTGCTAGCCACCCTTGTTCTTCGATTATTTTGGAAACTATTACCTTTTTTTCTTTTTTCTAGTGAATAGATTGTTTTTAGTGGGGTGGGGGGCTATGGACTATGGAGGAATAAGGGGAGCTTCAGCTTTCCTATATACATTGCAGTATATCAGTGGATAGGTCATTTTGGACCTGTTGAGACTCAGGTTGTTCCTTCCCTATAGACATATATAGAGATATATTTGTTTAGTTGTACTTAGGATTCCATTAGCTCTACCTCCCCCCCTCTGTTTTCACACACAGCCATTTGGCTGGTTTTTCTCCTATATACTTTGTATATTATTACTTTTTAAACTATACTCATTAAAAGTTAGATTTTATTATTTTAATTTACCTTGGGTTGCTTTCGATACATTTGAGACCCACGGGACTGGGATATTATTCCCGGTGGGCTCCCTTGTATCTCCTTCTCTCTTTTTGTATCTATCTCATATATTAGTTTCACCTTTTACGTTGCATTACTGAAATAAATTAACTTTTGCATGATATTCTATTTTTCCGAGTATCACTTGTACATGTTTGTGTTCTTGACCCTATAGTGCTTCTTTAAGTAATGCATTATATAGGTGTCTCTTGCCCCCGCCGGTCCCACCCTCAAACTTAGTGCCTGTCCATCTTGTCCTTGAGTGGCTCTCTTGAACTCCTCTTATAGTGTTATTCACTATGGTGAAAATTGTCTTTAAAATGGAAGTAAATTTAATGCAAATCTAGCTGAATTGGAAGCATAGCTGATTTTCAAGACTTGTATATTGACATTAAATCTGTATATTGTCTACTAAAAACTGGAAAAGGACCATAATTTAACCAGAATGGCAACTCTTATGCAGTCCTATTTCCCAAATCTACTGAATTTACGTCAATCAGCTAGATGCCTTTGGTGTCTGGTTTAATATCCGTTGTTTTTACATTCGCACCCTATACAAAGTATACTATCTGGAGTATTTACAAAGCACTGATTTTAAATAAAGTAGGCAAAGCCATTTGTTTGGGGTAAAAAAACATTTTTTTTAAATGGCTGGGGGTGAGCTTGCTAAAGTACTCTCCTCTCCATTCCCATGAGCAGCAGGTAAGTCAATATAATAACCATTGGGGACATCCGACTGTCCCCCAAACCCCACCATGGGTGGCACTGGGAGTATTAATATAATATGTGGGGAGACACTAAACTGCCTACCAATATAATACTGTGGACGCATGAATCATTATAGTGGACATTTGAATATAAAGGGTATTAATAGAAAAGGTAACAGAATTAACTCCACTGAAAAACAGCTACAATGCTAAGATTTGGATCAAATTCAGGCTTATTTGAAACCACTAGAACAAAACACATACATTGTTAAATAGTGTGAACACTATCTGGATTTTGCAGTGTGAATAGCCCCACAGAACCATATGATTTATCCACATTCAGGCTTTAGATCTGAGAGGCCTGTAGCTCAGGGCCACATTCACAGTCATGCTGCATGGCTGTCTGCTACCAGTGAGCTGTTTATCAGGACTGGGGGAGGAGCTCTCCAAACACTGAAGGTCTCTTTGGTTACTGTGTATAAACATGTGAGCCTGGGACAGGCCTAACCCGGAAACACTCTGCATGACCCCCTGGACCCTGGCTGGGACTGGGCTCACTGATCAATAGATGCTGCTACAGACAGGCAGCACTGTGCCATCATCAGGTAATGAGAGCTGCTGCAGGTGTATGGATATTGGAGATTATTACATTACATGGATGAATGCAGGCAGATACAGGATATATTGCTATATTGTAACCTTTCTCAGCCCTCTGACACCCAAAAGGCTTGCAATAAATGCTAGGACAGTGATTTTCAATAAAATAGACTACAGAAAAAAAAAGTAGATCATCAGCTGTTTTAAAACTACAACTCCCATTATGCTTTGCCATCCTTAGCCTGGCAAGACATTGTAGGAGTTGTAGTTTTTTGACAGCTGGGGTTCTGCCTTTTTCCAGCTTCAGCAATAAAAAGCACTTGTTACATTGTAGAATACAGTAAAATGCTGCTGTATTTTTGCTGTTACATAGTTTTACCTTTGTCACGTGTGCAGCTTGTCAGCTTTCCATAGAAAACGTGTTGGCTTTGTTTCAGTTCTAGAACTGTCATCATGGGTAGCAAAATCTACTTGTGACAGATGATGTATCATTACTAAGTGATCATATATTGTAGGGGGGCCTAAAAGGTAGATTCACAGATGTTGTAGAACTACAACCCCCATGATGCTTTGCATGCCTTTAGAATGACAGAGCATCATGGAAGCTGTAGTTTTAAAGCATCTGGGTATCTACCTTTTGGGCACCCTTTATATATTGGTAGATGTCAGTATGCTGGGTCTGTTTACTTAAACAAATGAGAATAATGTGAATTGACATTTAAAATATTTTTTTTTTTGCCCAAGATAAGAACTATTCAAAATGTATACACAAAGACTGTGAATAAAGTCACGCAATTCGATGGTGTTTTAACAAAATGACTTTTTCCTAATTAAATTTGAATGAAAAAAAAAAAAACCCAGAGGAATCATTAGCTGGTCTGAAATAATTCTCTAACTCCGCTGTAGTCACAACATCGCTATTTTTTGTTCCCTCTGTTTTGCCATTCTGATTTAATTTTATGAACATTCAGTTAAGTAAATAACCCTGACATAATCCTAAATACTGTTTGAAATTTTCAGTACCCCAAATCACGCTGGTGACATTCAGAGCCAATGTCCTTGTTTAACCCCTTAAGGACACATGACATGTGTGACATGTCATTATTCCCTTTTATTCCAGAAGTTTGGTCCTTAAGGGGTTAATGTTCTCTATATGTTGCTTGGCATGCTGATGGTTCGTGGGTTAAAAAGAAATGTGTCTCTCAGTTGACAGAAATACTTCAGTTCTGCCATGTGCATTTTTTTCCTGATGCCTCTGTCATTTAAGTCATGCATATGATCAGCCCTGATTGTGCTATTAACCATAAGGTCTCTGCTCAGATAATTCCAGACTGGAGTATGAATGTTTACATATTACACAGGTAAATCAATCACCCCTTGTTTCTCTTTCCTGGGTAGCTGCCATGGAACACTACAATATCCTGAAAGTCATTGGAGAGGGCTCTTTTGGGAGAGCACTTTTAGTTTGTCTTCAGAATAGCAATCAGAAATATGTGATGAAAGAGATACGACTACCGAAGGTAAGCCTAAATCTGAATTAAGAATATGCTCACAGTGTAGGAAATTATTATATTCTTTACAAAATTATTTATCCAACGTTAACATAATATAATCAATGGATTGATTGACTGTCCTCTCAGTATACAATTCAGGAGGGTAAGGTAAATATTCCATTAAATATAACTATATGGCCATACAGTGGGCAAAGTTTGGTAAACCCTCTAACTACTATCCAGTAAAGCGGCCCGATCCTCGTTTCCTACAGAGCACCGCAAATATGGAACAACCTCCCGCACACTTTCAAATCTTCCCCAAGCCTAAAGTCCTTTAAGAGATCCCTCTCTACATATCTCAAAACAGAATGCACGTGTTATGGTTGATTATATATTTCCTACCTGTTATATGTTAAATTTTGTATATATTGTGTATTAATATTGTTTTTGTATTTTGTTGTACCTAATGTAACAATGCAATGATTTGTGGACCCAGGATGTACTTGAAAACAAGAGAAATCTCAATGTATTGTTCCCGGTAAAATATTTTATAAATAAATAATATCTCCAGTGATGAGACCTTGTTGAACAAGAAAATACCACTACTAAATTTTGTACACACATTTACATGTATTGTAAATAGGAGTCCAGTTTCCCATGGTTTAGTTTTAAGTGAAATTTAAGTCAGGCATTCCAATTAAATTTCAAACTATAGGTCGAAGTGACAAAGGCGTATAGAAACGCGCGTCGAGCTTTCTATGTCGATGCATATATGTTGTTAGACTTTACTTTCTACTTTTGTTTTAACTCTACCTGGGCCATAACGATGTCTTTATTTTAAGTAATAATTTTTGTGTCTTTACCTCCACTTTACTCTCTAGGGACATGATGAGGCTGCCTTGAAGCAGCAGTTAGTTTTGACGGTGTTGCCTTCGGGCAAGAGAGCTAGTTTAGGGCATACTAGGGTGTTGCTTATCCATGTGATTACCTGCTGAGATACCCTTCTCCCTACGTTGCTCCACAGATACTTCCCCCATATATCTTGGGACTGGGTGATTCCTGACCTAGCACAGTTGCTATTTAAGACATGTGTATACATTAGTTCCATTTTACAGTATTCAATAGACCAGGGGATTTCTTGGTTTCTTGGTATCTGTTTTGAGCTGGCTGTACTAAGTGAGGGGAGTTAGGGGAATTTTCTCTTTTTTTTTATTTTATTTTTTTAACCTAACGGGTATTGCTTCACAGCACACCTAGCCACTAACAGCTTTCTATGAAACCAGCCTGTCATTATTTCCTCATATGTAACCTAGAACTTGAGGGCAGTTTTCCAGCACTAATTCTTGACAGGCTGCTCCAAGCAGTTTATGTCTCTGCAGGGATGTATACTGGTGACTTAATGTAGAGTCCGTACTAATATTGGTGCTATCATTTTTAGCAAGCACCATTCGTCCTGTCAAGTTTATTAAAGGTTATACTTTTTGTTAGACATCGTATATATACTAGGCGTCCGCTGATTGGACTACAATAAACCTAGATATATTTAGATTCCTTACTTGTGGGGGGCTGTCTTGGTGCCTTTTTTCATCCTTTATACGTTCATATATATTACAAGACTTCTGTAGCCCTATACAATCCCATTTTTTTTTTTATCTTTTACCCGGGTATTTTTATATTCGGATATCTTTCCACTCGATCACGATTATTCACACGTTTGGTGATGTGTTAGGGGTTTTGGGTGTTTAGTATTATTTATGAAGTCTCATTTTGTCTTTAATAAAGGTTCTTACCATATTTATGTTACGTTTATATTAGGAGGTATCTGTGAATGTGAGTAGGCCCCACCCACTGTTGTGGTGTGGGTTCCTTACCCCATTCTCTTGTCTATTTTGTATAGGTCGAAGTTGCCAAGCTATAAAATACTAGCAGTGAATTATGTTTCAATTTGGCAATTTTTTAAATGTCAAATTTACTTTGAATTCCTAACACTTCACACTTTATGGGGTTCTTCACAAAAGTGTCAATTACCATTAATCCAAAGTGAATTTCATATCCTATGTTGATGTCACTAAACGTAAACATTTTCAGATTCAGCTATTTTGGTGTATAATATGAAATACACTTTGAATGTCTGACAGTACACACTTCAGTAAATTACCCTGTAAGTATTCAGTTCTGTTTCAGTGTCATCTTGAATTATCATACTAAAACAGTATCATTAGAATTGAAATGAGCTTTTTTATAGTCTTTGCTCCACTGAAGGGTTAAATGAAATATTAGCATGTTTTAATGTCAAATGATCTATTCTGCATGTTTGATTTTGCTAATTGTTCTAATTACAATGCTTTATTGTAGCTATTGGAAGCCATTAAAGATTCCAGGCAAGAAGCTGTTCTATTGGCTAGAATGAAACATCCAAATATAGTGGCATTCTTAGAGTCATTTGAAGGTATTTGTCTTGCAATTTATTTTTAAATATTCCAATAATTTAATTATCACGAGTTGTTTATAATGGCTGAAACTTAGTTTGAAAACAGTTAGAGAGATTTACCATCACAACCCTTGAATATAACCTCTCCATCTATTGCTATCTTTTGTGCCAGATGAGAAGAATTATGTTATTGAATAATGTTATGGGGATAAAATATCCCCTAATGACCTTCTTGGTATTGGTTAATACGTCTCTAGGGACAGGTCTGCTACAGCTTTCTCACTGTCGTATATACTTAGTGAAGCGTCAATAGGTGGAGTGTGTAAGAGTATGAATTTATATCCCACCCCCTTCCATTACCAAGTCTTTCACAAATAGTGGGCTCCACCATGAAGCAGTAGCTACTGATAGGCTCAGAGTGTCTGCTAATGCACTTGGTCTCTCAGTGGCACCCATTCCGAGGCTTCCTTTACAAGCCTTCGATTCAAGCGTGTGTGGAGGGGGCAGAGCTGAACAACGCCAAAAGGCTTTGGGGTTAAACCATTTGTTAACAGTTTAACCCCTGAAGGTAAGCTGGCGCAAGGGACTATCTGGCACCATAACAACTTAATTTTGATTTCAGTTATCATGGTACCCGGAGTGTTCTTTTACCTGTTTTGTTTTATGTGCTTAGAAAATAATAGTATATAGGCTGAAGAGGGAGCTGTTTGGATCTAAAGGTAGTTGGGCTTAACAGGGGATAACCCTTAGTAGAAAACAATGAACTTGCCCAAATTGTAAACATAGGAAAAATAATAGTTATATATAAAACTTAGCGTTTAATAATTGTTAGTTAAAACCATGTATGGAAAAACTTGGTCACAAATGTCACAAAAAAAGAAAAGAGTGTACATCTGTGAAAAAAATACACATTTAAGTGAAAAAGGGTGAGAAAATACACATCTAGAAAGATCAGTGCAGATAACGAATAAAATAATATCCTGCTAAAGTATGGAATCAAAATATCTCAGAGGTGACAAGTGCTGGCCAGGCTTACAGAGATACTATTCATAAAGATAAGTTGCAGCAAACATAAAAAGTGTAATCTTTGGGAACACGAATCATTACTGTTGCGATGCCCTTGTAGTGGGCTACAATATATAAGTTCCAACAGGCGCTAATGAAAATCAAGTTTAGAAACATTCCGATGCATGTCAATGTTGTAAGATGCATCGAGTGTACAGAAAGAGATGGTGGTAGTCAGAAGCAGGATAATATTAAATCAAATATAATGGCATGTTAACCACAGGAGGAGCTGCATGTGTGGAGCAAACACATATCTACACGGTGCCTAAGAAAATAATAGTGTTTAAGATCTTTTAGCAGTTATTATTTATTGGAGAGATCAGTGATAAGTAAGAGACCAGGAGAGAGAACAAAAAAGGAGGATATAGAGGCCAAACCCAGGAACAAGCCATACCAGCCATATATTCTCTTGGTCAGGAAAGGAGTTTTATACTAGTTCAGTCACTCTTTGAGGCCAATAATATTTGATTGCTGTAATAAACATTACTGTGAGCAAACAGACAAAGAGCAATGATTCCACTGCAGGGAGGAAGGCAAAAGTAAAATGCCTCCAGTATCAAGGATGGCCAGAATGTCAGCCAACCTTGGGTGGTAGTGCAAGATCTTTTAATATTCTGTGTTTAGCTAAAATATGAATAGAATCATTTATGCAGTAACTGTATTGTTGTGTGATATCTGCTTGCAGTGAACGAACATCTGTACATAGTGATGGAATATTGCGACGGCGGGGACTTGATGGAGACCATTAAACATCAGAGAGGAAAACTGCTTCCTGAGCAGAGAGTGAGTGTTAAAGATACCCATGCTATTTGATTCATCAGTTAATTAGAATTAATGTTATGTGCTGTACAGACTTGAAAGTCCACAGAGCTCAGCCTGCTCAAGAAACCATTATACACATAAAAAAAAATGCCAGATTTCCATTTAATGGAGTTGTTCTTTTTTTTGTTTTCAATCTGCATTTCAAATTGGGAACTGAGTAATAACATCTCTTCATTTGTCACTAGATCTCAAAATCTCCCCTCAAATTCTGTGACAATTTAGGTACAGGTTAATACTTGATAAATTACCAAATCCATTGGAAGAAATGTATACTTTGCAGCAGCTGTGGAATTGCTTCAAAGATTTAAAAAAAAAAAAAAAAGCATATTCTGGGTACATTTGTGAATATATATCCAAAGTGCTTTCAGTTAATACCATATACTGGATTTTCTCATCAAATTTGGGTTTAATATTGGAATTCTATCATTCTAATACTCAGTTCAGCACTTAGAATATCAGGGCTGTTGACCATGTTAAAATTGACAAGATATCCTTTAAGCAATTGTAAATAATTGTATTCAGATACTGATGTGTACAGAAGAACCGAACATAAAGCATTTTGATGAAACTAGTATTTTGTGTGTGCAAAGATAGCTAATAGCATTTAGAGAGGGATATATGCATTATGAAACGTGTAATCTACAGGATTTCAACCAGTGTGCAGTGTGGCATGCTGGTGTGATGCAACCAGTTCAAAGTGTGCAACAAACACATTGACAGGGCTGTGATAGGTTGAATGTAATCATAAAGTATGTGTTTTATTTTGTTTAGCATTTCAATTATCAACCCCATTCTAATTAAAACTAGTAAGTCGGTTTAGCTAGACGAGTGGAATCCCTGTCTCTACTACTGCTATAAATAACCACTGATGAAGGTTAAAAAAAAAATAGGTCCATTATTGAAGTGTGCCTCGGTCCCGGTAAGGGTGTTAAATACTGGTATAGTCCAAAGCAGCTGGAGTACCGTTGGTGCTGATCCCTTACTTTCACTCAAGTGTAGAAATGTTACAGAATCATTGCTGATGACCTAAAATAGGAAGGTGGCTGTTTTGTTCCTCATAGCTCACTTCAGTATACATATGAGTGATTTTAGCCGAAAAAATCCTTTGTCAACCGCATGTATGTTTTCTAAATCTTCTCATTCGTTGCATTTTTGTGCAGGTCCTCGAGTGGTTTGTACAAATGTGCCTGGCAGTGCAGTATATTCATGAAAAGCGCGTGTTGCACAGGGACATTAAGTCAAAGGTGAGCTACATTACACTAACTAGTTCACTCTAGATGACTTTTACAACCATTGTATGTATTGTTTTTCTTTTTCTTTTGCTAAATCTTAATCTATTTTGTTAATCTGTTACAAAAATAGCATTTAGTCCTACCCAGACTTTTTTCATACCATCAGAAATTCAAATCATCTTGTGGAATATTTAACTTAATGTTAAAGGGACACTCTAGTATCAGGAACACAAACCTGTATTCCTGACACTATATTGATAACTAATTACTTAAGTACCCAGCCTCCCTTAGATTGCTCTGAAGAGGTGTTTAAACTCGCCTTTTCTCAAACGCTGTGCCGGTCTTACCTTGGATGACCTGCCTCCATGGCTGAAATCATCAATTTCCCATAGGTAAGCATTGAGAGGCTGTTGTGCCTGCACAACAATTATGCACTGTGCCAATTAGCATATCCTCATAGAGGTGCATTTAATCAATACATCTCTATTGGGAAAGTTCAGAACGTGGAGATGTTGAATGCACATTGTGCAGCCAGTGGCGTACACATGACCCATGGGGCCCCGGTGCAAAAATTGATCCGTGGGCCCCCCCCGCGCTTAATCGGCGCGGGTCGGTGCCGCAACACATGGCGGCGGGCACCTGGTCGCAGGGGTTGCAGGGCTGCAACCCCGCGACCGCGGTATGCACACACACTTAAAGGACCACTACAGACACCCAGATCACATCAGCTCAATGAAGTGGTCTGGGTGCCAGGTCCCTCTAGTTTTAACCCTGCAGATGAAAACATAGCCGTTTCAGAGAAACGGCTATGTTTCACTGAGGGTTAATCCAGCCTCTGGTGGCTGTCTCATTGACAGCTGCTAGAGGAGCTTCCGCGATTCTCACTGTGAAAATCACAGTGAGAAGACACTGAACGTCCATAGGAAAGCATTGAGTAATGCTTTCCTATGGGCGGTTTAAATGCGCGCGCGCGCCTCTTGCCGCGCATGTGCATTCGGAGCTGAGAGGCGGACACTGGGGAGTCCGACGCTGGAGAAAGGTAAATGCTGAAGACACACACACACACTCTCACGAACAGACGCATACACACTAGCTAACAGACACACACATTTACTGACAGAGACACACTCAGCGACAGACATACATACACACTCACTTACAAAACATACACTTTCACTGACAAACACACACTCACTAACAGACATCAAACACACTCAGTAACAGACACACACAGTAACACACTCACTCAGCAGACACACACACACACACACACACACACACACACACACACACCAACACACACACACACCCAACACACACATACACCACACACACATACACCAACACACACACACAGTAACACACACACACACACACATACACACACACACACATACACCAACACACACACACCAACACACACACACAGCACACACAGTACACACACAGTAACACACACATACACCAACACACACACACACACACTAACACACACACACTAACACACACACACTAACACACATACACTAACACACACATACACTAACACACACACACACACACACTAACACACACACATACACTAACACAGTAACACACACATACACTAACACATACACACAGTAACACACACATACACTAACACACATACACTAACACACACACACACACTAACACACATACACATACACTAACACACACACACTAACACACACACTAACACACACACATACACATACACTAACACACACACATACACTAACACACACACACATTTTTTTTTTATGTAATCCCCCCAGCCTCCTTACCTTTTGGGGTGCTGGGGGGATTCCCTGGGGTCCAGTGGTGCTGCAGGGCGGGTGGCCGGGCGGGCAGGCAGGCGGGCGCGCGAGGGAGCACTCACTGCTTCCTCTTCAGCTCCCTCGCGCGCCGCGTAGGGATGCCGGCGCCGGAAGATGACGTCATCTTCCGTCTCCGGTATCAGTGCGGTGCGCGAGGGAGCTTAAGAGGAAGCAGTGAGTGCTCCCTCGCGCACCCGCCCGCCCGCCCGGTATCAGCAGGGCCAGTCTCGGGGGGCCCTGGGGTGGTCGGCTCCTGGGCCCCCCAGGAGTAGAGGCTGGCCCTGTGGCTACATACCGGGTCGCAGGGGCGGCCGGGCCCCCTGGTGGGCCGGTCGCAGCCGCGACCCCTGCGACCCTGGTATGTACGCCACTGTGTGCAGCACTGATCCAGGAAGCACATCTAATGGCCGTTTGAGTGACTGCCACTAGAGTTCTTACTAGGCAGTAATGTAAACACTGCCATTTTTCTGAAAGGCAGTGTTTACATTAAAAAGCCTGCAGGTACAGGATATAGGCACAAGAACCACTACATTAAACTGTAGTCGTTCTGGTAATTATAGAGTCCCTTTAATGATGTCATGTTAATATGTTTATGTTTAGGATGAATCTGATGTTTAGGTTTAGTATTTTATTTTTGACTAATCTGCTGTCATCATATATTAATATTATTTTCTTTTCACATTTACAAGAATATTTTTCTGACGCAAAAAGGACAAATAAAACTTGGAGACTTTGGATCTGCTCGGCTGCTAACCAGGTAATCAACAGGATTTGTGATCTTAAATAATTTATAAGTTGTTGTTTTTTTGAAGCGGACTAGAACCATAACTCCTCTAATGCTTGTGCATTACTGAAGCTGGAAAGGGTCCATGTCACGGTGTTGTGGTTTCTGTTCTTTTTGTATGTTAATGTTTCTAGATTTGGTTGAAACGGACACCAAAAGCACTTATGAAAAATATTCTTGGTAATGCAGATGTTTGTGAACTATATCTCCCTAGATAATGCAGCCTTATCCGTTGCATTGCATATTCTTGTGAACTACAGTTTTTTTTCATGATGTCTAGGCAGCGTTTATGCGGTTAACGCATTCATTATCAAGTATGCCCTTTTTATAATAAATGTGGAAAGAAAAAATAAATATATTTATATATTAGAAAAATAAATAAATATATATATATACTGTATTTATATTATATTATTTTTTAATTGAAATGTGAGATTCTTAGTTAGAACTTGTTCCAATATTAATAAAAAGTAAAATTATGCAAATTTGAAAATTTTATGTTTGCATTTACTTCTTCACCCTTTACAGAAATAAAAAAATGACAGTTTCCTCTTTTCTTTCAATATTTCAAACCGGGCCTGGTCTCTTACAAATACAAGCACAAGATACCATTTTATATTGGGAGTTGTAACAAAAATAAATGAAAATAGTAACCTGCTTATGGATTTTATTAAGGAGCATCTTGGACGTAAAAACCCAAGGGCAGAGTACAGAATATTTGATAGAGTTCTAACCTCAACATATGAGGAAAGGGATTTAGGGGTGATTATTTCTGATGACTTAAAGGTAGGCAGACAATGTAATAGAGCAGCAGGAAATGCTAGCAGAATGCTTAGTTGTATAGGGAGAGGTATTAGCAGTAGAAAGAGGGAAGTGCTCATGCCATTGTACAGAACACTGGTGAGACCTCACTTGGAGTATTGTACACAGTATTGGAGACCGTATCTTCAGAAGGATATTGATACCTTAGAGAGGGTTCAGAGAAGGGCTACTAAACTGGTTCATGGATTGCGGGATAAAACTTACCAGGAAAGGTTAAAGGATCTTAACATGTATAGCTTGGAGGAAAGACGAGACAGGGGATATGATAGAAACATTTAAATATATAAAGGGAATCAACACAGTAAAGGAGGAGACTATATTTAAAAGAAGAAAAACTACCACAACAAGAGGACATAGTCTTAAATTAGAGGGACAAAAGGTTTAAAAATAATATCAGGAAGTATTACTTTACTGAGAGGGTAGTGGATGCATGGAATAGCCTTCCAGCTGAAGTGGTAGAGGTTAACACAGTAAAGGAGTTTAAGCATGCATGGGATAGGCATAAGGCTATCCTAACTATAAGATAAGGCTAGGGACTAATGAAAGTTTTTAGAAAATTGGGCAGACTAGATGGGCCGAGTGGTTCTTATCTGCCGTCACATTCTATGTTTCTATGTTTCTATGAGCCCAATGCCATTTTTAGCAATGCAGCATCACAAAAATGCTAACAGAGTGTACAAATAATGACTCTGTGTGTGCATATTGCTGTACACAGTATTACAGTTACACTAATCCGTGCTAAGAAGTTTCCAAGCTGCTTTAAGAAATAATCCATATTGTTTACTAATTATCAATGAGCCGTCCCTCCTTTTCCTAAAATGCTGGAATATGTTTTAATTCCAATTTGTGTAGTGGAGTGGGGGAAAGGGCCCTGCCATTTCCAGTTCTCTGGCAAGCAATAAAGAGGCTTAGTTTTTTGCTGAAGAATTGTCTTCCAGGGATAGGCAACATTTGGCACTCCAGATGTTGTGGACTACATCCCCCATAATGCTCTTACACCCATAATGCTGGCAGAGCATCATGGCAGGTGTAGTCCAAAACATCTGGAGTGCCGAAGGTTGCCTATGCCAATATGAATATTAGTTCTTGATCAAAAAGGACGGCAAGTGAGATTTTATGCTCCACATATTTTACTTTTCTACCAAATGAAAGTATTAATATGTGTGCACATTCTTTTGTAGTAAAGAGGTTACAACATATCTGAGCGTCTTATAATAAAAATATATTTGCAACAATCTGGAACAAAATGAATATCTGCAAATTAAACTGAATTGTAGTAAAATTAACTAAAAACTGCTAAATATAGGTTAAAAGGCTGTGGCTGCTGGAATTCTGGATTTCAGCTCTCTGCAAATCAATTTTTAAAGAACAAACCTCATTGCCTATTAAAGCATTGTATTCCTTGTAACGCTTCATATACTGTTACCGAACTTTGCCTGTGATAGCAAATTGATTACCTTGTAATATATCATTCTTGTGTTTTGGTTTTCTAGTCCACTCGCATATGCATGTACATATGTTGGCACCCCTTATTATGTACCTCCTGAAATCTGGGAGAATATGCCATATAATAACAAAAGGTCAGTATTTAATGAATGATTAGGAATAACCTCCACCATGTACATGTTTTTCTATCATGAAAGGGAATAAATACTTGTTCTGGGTCCGTGGTAAATGCAATGGCTTAATGAACTAAGCAGACATCTGGATGATAACTTCTGCTCCTTTGCCTATGTCTGGTGCCCGAGAAGAGGGTTTGCAAAAAAACCTAACTTCCTGCTCTTTTGCCATTCTCAAGAAAACCACCACTTACTCTTCAAGTAAAATAATTGATTACGGAGTGCCTGTTTTAGATTCCTAAATAATTAATCAAAGGGACACAACTGCAAAATATATATATTTTTTTAAATTACAATTTAATACATGAAAACATGAATCCGTTTAATTATGCATCTTTCTATTGGGGTATATTTGCAGGTCTTTGTAACCATCCCATTCTAATCCAGTCCAGTCCAAATAGCCAGAAAGTATCAGAACTGGTTGTCTGATTGACAGCCAATGGGATGTACTAAGGTTAATTTATAAAGGCGCCAATTTCTATTAAAATCTGCACAATTTATATAATGACACAAGTGGGACACACTTCACACATACGTACGTATGCAAACTAAAGTGCTTTAAATGTTTGGAGTTTTCCTTTAATCCTGATCCACAATTTATCCTATTATGCATTTAAAAAGCAAACTTGTCAGTTCCTACCTTCTCCCCCATATGTTGTTCCCAGCCAAAGGCAGTGCTACATTGTATCGCCATTGAGTTACATTTTTTCTTGGTATTTCAGTGATGTCTGGTCATTGGGATGTGTCCTATATGAGATCTGCACTCTCAAACACCCAGTAAGTAAAGATTTTGGAATTTACAGAAGAAGGTTTTGCAGCGTTTAATATGACATGAGTTGGGTTTGAATGGCATGCTTTTTTTTGCTGGTGAATAGCAAACCAAATCCCAAAACTGGGGCTATATTAGCAATTGGTCTAAATTTTTCATTTTGGTTGTCAAATTACCGCAAGTCACTAGTTAGTGAATACATCCCTTTATCTTATTGATCTATTGCAACTTGATAACAGAAGGAAGAAGCGGAAGAAAATTACAAGGAAAACATTAGTATAAGATCAGGTGAGCCGTTGTCATTAATCACCAGTGAGGACTGGATTGGCATCATTTAGTTAAAAGCACTGAATTAGTACCGGATTTGTGACTTGCATATTGAATGTAAACAAATTTGATTGGAATTCCGTGATTTCCATTGAATCGTGGCATCTCATTCTGAAAAATCCAGTGTCCGGATCCAAAAATGGATTGAAAAATGCAATCCCTATACAAAGTACCAGGTTCACATATTTAATTAACTCTAGATTTTTTACCTGATCTGTCTCTGTAGAAAGGCAGAGCCACAAAATAGATACATCTGGTTCTATAGAAATCTGTACTATTTTCCTGTGTTGGTTGGCCAGCAATTTCAAGCCCACTATTGCTGTTAAACTAAGCAAAATATACAGGGTTCACAATGATATACATGTTTTCTAATTTAGTCCTCTACATAAAAATAACGGTTGAGCAGCCATTGTTCGTTGTCATACAAAGCTTTGATTAAACGCGTGATGATGTGGAATTGCCTGATCAATATCTTAATAATGTACCCACTGCGTCCGTTATGTGTAAGCACATATATTTATACATATCTCGTCCGTTCCCCTCAAAGTTTCAGGCATCCAGCTGGAAAAATCTAATCCTTAAAATCTGCCAAGGATCGTACAGCCCGCTGCCGGCTCAGTTCTCCTACGAATTGCGCAGTCTGATCAAACAGATGTTTCGGAAAGATCCTCAGCACCGACCTTCAGTGAAGACTATTCTTACCAGAAGATCTTTATTAAAATTAATCACAGCATGTAAATCCACAGAGGTAAGCTTTACTACACACCCAAAATGGTAAAAAGAAATAATGGTAATGCATACATTTTCACAAATAAATTGAATGATCAAAAGTATTATTTGCTTGTTTGTTTATTTTTACAATTATTCTCCAAAGTTCTTTCACTCTTGTTCTTTACTGCTAGCCTGTATTATTGAACTGTGTTTGTCTGTCTTCCTGCCCCTTGTCTCTTTATGCTCTATCTACTTGTCTTTAAACTGTCTGCTGTCTATCTGCCATTGTCTAACTGTACTCTGTCTAAATATGCTTACCTGCCTGTACTCTGTCTAAAAAAATGCTTGATTTGTATCTACTCTGTTCCTTGAATCTTAGATGCTTCCCACAACATTACGTTGTTTACTGTTGAGAGGCCAGATCTAGTTAGAATTCACTGAAACTGAAGTGCAGCTTACACAATTAATAGAAAATGTCACGTGTCAGGTTACTTACACCTGTGTTACATGCAACCAAATTCACTTCCAATGTTGCTCATTTGCTAAACGTTTTATAGTAGTTAAAGGACCACTACAGGCACCCAGACCACTTCAGCTTAATGAGGTGGTCTGGGTGCCTGGTCCATCTAGGGTTAACCCTTTTTTCTATAAACATAGCAGTTTCAGAAAAACTGCTGTGTTTATGTTAGGGTTAATCCAGCCTCTAGTGGCTGTCTCATTGACAGCCGCTAGAGGGCTTCCGCGTTTCTCACTGTGAAAATCACAGTGAGAAGACGCCAGCGTCCATAGGAAAGCATTGATAATTCTTTCCTATGAGACCGGCTGAATGCACGCGCAGCTCCTGCCACGCATGCGCATTCAGCCAAAGAGGAGGAGAAGAGGGAGGAGACGAGGAGGAGAGCTCCCCGCCCGGCGCTGGAGAAAGAGGTAAGATTTAACCCCTTCCTCTTCATCCAGCCCGGCGGGTGGGGGCACCCTCAGGGCACTATAGTGCCAGGAAAATGAGTATGGTTTCCTGGCACTATAGTGGTCCTTTAACCCCTTAAGGACCAATCTTCTGGAATAAAAGGGAATCATGACGTGTCACACATGTCATGCGTCCTTAAGGGGTAAAACTGTTTTATCAATTTAGGGCTAATTAAGAGCCAAGGATTAAGAGTTTTTCTTATTCGAGTCTCAAGTGACACAAAAATAATCTAGAAGTAGGAGCTGCATTTGTCAACAAATTGATAAAATATGATATAACAGTAAGCAATAATACATACGTAAACACTGCACTAAACAAAATTCTGCATAGTTAAATCTGGGATGTGTAATTGTATTTTGCTCTTTAAAGCCTGCAGAAAACCCGTCAGTACTGCAGCAAGCTAGTGAAAAGCCACTGTCTCAAGAAACTCCTTCTAATCTTGAAGATGGTAAGTAATAATGAACGTATAGTCGGTACCAAGTAAACTATCTAATAATATATCCAAGCACCAGACCAGCTCAAAATGCTGGAGAAATCATGGAGGGTCTCGTTACCCATATTTGGTGGCATTATACATGCATATTGCCCCTTTGGGACTACACGTTCCAATAGATAGACAAGCTAACAGGACTGATGCTCCCACCAACATCAGACATGTCCATACTCTGGATATTTCCTTAGTCAATAATCCTGTGTGTTCAGAAAGTGTGTTGTGTACACATGACATCATGACTATTAAAATCCTTTTGGCATGTCAATGGAAAAATGGATCAGTGCCTAGTAAGGCCCAAATTCATGACCTACTCAACCAAACAGATGGAACATGCTTGAATCTCACCTAGTAGTACATTAGCCAATAAAAAAAATTGGAGCCCAGACATTGAACAATGGAAAAATATCCTCTTAAGCTGACATATTAAAACTGCGGTCTTAACACAGACTGTAGGCATACTTGATGATGTGTATCACTGACTGTGTATCTATTTATACAGTTATGATACGAGAGAAAGCATTTGTTTGTTTTGTGAAAACTATAATTTACAGTAAAAATTATTATTATTGGGAAATAAAATAATGACCATATGTATGTTTATCCTAAGAGCAGCACCAACCCATCTATTGCACTTTCTGTCTCTCATACCAGCTCATACTGATATGTGCTGAAATGGACGGACTCCTGAGAGCTAGCTATAGCAAGTACCAGCTGTGTGATGGGTGCACCAGTCTTCACTGAGACTGGTCACTCTTTGCATTTGCAATGTTTGAACTGCATATTCCATAAACCCATATGGTGCTGTATTTTATAAAAATATGCAAAACTCTCCTTGAAAATAGTGGGTGCATCAGAATTGGCTGAACTAATTCTTAGCTTGTGGGCTTACTGCACCCTTAGAAGCTCTGGCATGTCTATCCAACCACTTCTCTCCAAGCAGTCAGACACAGAAGAATGTTCCCTTGAAAACCGCATTAACTGTTTTTTGTAGTGTGCATTTTTAAACGTTATTTTTACTTTTTTTTTTTCTCATCTGTTTCTGTACTTTTCATAAATGCTACTGAGAGGGAACATGGAGTATTCCTCAAAATGGAACTTTGCAAGCTATATGCAGCTTTTTTAGCTTCGCTCACTGTGTAATTTGATAGCAGTCACAGTATGACCACTATCCAATTCTAAAGTTGTTCTGCATTTCCTGTGTGATGATTGGAACTGCTCTTTGGGGATAACTACTTCTCCTATAAATGCCTGCTGAACTGGGGTTTATGGTAAATGAAACGTCCACAGGGATAAGAATGAGACTCTCCAGACAGTCATCTTTAACTGATGTAGAAGTGTCTGGCAGACGCACTGAACAGTAATATTCCTGGGAACTTTGAAGGCATGTATCTTATTTATTAGCATATTTATTTTTTGCATTATTTCTAATGCATTATCTTCACAGTGCATTAAAAACGGTGCCGGTTTTACCCCATAATTTCTCTTCAAATACCAAGCTGTAAATAGCTGGAAACAAATACAATGACCTACAACTCAGAAATGTTCAGGTGGCAACTTTCAAACTGTTCAGTAAATCTACTTCGTTATGAAATCCATGTCCAACACAAGTGTGTTGTTGCATCGTGCATGTTTGTAAAGAAACAAGTAGATGGAAAATTGTTTTTCTTTTTGGAGAATGCAGTTTCTGCAACTTATTTTTTATGGTCCCTTGCAGCAAAAGATCCCACGTCTGTAGAAGAGAGGAGGCGGCAGTGGGAAAAGGAGCCGTCAAACACTGTTCTAGCCATGCTGGAAAAGGCTTCGATTCTCACCTCCAGTGTAACATCTAGAAGCAGTGAAGGTGAGTGAGAACAAATAGGAAGTGCAACAAATAGGAGTAGCCTACTTATAGTTTACTAGAGAGGTCAAAATCTAGTGATCTGGCCACGGGGGCAGGAGATGTGTGCCCTGGCAGTTTAGATCTCTTATCCACTGTTCTCAAATCAAATTAAAAGTGTATGACATTAAATACCAGAACCAACCAATTCATCATACCATGAAGCTGCCAATGGAAATTATCTGTGCTGACAGATCTCTTTCTACCCCGGCTAACTCACAGCTAAATCTCCATAGAATTATGTGATTGTCATTGGCTTTTGGGGAAGCCCATAATTATTAATATGGCCACTCTCTTGTGAAATAGTCTTTCGTAGTCAATGTATGTTTTATTTTTTGTAAACTCATTGCAGTCGCTGTTTTCTCTCGCATACAGGGGGTCACATTTTTAAATACAATCGGAATGAGAAAAGGAAAAAATGGAAAAAGGAATCTCCTGAGAAATTGCTTAATATCCTGAAAAATGCTGATCTCAGCCTGGCGTTTAAAACATACACCATATACAAAGCAAGTAGGTATACTGAACCCCTCGTAAACATACAGCATATCATTCAGCCACTTTCTATAACAATGCATAATTTAGCCTAATGTCAAAATTTTGCTACAGGCTTGCCTCCTAAGTTCGTTGAAGTGTACTGTTACAGGTACATTCAAGGTTGACCTCTTTTTGTTTGTTTTTTTATGCTTTCTTTAATTTGTAGTACACCGGTTTTTGTAACAAATCAACTCCGATTTGTTACCAAAACCGGTGTTCTACTATTTAAAGATGGTTACTCACCTCTGAATCTGTAGATTCGGACCAAGAAGTAGATTATATGAAACTGTTCTGCAAGCTAAACACAAAAGCAGTATAGAAGTAAAAATTTGGGCAAGATTTTGCAAGATCCCCTATATCTCCACTGAGCAAGGAGTAAGGGGTCTTATAACTGTAGGGATTTGTGCACTTGTGTGGATGGATCAGATTAAAGGGAGAAAAGAGACAATAAGCTTTAATTGTCTAGTATTTCAAATGTTTAGAGTACAAAAGGCTAAAGGAGTGTTATTATTTGGAAAAAAAATACATTCCATTGCAGCTGGAATTCTGACTTTGGTGTGTCAAATGGCTCAATTTTAAAAAGTTTGATATAAACCCCAGTGTATTTTACTTCCACTAGAATCTTCTGAACACCACCTTAAAGGGCCACTTTCCAATAATGCCACAGCCTCAGATGCTACAGATGGCAGCGAAGAAGAGGTTTTTGTTGATCCAGAGAGATTTGAACCTAGATCTGATGATGATGACACGTAAGTTGGTGATCAACCCAATTCTCTAGCTATTGTTGTCTGACTCAAGCAATCACCTTTGCTTGTTGTTGAAAGCTTTGAGAATGGAGTTTGGCAACAACTTCTCTGCTGCAATCTATTGTGATGGAGCAACAACTGATTTTATTGTATTTTCTGATACTTGTGCCATCTTCTACTCACATTTGTTTTATCCCAACACAACACATGATTTTCCATCACAAACAAAAGTTGACTCATGGAACATTGTATTATACTATCAAACCTTTTTTTAACTCATTATGTTCACATTAAAGTCCAATAAATTAAAGGATCACTATAGTGTCAGGAACATAAACATGTATTCCTGACCCTTTAGTGTTAAAACCACCATCTAGCCCCTCTGGGCCTCTCATGCCTCCATAAATATAGTAAACATCTTACTATATTCAAGCCTGAAGCTGTAAATCTACATGCTGTTAGACTTAGAAAAACAAGCAGTCTGCTGACATCATCAGAAGTGGTAGCCTGATCCAATCACAGTGCTTCCCCATAGGATTGGCTGAGACTGACAAAGAGGCAGATCAGGGGCAGAGCCAGCATGATTCAAACACAGCCTTGGCTAATCAGCATCTTCTCACAGAGAGGAATTGAATCAATGCATCTCTATGAGGAACGTTCAGTGTCTGCATGCAGAGGGAGGAGATACTGAAGGTTTGGAATGCATTTTAGGCAGCCATGACCCAGGAAGGATCTCTAACAGCTATGTGAGTAGTGGCCAGTGAAGTTATCACTAGGCTGTAATGTAAACCCTGCATTTTCTCTGAAAAGACAGTGTTTACATCAGAAAGCCTGAAAGTAATGATTCTACTCACCAGAACAAATTCAATAAGCTGTTCTGGTGACTATAGTGTCCCTTTAATTCAAAAGAATAAAAGAGAACTGTGATCTGTAAGCTATGGTCAAAGTCAAGATGGGGAATTTAAAAAGAGGGAAGGGGTTATTCATATTATTAATATTTATTGCTATGTATGGTGCAAATACCTCTGATCATTGAAATAGTAAATCATCCATTTTAAGAGACAATGTAAAGAATGCATTTGCAGTTAAACATTTTTGCATTGTGTAGCGTTATTTAGAATATTTGTGTTCTATTAGATAACATTCTTTATTCTCTACTTTTTTTGCAGAGACTTTGAGGAAGATGATGTTGATCCTAACTGGGTGTCAGAGCTGGAAAATGTGTTTCAAGAAAAATCAGAACTCCTATGTAATGATTTATGAAGACCCCAAATATCTCAAAACTTCTACATTGTATTGGGACCCCAAAAAAATCAAATACGCTCTAATACTTTACAGGGCTAACTCAAATACTTCTACAATCTATTGACACTATGAATATTACAATAGTGTACTGGTGTGCAGGAAACAAGTATATTTCAACACTTCAATGATGTACAGGGACCTAAATAATCCCACCAATACAATGATGTACATGGACCTAAAATATCTCAAAACTCTAATATGGTACACGGACCCAAAATACCAAACCTTTAATGTTAAGGGAACTAAAAGATAGCAGCACTACAATGGTGTACAGGGATTTAACATAATTTCAAAACTCTAATGATGTACAGGTGCCTAAAATATCCCACCAATACAATGATGTTCAAGGACCTTAAATACCAGCCAATTCATATACAGGGCAAGACAACAACACTACAATTATGTACAGAGGTCAAGATTATGACAACACTGGTGTACAGGGACTTTAAATGTCCCAACACTATATAGATGTATATCAGCCTATAGATCAAACAGCTGGCATATTGTAAACCCATGTACTTTGACCAATGTACATGGGTTTACAATATGCCAGCTGTTTGATCTATAGAAACCTAGCATATTCCAACACTACAAAGAATCCAGAACATTAATCTATAGGGACTTGAAATGTGTTTGTATGATGTTCAGTGATCTTTCAAAAAGATGAGAATATCCCTATAACCCCAAGATGAATAAGTAAACATAATATTACTATACGGTATTATATGTACAGAGAAACAAGGGGACAATTCATGCTTTAGTGAATAAACTTGAGAGTGTCCCAATATTGTATAGGGATCCAGGATATCCCAATATTCCACTGATGTAAAGGGACTGGGCATATCTAAATACACTCCACTGATGTTTTTGGATCCAGAATAAACCAGCATTCCACTTTTTATGGACCTAGGTCACCGTTGCCCAGTAGTTAGTCTGTGTTACCCATGATTCTTTGCTGGGCTTAATATTTTAAGGCAGAGGAAATAAAAAATATGGTGCTATCTTTACAGCAAGAGATTGGGTTTAAACAGCTTTGGAGGTAACAGTAAAGAAATGTCAATTTAAAATTCTGAGTACCAAAAATAAAGTGCATTGTTAGTGGTAAGTTATATAAAAAGCAGTTGCAGAGGTTAGAAAAGGGGTGTTCAATATTTGTATTGCAATGTAAATTGATTTTTGCAGACTTGTGTTCGCAGAAAGTTTTACAGATTTACAGAAAACGTTACAGGTTTACAGAAACACACTCTCAGAAATATTTATATATTTTTTTATTTACAGGTAACATTCATCATGTTTGTAAGCATCACAAATTCTTATGTTAACTGGAACATGTAAATTTATTAAAAATGTGTAAATATGTTATATTGCTAGTATGTTTTACTATGGACTGTAGTGATTATGGTGCTTGGATTGTTCCTTTAAATTATTAAAAAGAAGAGGCGGACCTATGGTTTCAAGATCCTTGACTTACATCCTGATACTAGTTTCAAAAATCAGTGAACTGCAATGCCTTCACACTCCAGCAGGAACAACAATGTTCAGGTGGGTTACAGTTAAAGGGATTCTATAGTGCCAGGGAAACAAAGCCCAACAGTGCCCCCCTCCTGCGACTTACCTGAATCCAGCACCGATGTCCCTCGAGCTGGGTCAGGCTCCTTCCACGCTCTCGTCGGCAGGGAAGACCTAATGCATATGCTCGGCAATGGCCACGCTCACATTAGGATTTCCCCATAAGGAAGCATTAATCAGTGCTTTCCTATGGGGATTCTGGTGAAGCTGGAAGGACATCCAGCGTCATTAAGATGACCAAAAGTCCTGGGACGATGGGCCGCCCTGGAGATCTCGTGGCTGGGTCGCATTAACTCCCTAAAAATGATGACACTCCCACTGATTCTATATCTCTTTCGTACACTACCCATACCATTACCAACCAAATTAGTGAATAGATTCCAATCCACAATTAATGCACACGTCTGGAAGAAAAAGCCTCCCAGAATTGCACGTCATAAACTGGGGCTCCCATACACGAAAGGTGGTCTAGGACTACCTGACATAAAAGCATATTACAGAGCATCAGTACTAGCGCAAGGTATAAGACTCCTCAAAGCTCCACAGGTACAACAAAACCCTGTCTAGTTGTCACTAGAAAACGCATGCTTACGCCCATACAATATAACTCTCTCCCAATGGATTAGCACGAATCACAAGAAGGCAGACACTAAGCCGCTACATTGCACTGACTTTTTGCTCTCCTCCTGGGTAGCCTGGAGCCAAGTATATTATCCACTAAGGAACTACTTAAGGCGGCCCCCGTAGAATCCCTAGCGACTCTCTCACCGAACTTAGCAATCAAAACTTGGACAGAGAAAGGGGCGCTCAAGGTGCGGGAACTGTTAGAGGGGGATGATATGAGAACCTTCCCGGCTCCAATTACAATGTTCCCTGACACCAAGAGACCTATTCTTACATCTCAGAGTAAATAACATATTGACAAACCGACTAACACTAATTTGCAACAAGCCCCAATTGGATGTGATGCCCCTCCCTTTAATGCTCTCTCCGAACCAGTCGAAGCCCCTCTCACTCTGCTACAATGCTATCCTGGGGGTCCAGCTCATGCGAAGCTATCATACATGTCTCAGTGGGAGAAGGAATTGAGTATGAAGTTCCCCATAGAACAATGGCACAAAGCCATGGCAATGACAAAAAAAAGCCTCCAGAAGCCTTTCGCTGTGGGAGGCATACTGTAAGATAGCTATAAGATGGTATTTAGTACCGTACAGACTAGCCCGCATCTACCCAGGGACTTCCGAGATCTGCTGAAGGTGCAACAGAGGGGTAGGAACAATGCTACACATGTTCTGGGAATGCCCAGACTTACAACACTATTGGGAACAAGTAGAATCATTAATCCTAACCAAAACACAAGTGAGACTAGCACGTAGGCCAGAGCACTACCTCCTGCACATGCTGCCCGCATTGGTGGGACATGCCCACAAAAAAGTGATCATAAACATATTGACACTATCCAAAGTCAATGTAGCGCTGCATTGGAAAAGTAGTCGTTAAACAAAAACTAGACGTAATTAGCTCAAATGAACACATAGTCTATCGACTGCAGGGATGTGAAGAAAAATTTGCAAAGGATTGGGGATGCTGGATATCTGTATAAGTTGCGATAAATGCCAATAGAGCAGAGCTGTTGAGAGGTCAAGAAGACCAAGGTAGTCAAACTGAATGATGTATGATAACTGAAACGCTGTCAAATACTATGGTGCATGAACTCACCCTCCTACGCCCTTTATTCTTTCTGTAACCCCCCCGTTTCCCCTATGTTCATGATAAAAAAACAAACTGTCACGCTTATGTTAGAGTATCATAAAAAATGGACAGCACAGCTAGAGAAGATGCAAACGTAGGTGGCAAGGTATCAAATAACCCACCGAGATGATAGTACATGTATGCCAAACAATAAGTATGCTAAATCCACATGTTAACCTATGTCATGTTATTTGTCACTCACCAATATATGCATGCTGTACCTGTCCCGAAACCAACGTATTTATGTACCACTGTGATGACATTTCAATAAAAATTAAAGATGGAAAAAAAAAAGATGACCAAAAGTCGTCTAAGCTTCTGGAAGTCTCTCTAGGGGCTGTCTGGTAGAGAGCCTCGAGAGATGGAGTTAACCCTCCAGGGTAATTATTGCCGTTTCTCAATTAGCTGAAGTGGTCTGGGTGCCTACAGTGTCCTTTTAGATAAAAGAAAAGAAAAGAAAACCCACTTTAGTGTAAATCTAAAAAATTTGTATTTCATTCCCCTAATCTAAGTTACCTAGACCAAGGGTAGTTTGTATGCCTGGCACATCAGTGGAGCTAATTAAATGTTCCCAGGCACAGACCTTGTAAAGGACGAAACTTCTGACACATCACTTCAATCCAGACCTAATTTGAATAGGCAACTTGTACGTTGTGAAAACTATTGTGCAGGAGGGGAACACACCGAGTAGTACAGACCATATCCACACTCTGTCATGCTTCTAGTACCCCAAAAGCAAGCAGCATATTTTCACTATTCTGTTATTTTAGATATTATTTGAATGTTTTGTTTTTTTCCTATTTCACTTTTTTTCTACTTGTATGCCATTTATTCTAGGGAAAAAGATAGGCTGTTAAGAAATATTATATAGCTATAACATAAATAACTTTGTATTACTGTATTGATAAATGATCTAATATATATTTCCAACACAATATCCAGTGCCAACCAAATTTGTCTCAGGAAAGAAGACTGACCAAGCATTGGTCCTCTCAGTCACATAGGGGTGTAAGTAGGCACTGAACATAGTCAATTAAATTCAGTACCTTAAATACCACGTCAGAGTGTGATGACGCGTTTCGCCTATACACTCGGCTTCATCAAATCCCCCCGTTGTACAGCGCTACTTGTTGCTGCTTTAAAAAAATAAGATAAAATAATAATATAAATGTTGTAATCTCAGCATGCCAAATCTTGCAAAATTTTATCTTTAAAACCATAACTCACCTTTTGCAGTATTTCTTTTATTACTTTCTAAACTTATCAGGACTAATTAATCAATCTATTTTGATTTAGAAACTTGAGTAGAAATTATTGGATTTTATAATTTCCCAATTTTTTATATTTTTTTGATGTCGGTGGAGCACAACCCAGCTCCTAGGAACATTGGCTCTGAAATAAAGTGAATTAAAGGTTTTTTTTTAACCTTTGTATCCCTAAGTCTAAAGTGTTCCTTTAATGTGCATCTTTCCAATAAGATCCATATTGGTGTGTCTGAGTGTATAACAGAGCTACACAGTAATAAGAAGATCTACAGTAATATGTCTTTAAACTACAATAAATGTATTTAGAAATCAGTTAGTGCAAATAAGAAATTATTTTGCTCTAAAATAATGTTAGTTGTAGAAATGTATGTCACCTAAAATTTCTCTCTGGCCACACCCTAAAATGAACGTGTAGTTCTTTCTTCATTTGGAATAGGGGGGCATATTAATAGTTATAATAGTTATTGTATTTTCATTAAATCCTGGATTTGATGTGTTAGCATGCATACTTGTAGATGCTTTTCTAATGTTTGATATCAATTTGCGTGTGCCTTTTTGTATTTAGCATCACCTGTCTTGAATACAAATATTATAAAACAAAACCATTTTTCCAATCATTACTATTTTTTTTTTAATTCTTTATTTTTTGTGCATAGATATAGATAACATTTAGTCTAGTAATGCCACAACAGCGATTACCATAGTTTACAGACACATAGAATTACAGTTGCATGGCATGAGAGACTGTGCACATTTTTTAAGGTTAAAGACGAGTAACAGTAGCGTGTGGTAGATTAAACAGCGCATTTTTAGAAGAAAAAAAAAAGAGAAGGTCAAACATGTATACTTATGCCAGAATTATAACTGCGTAAATTCTTGCTTTAGTTAAGAATCAACATGAGCCTGACAGGTAGGAAAAGTCAGAGGAGAGACACAGAGGGAAAGCATTGCATTTGTGGTCCTCTTAGCATTGGGTTACTAACGTTGTGTGTCATACATGACTCCAGGCAAAACAATGCTGTAGGTTTACAGGCAATATGCTTTAGACATGCGAATTACTGACTGGGATGGGCGAGTGGGTAAGTCAGTTCGCAGGTAGCCGTTAGTATCGTTGCTCCTAATACATCATGCTAGGCTGTATATGCATAAAACAGTGCTAGTTGGGCTTAGATTTAGATAGGGTTAGCTGGCAACATATTATGGTTTAGGTAAATGCATGCAGGTAATAACGTTAAAGGCTTGGTGGTAGCTCAAAGATTGGTACTTTAAGTTTAGTAGGTATGCAGGATGCAGTTCTCGTGTAAAGAGACACGGTGGGGAGGTCCAGCTGTAACGAGGTATGCTCAACAGACCCTATTCTGCTGCCCATGCTTATCCGATCCCCTCTGGGTGCCAGACGCAGTCCTTGAGAGCTCTCCTGAGTATCCAGCTTTTTTTGCATCTCGGCGGAGCGGTGTGGGCTTCTGTGCCCGAGTGTCAGATGAGGTGACCTGTTTGCTTTTCGGGCTCGTGTGCGCCTTGGGGCTGAGTTCCGTAGTGCACTGTACCTCGGCGTTGTCAGGCAGGGTGAACGGTCTTGACTCTCCGCTGTGCCCTGCATCTGTTGTGGTGTCTCCTATCTGTTTTCGCCCTCTTGCGCTGGGGTCGTTGTAGCTCTGCCTGCTTTGTTAGTGAGGACCATCCTGCAATTATGTCCTGCTGAGCTTTCTTTCTGATTGGAGGCAGTTTCTTGGCAGGGAGGCTGCTTGCCTGTGTGGAGATAAGTGGTTGTGTTCTGGCCTCCAGTTTGCGCCAGAAGTTGGCAAAGATTGCTTCCAGCCTCTGTAGGACCACTTGTTGTGGGTCTGTAGGCTCGG